CAATGTATGTTATTTATTCAATTTTGGAGTTAAGTTATTCAATTTTTTTTATAGTAAAAGACATAGAATATAATGTATAACTACCAATTCCTGAAATATATTTTCAAATTCAAAATTGCCATTTGATAATTATACTTCCAAACTTTCTAAACAATATGCATTTCAATTTGATAATACTTGTGTACTAATCTGAATCTATTGTTTCACATGTAAAAACAAAGTTTTCAATTCTTCTATTTATTATCTAAAAGAAATCACAAGTCAAACAATCAGATTTACTTCACAAATGTAGAAAGTGATATCATCACCTAAATAAATCCAACAACAACTTGAGAAAACATCTCAAACATGATTAACTTAAATATCACCGTCTCTGACAAATTACGTAGAATTTAAATAATTTTAAGCAGTCCAAAATGTTTCTGTATAAATAGCTAAAGAAACAAATCTAACGCTTTTTATCTGATTCAAATAGACATTAATATCTTGCTCAGTTAAATGTTTTTTACCATATTTTTTTATTCTGATTTAATACTCGATAAGCATACATCTATTATTTGATTTTCTCTCTTTATAATTATTATAATATAGATAAATTTCACAATTCTTGCAAGAAGTGCCTATGGTTTCTCTATAGTTGACTATTTCTAATCTATTAATCTTAAATTACAATTTTAATCTAATTAGATGTTTATCAATTGACATTATTGGATGGAAGCGCTTGCTGTCTTAAAATACCAATATCTCCTACTTATAAGATATCACTAAGAAGAGTAAATAAAGTGATAATTCTATTTCAGTAGCAAACTGATTCACCTGAGGTAATTTGATTAATATTAAGGTGAAATTTCTCTATTGGTAATCATTTTGATTGCTGATATATGATTACATTCAAGTTAAGTTAAAAAAAGTGTATAATAAGATCATAAACTAGCATAAACCCAGATTTAAGCAGAATGGAAAAATAGTAATATTACATTTCTTATCAGATTTCAAATTATTTCAAATAATGCTTATTTTTAAATCAAATTACTTTGTGAATATTCATAAAAAATAACAATGAAAAAATATTACCTCAATATATTCTCTAAAGTATAATAATATATAGACTAATCCCTTGAATCAAATGTATTATTATTATCAACAACACATGTAAATTTAGATAGAATATTTACAAGAATAAATTAATAATTGAATGAAAGTTGGGTATGTTTAAATGAGCCAGTTTAATTAAATATAATTTATATATTTTTATTAATACTCTCTTTTAATTTGATATTTACTGTTATTTATTATTTATTATAAAGCATTCTTTTTTTGAACAATTTGATATCTTTTGAAATCAGATAAGTTGCAATTAAAACATAATTAGTTTTTTTTATTTTAGCTTCACTTTTTCAAACTAATTAGTTTCTATTTACATCATCCAGTAATCTAGAGTTGTGGAATCCCTAATTTTTGTTAGATTAGGAATGAAAGATTAAATTCTGAATGTTTTAATTAAAGAGTTGAATTTTAAATAGAAAAATATCTTTTTGAATGCTTTATGAATATAAAATAGATAATTTAAGATATAATCATTAATGGGAAATTATCTTCAATAATTTGTGTAATGAAAATTAAAAAAATTGATTGAAATGTATACAAAACTATGCAATTTATTTTTCACTTCTGTTTATGTATCCACAAATTTTAATAATCTAGAAAAGACAACTTCATATATAAATATAAATGGATTTGTATTTCAAATAATTCTTTGAGAAAATGGATCTATTTGTTTTTTTTCCTTTCACTTTTGTTCTCAAAATTTCAACTTCTTGTGATAACTGCAAGGCCTTCCTTAATGCAGCGATAACTATTACTGAAAAAAATACTTATGAGAATAACTTTAGTTTGAAAATTTTTCATATAAACTAAGACCTCATTTTTAAGTTTTGAGTAGTTTTTACTTATCAAATTTTATTCCTTTCAATCATAATCCAATATCGATTCGCTTAGGATCAAAATGCTCCAAAATCAAATTTCTCCTGGCAAATTAGGTAAAATATACTCTGAACCTTGTATCTACAATTCTTAAAGTGTAGAATTTAAATTTTATTGAAAAGAAAATGGTTATCCAAAATGAAAGCAATATATGATCCAAAAATTATAACTATTTGAAACTATGTTCAAACTTGAAAAAATTGGAATAATAATTAAATCTTGATGAATTTTAATGGGCTTTTTTGGTTATTACTTACAATAGATGTTGAAAAATAGATAGTGGTGTTGAAGGTATGGTAATAGTCGAAACAAGGGTTACGTAGGTGATATTTCAACTTAATAGACTTAAATGATAAAAAACACTCAATTGTAATATTGATTTTAGTAGTAGTATAGATTTGTGTAAAATGTAGATTGTTGATATGTGATATATAATTTAAAAGTTTAGCTGGAATTCTTTACTTGCTATTTAATTTCGATGCATAATTTAGAATTAAAGCCGGATATTAATTCTTGACTTAATTTTTATTCAAAAACAAAATACATGAGCTAATTATAGATTTTGCTTTATTAGTGATTTAATTTAATTAAATAAAATGTAAAAAAATAGTCTAAGTTTGCTAATTACTATTCTTCTAACTTTAATTGAGTATTGCAATTTGTTATTAAAGATAAGTTTATTCAAGTTGCAATTACATAAGCACTGAGTCTGTAATATTAAGCCTATCTAATCCTGAACAGGAAATAGATGTTAAATTGGAAAATAGGATTTTAAACTCGAAAGACAATATTGGGTATGGTTTATGGATGAAATACCAACCGTTCATCCCAATTTCAGATATAAGTATTGGATAATTATCGATAGGTTTCGTCAGGTTTTTCAGGAAAGGGTTCAGCATCATCTGGGTAGTTCATCTATTTACTCTAGTAAAAAGAAACAAAATTCAATTTGTTAGCTTTTTATACATCTATTTCTGATTAAACATTAACTATTACTCACAATGTATTTTATTCATTTAAAAAAACAACTGGCACATTAGTATTTAATTTTGAATATGGAAATTATGAAGGGTAATGGATATTATTTTATTACTATTTTAATCTTTTATCAGAGTAAACAATTGTCGGATTTTATTCATTGCAACAGACTATTTCAACGAAAACACAGACAGTAAATGACATACCTGCACTTGTTAAAGATATTACTCATGCGATAGGAGGAAAATAGGAGATGACAAATTAATTGGGAGAGCAACTTAAATTAACCTAGTTTATAGGAAGACTGTCCACAGTTTTCAGTTAGGGGTCAGTAAACATATTTACAAACTTGGAGACATTCTTATTAGGTTGTTCTATCCAATCTGAATGCTCAGGATCTGCATATACATTATCAAGTAGCAATTAAGCATTTTTGGGATAGGGCTATACATCTGGTACAACAAGTGTATTTGAGTATCCAAAATTTGTAATAAAAGGATGGTTGAAATTACAATTGTTTGAGAAATCACCTCTCGTTACTGTGATATTCAGAGTGACGATAAATTAAAACTATGAGGATGACATGGAGATTGGAGATAAAGATATTTACTTGTAATATCATTAGAATATCAGTCCAGAATCAAATGGATTTCAAATAACTACTTATTCTTACAATTTTCCGACTTCAAATAGGTACACTAGTACTACCACAGATACCTTGAGTGACTTTGGAGCATAATATTTGGAATTATTCATAAAGTGGCATTATATTTAATATGAAATCGGAACAAGCAATAACCAAGGCCAACCATTGTTTACAATGTATTTTCCATCACTATTGGTTAAGTAGTAAGCTTACAAATGGAGCACTAAGATACAACATTTTACAGGAACAAAAATGTATTATTCTGTTGGTGGCGATAAATATAGTAAAACTTATTTGGAAGGGCACATAAGCGATATGTAATTTATTTAGTATTGCACAACTCCAATAATTACATTATCCCCTAATTGTCACTATACATGTCTCACTTGTGATGGTCCTAATAGCAACAATTGCTTATCCTGTCCATTGAATAGTCAAAGAATCTAGTCAGTAACCCAAAAGATTTGTGCTTGCAAATCCAAATATGTAGATATTGAAAACGAACCAATCTGCAAACCAGTATCGGAAATCTTTCCATAGATGACAGAGGTAGAACTGGAGTTATAGTGTGACACTCCAGGTTATGATGTTTGCACAACAGAGAAAAAAGAATGTTCGTTTGGCTATTTCTTGTATGGAGGGTCTTGCTTATAATGGTATCGTATATATATATAATTAATATAGTCCTGGATATTCCACATTTACTACAAGAAGCGTAATTTAATGTTCAAATTGTTTATTTTACCCAGGCGCCTTCTCATACTCATTAAGGTGTATTCAAGATACAGTCACATATGATTATGATGAAAATTCTTCTTATTAAACCGTCGTCAGAACTGAGAGAGATATAGAATTTTATAATGTAGTTTTAAATGTAAATGGAGATTATGAATTATAATTAAAGGAAGGATTTGATATCTCTAACACTTGCAAAGAAGGGTACTTTTTAAGTAATGAGAATTGTATCCCTTGTGTTAAAGGATGTCAAGTTTGCCAAAATTAAGATATATGTAAAACCTGCTCTTCTGGTTATGTTTTAACAGGAGATTTTTAATGTACTCAATGTTAAGGATGTACAGATTGTACAATTGAATCTGAAATAGTAGTATGCAGTTCCTGTGCAACTGGAACATATTTATCATCAAATGGACCTTGTATTCCATGTGGGATGAATTGTTCAAGTTGTGATTCAAATGGTATTTGTCTATACTGTAGTGATCCTACTAAATACTTTTAAACATTTGATGGTCAAAATTGCCAACCTTGTAGTATCACAAATTGTATCTATTGTTATTAATACTTTGTTAAAAATGGAATAACTTATACAACTCTTGATATAAATTATGATATTCTTGAACTAAACTAAGCGTAGTTCTTAGTTGGGTGTGCCCTTTGTTAGGCTAATCTTTATTATAATATACTAACATAAAAATGCTAAGATAAACCTCTTACAATTCCTTCAACAACTTCAACTGATCCATCCAGCGGAAGTACCAGTGGTGGAGGTGGCGGTATTGGTGGCGGAGGAGTAGGAGGTGGCGGAAGTACTGGAGGAGGAGGCTCATCAGATTAAGATAGTGATTGCAGTTCTGGGCTCATTATCAATACTGCAGGCGATACTAAATGTTTGGTCAGTACAACAAGCAAGACTTCTACTCAAAATACGGATTGCTCATCAATTTCAAATTGTTCCCAATGCATCTAAAAATATAGTTCATCTATTACTTTTTGCATGTTGTGTGTCGATGGGTATTATTCAGCAATATTAACTGGTTAATGTTTACAATGTGATTCGAATTGTAAGAGTTGCATTTAATAGAGTGAAAAGTATCAGGACTATTGGAAATGGGATATAAAGGCTTATTATAAATATATGCTTAATTCAGATGATTTACATGCCTTTGAAACCTATGCTGTCGAGACAGTTCAAAATAACTTTGAATTGATTTGCACATCCTGTCCTTTAGGATATATTTTATATAAGCATAAGTGCATCAAAGATTGTGATGTTGAATGCACTGAATGTGATGTAATAAATGGGGTTGCTACTTGTATCTAATGTTTGGAAACTCCATAGGGATTTTTAAAAAGTCAAGATTCAAATGGAGAATGTTAGGCATGTCCAAGTAATTGCGGAGCTTGTTTAGAAAGGACTGCTTCAGAAATTGCCAAATTCAATCCTTACTTCATCTCCTCTTCCTCAAATTTAAAGTATACAAAAATTTGCTATGAAAAATTCAATTTAGATTCTCCTGAGGGTTAATACTTTAATGATCAATTATTAAAAACTATTACCTTTTGTGAAACCTATAATAAATGCTATTATCAAGTGATTTTGGTTTAAAACGTTTATTGTTCATATTATTATATGAATTAAACAGCCGCTGATTTGACAGGAGAAGCGTTGAATGTTTTTAAGATGAAAAATATTCACATAACTGAACTCTTTTAACAGAAGTACTTATCTGCTGTTGAAACATCTGGGTTGTTTTAGTATCTGAATGAGAAAGTGATACGAGAAGTCGTCTTTGAATATACTTTAGTTTAGAAATCTGGAGAGGTTTGTAATATACCATCAGGGGGGTAACTCTTTTCAAAAATTTAATAAAATGTATTTACTGTTCAATCTGTTAACATCAAATTTATTGGACAATTATACCCAACCACTATAACTTTAGAATCCACATTAACATTGAGCAACTTCACAACAATTACTTTTCAAAATATCAAATTGGACACCATGGATACCTAAACCCAGAATTCCTTGGAATCAGCTATTATTTTGGAAAATAAAGCCTTGAACCTCAACTTAGTTATTCAAGACTGTGTATTTACGACAACTAATTCTACCCCTAGTATACGCTCATTTTATTTTCTGTCTCAATAAGGTTATTCTCTGAGCATCATTAATTTGATTATTGACAACCTAAAGGTTGTAAACTCAGAAATATTTTCATTCGTTTCATCATCTCAATTCAATCCAAACAGTTTGACAGTTTATGATTTGAAGGTAACCAATTCATATTTTTTATCTACAGATTTATTCTACTTTGAAGGAAAATAGAGTTTTCTTTCCTTAAACATTGTGATGAAATCAATAACCATCACTAATACAATATTTGAGAATTCAAATTTTATGAAGTCATAAACCTAACTAGACTATGACATAGGTCCTGTTTTGATTAAAGAAATCGAACTCAAGGCTGTAACAATCAAAGAAAAAGCATCACTGTTTAATATTCAAGGGGCATAGTCCCTTAAGCTTTAAGGTCTAACCATGTTAGATAGTGTTATTTCATCAAGCTCGTACCTTTACAGTTGCAATATCTTTCAATTACAGGATATCTATATAAACAATACTGGTATTTCGAGCAGCACAATATTCAGTAACGATGTAGATTATTCATTATCATATAATGCACTAATTAACGCTGCTGAAGTGTCAATTATTAATTGCACTATTGAAAATGTTAATTACAATAATCAACAAGCAATCATAAAAATAATCTTGCTAGAAAAGATATCTGCTCTAATTGTTTCAATACAGCAATTTACATTATCAAAAAGTGTGATTACAGTAAATGTGAAAACTACTTATATATCCTATCAATAATCTATTATCTATCTAGAATGCTAAACTTGTGTTTTGGAGGATGTTGAAATTCAAAGAGGGTATGGTCTCCCAGAAATAACAATCCTAAACTCTTAGAGTCTGTCATTAAATAGGATCAAATTTACTTAATCAACTTTATATCATTCCAAAACCCTCCATTAATCTGTTGATTGCATGCTCAAGTATGCCTATTAGAATATGTACTTTTACTTGTACATAGGATTGTATCAGAATATCACAATAAATAAATTAGAATTGTACAACTCAATAGTCTACAACAATCCTTTTATAATTATTAAGGCTTATGATTTGATGGAGAAAATACAAAATGAATATATCAGCATCACCAATAGCAACTTTTATTCAAACATGTTAATAATAACAAAAAGAAACACTGCTTCATCGTTGATATCATTATTCTCTGAATAAAACTGTAAAGTTAGTATAGATTGTGTAGTATTTAATAAGAATCATTTAAATGAGTACGTTTAAGATTTATCAAGACAATCTGCATCTACCTTGCTGCTTTAGTCATAGCAGGGCGATGTTGAAATTTCCAATACAGTGTTCAAAAACAATCTCGTCACTAATTCTACCGATTCCATATTATACATAAAATCAATCAATGTAGTATTTCAGAAAAATCAGTTTTCTAGCAACAACATCTTGCAACTTTCAATATTAGCCAAGAATCTATTGCTATTTGAAAACTAAGAATAGATTGATGGGTAGAGTTTGACCTAGGTATTTCCAATCAATTCAAAAAGTGGAAATGGTATGATAACAGCCAATATCATCTCAATAAATAAGACATCAGTCAATAATTCATTTTCCTTGTATGGAGGTGGGTTCTATTTGGTAGCTTAAGTTACAGGTACGATCACTATTTAGAACTCAATATTTTAAAATACTTTAACTAGCTTATCAAGTTCTTCATTTTCATCAGGAGGCTGTCTCTACATCGATGCCTAATTGTCAGAGCTAAAGCTTCGAATATATACGACGACGATAGAAGACTCATTTAGCAGGATTTAAGGAGGCGGCATCTAAATTGTACCTTCGTAACAATAGAACTATGTTGATCTGCAAAATCTAACAATAATAAATTGCTTTTCCATCTAATATGGTTTCTTCTCATATGTATTATCAAGTCTGTAGAGCATATATTCGGAAGTTCATTTTAGTGGAATATCGTTTATAGCCACAAAAAGTGGGTTCATGAGATTTTTATCCCTTTTGGAATCACCCACAACTGATGATATGGATTAGATTAGAAATAACAATCCCATGATCAAAGTCAAATATGGATCAGTGTATATGAAAAATTGCAGTTTTGTTTCAACCCACATTTAATTTTTGTTGGATTTTGAATTTGCAACTAATATCGTTTTAAAAGATATTTTCATCCTGAATTCCACAATCTTATTTTCTCCTTTGATAAGATTAAGTTTACGATAATGTAATAATTTATAAATAATAAATAGAGATTAGTGGAAGTATTTTGTTGATTAATGTGAATGCAGAAAATGTAGAGCAGTACACTGATTATTCAGATGCTGTGTGTTTGATTTCGACATTTCAATAGATTTAATCGTTAACATGTCCTGGAAGTATTCCATAGGACAATCCGATCATAGATGATTATGATACATCTCTCTATTAGCAATAATAATAACTTTGTAATTAAAATGATGTTTATAAAATTGCAAATTATAATTTTAGCTTATTTGAGATAGACAATTTGAATTCATCTCATAGTTTTGAGGTTCAAGAATTAAATTTTGATTCCATAAATTGCTAGTCTTGTCAATATGGCATCTTCAGAATCAAGGGTATATATTAATTGGATACTGAAAACATCCTTTTCAATAAAATCAAGATCTACAATAGTTAATGTGGGTAGACAGGATGTCTTTCATTGATATCGCAGTATGACTAATCTTTTCTAAGAAGTGATTTATTAGCCACCAATAGAAGAAGGTAGCTTCAGAAACATGATTACATAAATTTGATATAGAAATTAGATCATCAAGTAAGGATAATACATAGTAAGTTTGTAAACAACTATGCAACCTATGGAGGATCAGTGTTCATTGTTTAACTAAAAACAATAATTCATAATTGTTTGTTTCAGAAAAACAAAGCAGAGATAGGAGGTGCAATCTATTATTATTCGAATGAATCTTCAATGATCATATTTGAAAGTGATATAATTGAAAATGAGGCTAAAATTGCTGGAGGATTGTACTTGAATAAATAGTAGCTGTAGAAAACAATGTAATTGGATGTATTTCTATCAAATAACAATTCAACTCTTTTTGGCTCAGATGTCTTTGAGAATCCAAGATCTCTGACAATCTCTGTGGATGGAGGACAGACCTTTTTAACCAAAGTTTAAGTAACGCAGAATTCAACTACAATCATTGAGAAAATAGTAGTCACTCCATATAAGATATTGGGATCATCTGAAAAAGCGAAGTATTTAACATTTCCCTCTGGTCGATAGATAGAATCATATGAATTCTTTGATCAATATCAATCCGAATACATTCCTTATAATTTAACCTTTCGTATCATCGCTCTTAACAAGTATAACACTCAAGAGAAAAAATTAGCAGGTACTACTTGCACTCTGACTCCTACAATAATCAACATCACAAGTGAAGTGGTAGTACAAGGTTTGATTGGAAGTTTATCCTACAGTTAAGCAAAATTTAATGAAAGTACTGGTGATTACAATCTGGATGATTTAATCATCTACTTTAATCCGACTTATGAAGATGACATCATCTTAAGATTGAATATTTAGTGCAATATTATCTCAATTCCAGAATACGATACTAACCCCCCTTACTTAATTAAGAATTATATAACTAACTACAATTTGTAAGTTGACATCAAGACTTTCCCCTGCTAATTAGGAGAATTCTTGAATTCAACTTCTGGAGGCTGCATATTGTGCGATGTTATTCAAAATCAGTACTAGGTGCAATGGAGTGCTCAGAGTTGCAGTTACAAAGATGACTTAAAGATGAAATCAATAGAATCTTCAATGATTGAATTAAGATCATCTTATTGGAGAGCATATTATTATAGTCAAACTATTGAATATTGTTATCACCTGACTGAAAATTGCGAGGGAGGATGGTCACCAGGAGATGAATCTTGCATAGTTGGACACATTGGTGCTTTGTGTGAGTAATGCGACTTGTACAATGTTCGAGGAGATGGGTCTTACTCACTAAGTTCTTCATATTCCTGTGGTAGTTGTGATGAAATCTTTGGGAATGTGTTAACTATATTCTTCATCAGCATTTGGACCCTCGTCTCAATTTTGATGTCTGTAAGCAGCACGGTCCAGATGATTGAAGAATTTATTATTGGAATTCGATTGAAGGCCTTCGGAGTCACCGTTGTCATCAAATAGGCTTCCACTGCCATCTTAATTAAGGTATTCACGAACTATCTCCAAATCATTTCGACTATTTCTACATTCTAACTGTAAGTCCCTTCAGGACTGGCATCAATCATTAATAGTGCTGGCAATCCAATTGAATCTATGGCATACTCTCTAGATTGCTTTTTGATTAACGTTTCGGACATTTTAATCATTTACTTTAGGATCATATGGAGTCTAATGATGGCATCCTCCTACATAACAGTCTTCTTTACTTTGGGAGGAGTAGCTATTCTGTTTAACTCCATCAAGTTTAGGTTCTCCTATATCACTACAGCTCTTATCTACGTGTTCATCTACTTGCAGCCGAATTTAATAGGGGGATTGATCTCCTTAATATCCTATAGATTAATTTCAGACGAATATTGGATTCAAGGGAATGTGGCCTATCGCTATGACACCTATCAGCATGTTAAATGGTTGTTGGGCTTTTGCTTTCCCTTGTTGCTGTTCTTTGGAGCCATAATGCCCATTTACTTGTGGTATGGAGTTAGGAAGAATTTACATCGTTTGGATCTTACGAAAGTGAGATAAATCTGGGGTTACCTTTATAATGAATACAAGTTGCATGCTTATTATTGGGAGACGATCAAAATCCTGTAGAAGGAATTGATTATCATTGTGCTGGCTTATTATGAGGATCACATCCCTATTAAAGCATCCCTTGTGTTTTTAGTGCTCTTTGGATATAGCTTTCTAACTACTGCTCAAAAACCTTACATGTCAGGCGATCTCAATTACTTAGACACCAAATCTACCATAGCTTGTGCAGTTTCAATTATCTTAGGCAGTTCCATTTACACAGCCTAACAATCAAATCTATCGGAAATCGTTTGGCCATTTTACGTGATTATTGGAATCTTGAATGCATTATTTGTAGCGGAGATGCTGGTTAAAATAGTGTTTGCCTATTTTTAAAAATTGCATGATCAAATTGATTATGTAAAAGATTTCATCAAGAGTCATTTTCCCAAAGCGATCAGCAGGTATCCGTTCCTGAATGAGTTGTTTGAAAGTAAAAAGAAAAAATAGGATAGGATCAGAGAGAGATATAATAAACTTAGAGTTCATCTGATAAGCTAAGCTAAAAAGATATTAGAATTTAAAAGGTAATCTATATTGTATATCTTCTAGGTTGAATAATTTAGAAATCCCAGGCAGAATCAAAACTGAATTGCTAGATAGCCATGATGACTAATAAGAAAAGCATGAATAAAAATTCGGAATTAATTCTATTAACAGTCCATCTATGGATCCCTCTGATAAACTTGATTTTAAAAACGAAGACCTCTCTGCTAAAGCCAGGTTTCAAAAGGTTTATCCAGAATTTCCGATACATTACATTCCATAGGATAGTCTGAAATCCAGTTTTCATTAATCATCTGGCTGAACAATTTTATTTAATAATTATAAATATTTTGCTTATATATGAGATTAAGAAGCATTTATTCAGCATCTTTCTGAGAAGATTCAATTGGAAGTTGAGAAATATTATGCTTCAGAATCTTTTTTTATTGTCAATTAATTATGAATTAAAATATATTAGTTATAATATCTTAAATAAGTTAAGAAAACTGTAATATATGATAAGAAATCAGGAGAGTAAAAATTCAATATCATCGCAAATATGATCTTATAGAATAGTCCAATTTTATGAGAAATAAATTTAAGAATAGCTTTATTTTTTATGAAATTAACCATATCATATCATTACACAATTATTGGGTTATTTAATATGTTCTAATGTTATCTATATTTGGTATAATGAATTAAGGATATTCTAATTACTTTTTTTATCTTATTAAAGGATTGACATTTGCAAATTCGGTCAAAATTTATCAATGTTTGTAGATGATGGAATGCAATTTTCTTGTATTTTGTTGATCAAATTTCTTTATTAATACCATCATAGAGCAAGTTAATACTCAGATATTATGAATTTGACCAACTTACATTGAATTCAGTAGTTGTCAGATTATAGATATACTATATTAATTCGAAATTTTAAATCGTTTTATCTTTTGTGGGTTTTCTGTCTTCTCTATACCTTAAGGGGAATAAGGGTATTTGTTATTTCTAAAAGCATCAAATGAATTATTTGAAATGGCTAATATGACCGGCATTTTTTTAATTATATCATATGATCTAATAATTTTAATTAAGTATTTCCTCATCCTAATTTAAAATCAACATGATTATAACATTTTTTTTAAATTAGGTTAAGCAATCAGGTGTTTATAAGTCTGGATTGTTTAAAAATTCAATATGTGTTTGTTTATAATTAATTTATTGTTGTTAATATTTGTATAAAAAATAATGAAAAACCAAGATTATGAGGAATACGATTAGGATTATGAAAAAAAGGAGATAGACATTATGGAGAAATTGCATAAGAAGAAAATGGCAGTGATAGAAAGGTGCTTTCCGGACAAAAATTCAAAAGGGTAGGGATTGACAATCTAACAGTTTCTGAAAGTCATGTTAGAGCATTTGGATTACAATAAGGATTCAAAAGAGGAGACAAAGAAAATTACATTGGCGTTGATCGAATTGTTTAAGGAAATAGATGTGAATGGTGATGGTACAATGGAGTGGGTTGAATTTAGCAATCACATAATTGAATTAGGATTATTGAGAAATGACAGATCATTTAAGGATGTAATAAAGAGCTACCACCCAGCTGAAAATATAAAGGATGAGCAGAAGCATGAGACTGTGATAGATAGAGTGTATTTTTTCGACAGGTTGAAGATGCTTTTGGTATTGGAGAAGGAGTCCCCAAAGTTTAAGGTCTATAACTCCAACACAAGTGAATTGATTTGGAATGTAAATGCCCACAAAGGATATGTGTTGTCAGCGGAATTTATTCCTGATTAAAATTTGATTGCAAGCAGCAGCAATGATTTGACAATCAATTTCTGGGACTCAAGTAGTTTTAACTTAAAGTAAATTCTCTCGGTCCCAGAAATCTAATTGTGTATGAGATACGCAAGATGGAGTTCATCACAATCTAATTTTCTATACACGGGAGGTTCAGATTCTATAATTCATATCTATGATACATACGATTTAAAGGAAAGAGGAACATTATCAGGTTGGAACCCATTTATCAAAAGAGACTCATAACAGTATGGACATTCATCTCCTATTGGCGACATACTGGCAATAGATCAATAGAACACTCTCGTGACTGGAGGGTTGGATGGGAATATTTGTTTGTGGGACAGTGCTACACATCAACCTAAGAAGGAGTTAAGAGGTCACGAAAAAGGAGTGTATAGTTTAGATTGGAGTGATTGGAGTCCAATGAATTAATGTTTGATAAGCGCTGGATTAGATCATGAAGCATTTGTGTGGAATACTTATGTAAAGGAAAAGATCTTCTTACTGAGAGGACACAACCATCCCTTAGTTGGAGTCAAATGTTTGCCCAGGACTTCTCAAGTAGTGACAGCAGACATATCAGGAATGGTAAAAGTGTGGGATGTCAGGAACTTTCTATAAATCTAAACCTTCAATGTTCCTGCTGATGAGATCTAAGCATTTACATTAACATATCCGAAGAAACAAATTGTGGTTGGAGCAAGAAAGATGTTTTTCTATGAATACGATGAGCCTAAGGATTAGATGTTGACTGATGAGAAAATGTGTCTTAAGGTTTTATATAATTAAACATTAACTTGCTTCATCACTCTTCATCCAGATAGTGTTAAGACTTGGGATGCCAGAAGTGGAAAACTGTAATAGGTTTATAGAGAATTGAGTGTCGCTGAATTAACTACTATGATTATTGATGCAAGATAGAGGAAGTTGTTTATAGGAGATGCAGAAGGCAGAATATTTACAGTAAATATTAAAAATGGCGCAAAAATGAAGAAATTTGAAAGACATCATAAAATGATTACTGATTTAGCTCATTGGAGTAATGACACTAATAGGAGAGTCATTAGTTGCAGTAGAGAGGATACAGTTAACATCCATGATGAAGATTCTCAAGATGCTCACAAATCTTGTAGATACAAGATGAAATAACATCATTTAAGTGTCAATTCACTTCATGTAAAATAGGACAGTGAACACTTAGTTAGTTGTGCTGACGATGGAGCCATCTTTATTATAGATTTAGTTTCTTATAGACAAGAATTAGTTTGGAAAGGTCAATATGAGTTGAAAAAAGTAATGTTTTTGGAATCCCATAATTGTATCGTCAGTGTTGATTCTATTGGCAATGTGTATTTCATAGGAGTTTTGGAAAGCAAATTCAAATCTAAATTATTATTGTAAAAGACCTATAAAGCCATCTCTTTGACCAATTAGGAGGAAACGGTAAATTATGAATTTATATCAATAGTTTCCTGTGACTTCTATAAATTATCATGATGATTTACTCTATTTGGGCGACGAGTTAGGTAATCTAAAGATCTGGAATATTAAACAAGTCTTGGATAAAGTGGATCTTCATTAAGTGGAGTAAAAGATTAAGACCAGAAAGAACAATGATGCTGATACATTTGTAACAGCCATGGACTATGGATAAGAAGATATTGCTTAAGTATTAAACTATGAAATATTAATAGATATTTTTAATTGGAGACATTAAGGAGGTTGGATATCAAAGAAAGGCTCATTAAGATGGGATTACATTCATAGAGGTTTGTAAAGATGGATCCCATTTCGCAACATCTTCGTTTGATTGTTGTTGTTATTTGTGGGCATTTAAAAATGGATAGATCTCAAAAATAGGAGCATTAATTTTGGGTCATGATGCTAATTGGGGCTACAGAATAGATGAAAAGTCTAGAGCTGAAGCGGCAGAACAGGAAGCCAATGAATTATTGGAGGAATTAAAAGATACGATTATCCCAACAAAAGTAGAAAAAACTGATGGACAAATCAGTTCATCAAAGTAACAATTATTGGATAGATTATATGGGAGTAAATAACAAAAGGATTAATAAAAACAATAAATTTAAGCAGAAAAAGAAGACAAAAAAGAAAAGGCCTTGGGTAGAGCAAAAAATGCTTTGAAGACATACGAGCAATTCAAACAAAAGCAGTTCTCATACTAGAATCATCAAAATTAGAATGATTAAGATCTAAAAAAGTATGATGACTCAGAATATAAAGATGTGTTCTAATAATAAGACTATGATGAAGAAGAAGAAGACAATTACAACATTCTAACTGATCTTCAAGAATTCAAACAATAATAACTATCATCAGGTGTATATTCAAGCAAAAATGCTTTCAAAACCAAATTAATTAAAGGACATCACAAATCCAAATTTTCTTGATATATATTTAATTTGATACAATTTCAACATAAATATGCTGACTTCAAAAAGCAGTAAATTTAATACATAATTCATAAAAATATTAAAGTTTAATATTTCCCAGTAAAATCAATGTTTTATCTTATAAAACAGAACATTTACAAAATAAGTTCATTCTAAATCTTAATAGCGTATTAAATGATAAATAATCCTATATATGTAAAGGGCAAAATATTATAACACTTAATTATCCTTCAATAAAGCCGTAAATCATATACTTGATATTAAAGGACGCTTATTAAAATTGATAAAGCAATAGGATAAAATGAACTTAGATTATTTCTTGTTAATTCAATGAGTAATTTGATTGTCTATTTTTTGCGAATAATAAATTATATCATTAATATCATTTTATATTTTATGAAGAAATACAAGGCTAGTTCGTCGGTGGATTGTATTTATATGGAAACCATGCTCAACAAACAAATGAGATCAAATATTAGAATGATACAAAATAGATAGATGAATCCACTTTAAACTCCAAAGCCGATGTCACAAAACCAATCACGAAGAATCGTAAGTAGGTTAAATAGTTAGGGTAAGAAGCTACAAAGGAGCCTTAGCAATTGATTATACAGCTACAAGACAACAAAATTCTCATGAGTTAATTATGTTAACCAGTTGTTATCCATTCTCATAGAAACATCTCGAGCAACAAACATTCCACTCTTGAAAGTCCGAAGTTTAAGAGAACCTGTTTACATTTGGATAATCCTCTAAACACCATAAAGCATTAACATTTTTTAAAAAAGGGTGGACAAGTATAGCATCTTCCAAAAGAATCTAAATCTTGGTACCCTTTCGCAAGAATAAAGAGAAAACAGTTATTAACAAGCTTTATTGATTAAAAATAAACTCAAAGCAATTAAAACAATCAGATCATCACTCATTTCTAGTCTATGGCCGATCTAACAGGCTGGTAGACCAATGAAGATCCATAGATGGAATTGCAATGATAATAATTAATATTTCTATTTTTATGTAATCATTCATTTATACAATTTGTTAAGTATATGAAATTAAATTGCCATAAATAATATTAATAAAAGAGTATTTTAGATTATATCTATAAAGATTTATGATTGCTAAAATTTGAAAATTCCTTCATAATGGGATCTCACATGAATGAATAAATTTCTATGAAAGATTTTAATTATTATATGATAAATATTTTAGTTTATTGAAAATACTCTTTTGAACACATAAATAAATCTTAAAAAATTGAACAAATTTTAATAGCCATAGAATAAGGATAGTTGCAGATCTACTTAGATAAAATGAATATTTAATAATTATAATAGATGGATATTAAAATCTTGGGGAGAAAACCAAAATTCTCCTCTGTAAATAAAAACAATTGAAATCAAGGACTCTTTCTAAAAGAGTAAGTCACCTATTATAATTAATTTTGAAGAAAAATTATTATATTAAGTAAAATAAAACTATCTTAATAATATATTTTCTATAGATGTTTCAAGCATTCCATCCTTACACTGTTGTCCTATAATAGGGAGAGTGAGGACAAAAAGCTGATGAGGAATATAGAGTGATTTCGGATACGGGGAAGAGAAAAATTGTATTTACATGAGAATAATTGATCAAAGGAATTATGAATGTAATATTAGATTTTAAAGGTGGTTGTATTGCTATGGAATTCATTTTTTATAAGTTCAGTAAACCAAACAGGGGGAGAAATAGTAAACTCCAGTTTACTGAAGTTGGAAGATTAAATCATCATACTTTAAAGGTTGGATGGTCTCGAAACACTAAAATTACTTAAATATAGATATGAATTTTCGATTCTTCAACATCTGATTTATAACAAAATTGGTTTAGATTACTTAATGGGTATAATAGCAAAAGACTCAATTTCTAATTTATTATATTTATATCATGATACTAAATTTTGATATTAATTATTAAGTAAATTGCCAAGTGCTCAATGATGCCAATTTTCTTATTCGAGAAAACTGAGAAATTACTCACAATTAAGTCAAAATAATATTTATTCTCACAAGTCTTATGTATCTTTAAATACATACTTATTTAATAAATTTCCTTTAATAAGTACTATTATTGGCACATTCTTAAACACAATAAATCCGTTTTAATGAGTTTTGTTGTTTGTTTTATTGTGAGGAAATTTTTAAAGTAGCTTCAAAGACAAGTAGATTTTCTTCAATTTTATCAATCACTTTTTGGTTTTAAATAGTTTTAGTTTCAAGCCTCTATTTATTTATTTATTTAATAAAGTTTTCCTATACTCAAACCTTTTTGTCAATTAACCTAACAAATGAATTAAAATTGCTACAATGACGAGTCAGTTACAATATGGAGTGATAAAACAGATATATGTGAAGAAGCACAAACTGTTAAGAGGACAGAAATTTATTAATAACGACTAAGCTTTTTAGTCATTGAAACTTCAAATGATGAACTTTCTTATAGAAATCTTTTAAAATTTAAATGTGCATTAGCTAAAAGGATCAAGAAAGCTAGGACTTGATAAATTATAAGTCATTTTTGTCTTAACAAATATATATCAATATAGATAAAGATCCATGCTGGTTTTCTCAATAGAACATTTTTACTTCACTGTTTATAATTCTTAGATATTAGGCCTGTTGTCCTAAAATTATGGTAGTTTTACTATTATCATAGTATTTACTTCATTTTTGCATTTGGTTACGTTATGATTTGTTTATGATATCGGTTTCACTAGTTTCAGCAATTGAAAGTGAATGCAATACTGTATACAAATTTTTTTTTTTATTCACCAAGCCAATAATAAGTAGATTTTACCAAACAATAAACAATAGATTAATTGTCGCCAGGAGAAAAGCCAAGAAAACTTTAAAATAATCAATAAAACCAAACATAAATTTAAGTTCATAATTCAGAAATGATAATAAATATCAGGTGTCAATGTATCTGGCTATGTGCTGTTTATCAACTATCAAATAATGTCTATTGTCCTTTAAAAAAGAATGAAGATTTTGATGTTGATTTAACTGAAGAGTTTATTCGCTAATTTATTTTAGAAAAATTTATATTTAAATTTATATAGCAGACTTCTTAATGGAGCTCAAATCAATAAATGATCTCAGTCATAATTCATTTTAAATCATCAGATTATAAATGAACTAAATAAAAGAATATAGAAATCGAAAATTAATGGGTAGAGAGATAAGAAATTTCCTTAGGTTCATTCTATTCTTACACTTTGGGTAGTTTTATCAGAGGGCTTCTTCTATTATGCATCTATTCATTTTCAATTGTTTCTAAAGTGTATTTCTCTAGTATTCAAAAGCAATCACTTAAAATTAATTTTTATTCAAGTTTCCGACCTCAAGTTAAGTAAAATTTAAATTTAAATAATAATACTAATATCTATTGAATAAGAATATGTTTTTGAGAATTAAAATATTGTGCTATATATATTATTGCCAATTCAAAATAGATTATTTATCTAAAAACATTTAAATTTAGAACTAAAATGCCATTAAAAGTGATTATGAATAATATTAAAATGATCCTTTTGCCAGTTTTGTTTTCTCTTAAAGTCTAAATCTTCCTCTAAAGAAAATGGTGAAATCAATAGTTTTAAAGTCTATAAATAGAAATATTTATATAAAAGTTTAAATACTAATAATTTAATTTCTTATGAAAATAATGTTATTTTTATTTATTTTAGTTGGATATGTTTATCAAAAATAAAATATTTCACATAACATGATATTTGGCTTTGCTCCTCCAAACAAATATTCTGACTTATTCATGTTGTCATTGTAACTATCCCATAGGAACCCTTCGCCCAAATTTGATTACCCATCGATCATGTTAGGATAAATCTATATATCCTTATTCCCTACTATGAAACTCTGATCCAAATCTTAATCTTATTTAGATTATTATTAATTTGTCTGAATTGATTTTTTTTTTGGATAGATTTCATTATGAGTAAATGAAAAAATAAACTCTACCACATTATATTTGAAATAACCAAAAATTGGATTTCCATCATTATCGGATTTAAAAATTAATAATTTTGCTCTAAATTGATTATTAGTATTAAGTTTCCAGAAACATATTCCTTTTGCCATTTCTAAATTTGTTGGAGTAAATACATAATATTGTGATACTGGATCATAATTGGGATTAGTTTGAAATGGCTATAATTAGGAGTATATATAAACATCGACTTACTTTAAAATGTAGTCAAAATAATACTGTGGTAAAATTTTTGAACGGTAATTAGGGTAAGGTTGGATTTGGGGTTTAGTAATCGGCGCTTAATTCTAATTATAGTTTTAGTAATTATTTCTTTTTTATTTTGATGGGTTGATGAAAAGAACAAACTATGTAGTTTCGCGATAGATAGCACTAAACGATTTAATGAAGTATTCTTTTAGGTTTTCTGTGTTTTGACTAATGTAAGTTGATATATCATTGATTTACTTATTGCAATTCAAATTAAATCTACAATATTTATGATATGTCTTACTTAAATATCGTTAGTGAAGCTTCATTAAATATCTTTTTAATCTTGCTGCTCTATTCTTTGATCAAATCCTAATTTATTTGTTATTTGATATCAATCAATTTTTATAAAATTTCATTCTACACACTTTTATCTTCATTTGATTTTAATTCAAGTTCCTTAATTAATTGAGCAATTTCTTCAGTTTTGAGTTCCTAATGATAGATATTTCTCTATACTTAATGCAGCTGCTGTTTAGATTCTTTACACTTCTCTTTGAATTTCTCTAGATTTTCTCTTCCATTCTGAATAAGATTCTCTAATAAGTCCTTTAATTTGATAAGCGCGTTTTCAAATGGTAGATAAAATCCTTCCAATTCTTCTTCAGAAAACTTGTTCAAATTATCTGATGATTTACCCATCAATCGGAAGATGAGGTATGATGATATTCTGATTTTCAATAATCTACATTTTTGTTATGAATATACATCTGGCAAATATAGGATATGTGTACGATCTTTCGCCTCATCTTAACATTTGATACAGCCAAATTCAACATTGTCTTTTAGAAACTTCAATCATTAGATAAAAAATTTGGGATGCTTTTTGCAAGATATGGCCTTCTCCATATTAAATAAATAAAATATTAATATCAAAATTTAATCGCTCGTTAGGTATATATAGATCCGGCAAACCTACCATCATATAGAATAAAAATAAATGGGAGATAAAATTCTTGGCCACGATCCAAATCTTAGATATGTAATGGAGTTCGTCTACTTGAATTAATACCGGATAGTTCTAGAATATATTCATATCTCGGGATATATTTTGTAATTATAAAAGGAATACTCAAAATACCTATGTGTATGAAAGTTTAGTGTATATTATTTGATTAATTTAAAAATGCTCATATCTGGAATGCAATTGAGGCATTCGCTAACCCCTCGCTACTTTGCGGGTGTGTTCAACAAGCGAAAGCCTACAAAGAAAGATCTTGATCATTACGATGTTGTAATTATTGGGTGCAATTTGGGAGGTGTGTTAAGCAGACAATTAGACAAGGTATTGGGATATTCTAATTAATCGATTAGGTCTCGCATGGAAAATACAAGACCATGGTAGTGTTGGATTAGAATATCAATTAAATAACACCAATCAGATAGATCTATGAACAATAGAAGACAGCAAAGACAGATTTCTTATTAAATGCCAAATTGTCACTTAACATGTACACAGCTCACTCAGATTAAGTGGGATCCCAAACAATATTGCCAGAAGAGAACGCCATCATATTGAGAAATGGCAGACGTATTGGTTATGGTCAATTGGTTGTGGCTATGGGTATGATATCTATATGTTAACATTTTTCTAGGTTAATAAGTGAATTATGATGCAATCAAGGGATTTGAGGAAGCTTGGTAAGATTTTGATTCTCCAGTGTTCACAAACCTCGATCATCCAAGTTGGCGATCATCCAATCATAAATACACTAGATGGCATTACAACTTCAATCATGGTGAAGCATATTTCTGCATTCCTCAATTCCCATTCAGTGGAGAAGTGGAATCTTACAATTTCCTGTTGAGTTAAAGAATTTGGGAATGGCAAACAGCAAATGGTCGTCAATCTCCAATAAAGAGACTCACAATTATTTAACCAAATGAGCGATTCGTTTAGTATAATGATGCAGGAGACTAATTCTTCAAGGAAGAAATCAAGCGCAGAAATATCAATGTGGAATATGGTTTGAAATTGGTGGAAGTGAATAAATAGCAGAACACAGCCACTTTTGAGGACGTCAAAACTGGTAGCAGATAGACAAGACCATTCAATCATTTGTATGCAGTTGCACCCACCAAGCCTCATGATTAATTGGTAAAGGCTGGTCTCACCACCTCAAAGGGATTGTTGGATGTCAACATCAAAACCTTATAACACAACAAGTATAAGAACATTTTCGGTCTTGGTGATGTGAATGATGTTCCTACAACAAATTGTTTCTGGGCAGGGTTCCATCAACTTCATGTTGTTAGAAATAATATAGAAAGAAACATTGCAGGTAAATCACTGAATGCCGAATATGATGGATACAGTAAGGTGCCAATTTTGTTAGGTTAAAACACCCTGACCTTCTTGTGTCACAAGTACAACAATGAGAATGCTTGGCACAACCTGTATTTCTCAAATGGAGGCTTCTTGGCTGCTTTGAGGTAAACTCTATTCACGATTATGTAGATATTATAATTGGTGCAAGAATTTCAAGAAGGCATTCATAGATATCTATTTGGAGAAGAATTGGGGACCTCCTTATTACAAGATCAAGAAGAGCTTCAAATTGCCAGAAGGTGAAAGTAATGATCATGGATTTTTGGCTAAGTTATTACCAGGCAAGAAAGAGTCACATTGAAATATATACAAAAATAAATATATAAAATATAAAATCATCAATTTATTTGATAATTATTATAAGACTAGGATTAGTGTATAAAAATCTAAGTAAAATTCAACTAAACAGGACAAATTGTATTAATTAAGTTATCTATCCATTCTTCATACATAAAAAACCATAATTACAGATCTAATAACTATTTGTTTAATACGCTTAGATTGTATTGAGAACATTTAGCTTATGGGTGGAATAATAATATTCATTATCTTGAACTCAACCTTTATTTTATAAATGGCATACACTAATGTGTGATATACCTTCATTTTATGAGGTAGTACATTAGTGCCATTCCTAATTGTTTACATGCTAAAGATAACCCATTTGAATTATAGTAATCATTTATACAATTGGAACAGTTAGTTCTATCGTAACAAATCAAACAAGTTGCCATTTTTGTTTCTATCAACAATCCAAACTGTGCATCAGCTGGTTCGCAATTATTCAATTAAATCCAATTAGAAAAACTTAGTATGAATCAAGGCCAGCAATTGTAGCTTGATCTTTAAGTATCCTTATCTAAGTTTACAGACCAACAAGAAAAGATGCAAATCAGTTGGATAGTATCAAAATTGATTACATAACAAACAAAAATATATAATAGATATTTATTAATTACTAATTATTTCAGTTAATTAATGCAATTCCCTTCTGCAAAGTCTCATAACTTAGTTTGGTCTTGGAATCTTATTGCTCTTCGTTGAGAATAGGTTTCTGTTGACTTCACTCTCTTGACTAAATTAGGTCTCCTTTGATAAACCACTCCCTTTGAAAGAATATTAGATACTAATTGTTATTCGTCTTCATTCAAAGATGTTTGAACATTCTGAAATTGCAAATACTATTGTTTCTATGGACTCTATCTCCTGCATCTAACTTACATTGATTTAGAGTGATGCAAACTGGGCAGATGTCTCTCCAAAAACTAAGAAAGATTTGGCAAGTTCTTCTCGACTATCCTGGATTCATTGATCACCTACTTATATGCTTAATTCTAGTATAGACTCTGAGTCTACACCTTCCCCAATAGAGATCGATCTTTGGCTCTAGTGAAACAACTTCTGTCCACATATTTATCATGAGCACTTATGTTCTGCGATCGCTCTCCAATTGAACTCTTTTGGAACTTCTTTGCTGACTCCTGTGAGAGTGTCTTAAACCTCCCTTACAAATTTTAAAAAAATTATAACATGTCAGCATTCTTGTATTGATTGATCTTAGCCATCATCTGCTATTATTGTTGTCTTTGAGAATTAATGGCTACTTGTAATTAAGAATTCTTTTCATAAATCTTAAATACATACTCTCAGATCTTGGTATTTGCTCTAAACTTATATAAACTCCTACACATACAACTAACTTGTAGGTTGAGTGTAAATCTTCCGCATGTACAGTTCCAGTGGTATAATGAACAGAATAGTATCGGAACTCGAACTAACACAAGAGAATCTGTGCTTCTGTTCCTGACTGTGCACATCATCCAAACCCAAGAATTGATGATTGCTCAACGTAGCGATCTTCCTGTGCAGACTCTTCCCTCTCTATTTCATGTACGGAGACACTGATCGTATTTCCAATTCCTCCTTCTCCTCTATGAACACTTGTTATAACTTAAACGATATAACTCATTTTCATACATCTACTGCCCCTTCCTTTAAGAGGTAGATCTTGCTTGCACTCTCTCCTGATGAATACACCACATCTCCCATCCTGTAACATCTCTGTTCCAACATCTTGTAGATCTAATAGATCGAATTCACATTCCACCCCTCAAAAATCTCCAGATTCGCAAAAAACCCCATCTCCTTCACGGATGATTTCTCCTGACCTATCCGCACTACATCCTTAAAGTACTACCTCCTTATCAACGCAAAATGACATGGCTACAATGCCACAGCTGTAAAGTCTCTTGGTCTGTTGTGTATTAGGGACATCTCCCCAAAGGATTGGCCTGGCAATAAGATTTTTATCAAGACCAAATCCGACTACTGAGATTAGATTTTATTTATTTGATAATCCTTGAATTTATTGTTGTTGACAGCTTGTCTAAACCTCAATTTAACCATCTCCAGTAATTTAGTCGATGACGCCTTATCTTCCACCACATTAGGTTTAACGTATATGCCAACTTACCCTTGCAGGATGACGTAGAATTTGTCGCCCACCGAATCTATGTTAATAATGGCTGTGTTTTAGATCGCATATTCGTGTTCGAAATAGTAACTAAAATTGAGATCATTTTGATCAGCAAAATATTTTTAGAAAAACTCGATCTTCCTCACCATCCTCTCAATTGGATACAAATCATCTTCACTTCTTTTTTCAAATGGTTTCTTTAATGATCTAATTAATTCCTAGAGAATTTTAAATTCTTACATCCTCCATCTTATAAATATATCAATAATTTGTATTAATAAAATCAATAATTTTATAATCTACGCATTCGCCCTTTCTTTGTATAAATAATGGGGAGGGCAGTTGCTCCAAATGCTGATCCCATGTTACTGAAACCTGCTTAAGATGCAGTATAAACTGTAAATGACACACAACTATTAATACCACCTTCACTTCTTATATCTTTTTATCTATCTATCTATGATGATCCTTCCGATTCATATTGATTTTTGATTCCGAGAACTTTCTAGTTAGGGTCTATTTTATATTTCCTTTCGAGCATTCGTAGAATTTATTGCCTTATACATGATTGATTTGGAGTAGATTTCACAGAAGGGTTCCTGCATTTATTGATTGGTTAATAAGAATATAAAAAATTGATTATAATAGTCATTTTCATAATTGCTTTTTGTTCCTAACAAAATTGAAACCACGAATCTTCTTGCCAATACTGAATTCCGAGTTCATTAGTGAAACCTCCTAACTAACTATTGAGATTGAGGATTAAACGAGTGACTGATTCTGTGAAAAAAGCTGTGATTATATTTTACTAATTTTCCATTACTCAACTACAAAAGAAAAACCCCTTCTTATTCTCTAGGATGCCAGGGATATTGATTTCTGTGTTTTTGGTTTCTTCAATTAGAAGCTGAATCCTCTAATTTGTTTTGTGCTGCTTAATATTGTAGAGTTTACCATTTGTGTTATTTACAAATTTATTAAAATTAATAACAACTTCGTTAACTATAAAATTGTGTTTATTTAAGTAAAAGCATATATATTAACAAAGGAATCGGATCAATAATACCTCCACCCGTATTAGAACTGCTAACAAGACCTCTAGTGTCCCAGGAGTTGAGATGGTGGGGAAACAAAGGAGGATCTTCTGCCATAGGCATTCTAATCGCTCTAGTAGTTTCGTCCAACAGCAGGTCCTTCTGGAATAATGGTGTCCGCCTTCTAGACATTGTAATAGGGTGTGATGTCATGAGTTAAATTGCTTTTGACTTGGCCGAAGAGCTTCTCTTCGTATTTCAACAATTGCCTAATGAATCCTGGATTGGGACACACGAGTGGTCTCACACTTTTCAGGTAAATGAGCGCTTCTTGCAAAGTCCAATCCTGAGAATACATCAGATAGGCCAACACGATGGTGGCAGATCTGGACTTCCCTGCCACACAGTGTACAAGCACGTTGTGATTCTCATCCATGTGTTTGCTGATAAATTTATTGGTCTTGTCGAAATATCCGGAGATATCGCACTGTGGACGATCATTAACTTGTAGGACCATTTGATCTGCATCTGAGTTAGCACGGAAATCTAAGGATTGAGTAGAGAGTGCTTACTTTGTTCTGTGGAGAAGGATATTATGGCTTTGACATCGTAATTCTGGTAATATTAGAATGCTTGAGCATCTCCTATGTAGAGTTTGCTGTCGAAATCAAGAACGCAATTGATGAAGTTGCTTGGAGCTTGATGAGAGGGATAGGCAGGATAATAGTAATTCATTTTACAAACAGATTTTAATTAATGACTTTTTTTTTCCGTTAAAAATTTATAACAAATATTTTCATAAGTATTTCATATCATTCATTTTTTAAAGAACTTATAGCAAGCATAGGTCAATCCAATTCCCAGACCAACTCCCAAAATCTTTTTAATGAATGAATTTGATTTAGGTTTTTCCTCCTGAAGAACTTGCTTGGAATTGAGTTCTATTGATTGTTCCAATGGTGTTTGACAAGGTGCAACAATCAATTGATCATCAATGAACTTTCTAGTGCAGTAATATTCATTAATTTCACCTAAATAATTTAATTCATCCTATAAATTAATGTATTTTTGATTGCTTGAGGCTTAAGATGAAAATGAAGCCACTGAAATATAACTTTACTTCTTCTTTTTCGTTCTCTCGCAATTCAAACTCTTCTTCGATTAAAAGGGCACTTTCAACACGTGATTGTCGTCGTCACTGCTTTGTTCGTCCTCCTCATAGAACCCACAATCTGTGGCAATTCGCTTTTCACATCCATAATCCAATTTATCATCAGCCTCTGTCCTGATTCTGGCTTGTGGCAAGATATCATTGGCCTTGAACCTCATACTGCTCTAAAATCTTGGGGTGCTAAATGTGCGATCGCAAGTTACTAAATCGTCACTCTATTCCAATTTGAGAGGGAGACTGATTTTGATTGTGTTAGATTGTTCTCTTAGGTGGAGCAATTAGGTGACTAAGTTGAGAATCTCGTGTTCCTATTGCTCTTTGCCTGGGAGCTTGGTATTTTCGATTTTTTCGATAATAGATTTAATTATTTCTATTATATAAATGAATGTTGAATTACTGCTGTCGTCGACTTGGAGAGGGAGTGGATTTGATTGATTGGAGGATTTTGATTAAACTATCATTTGTCGGAGATCGGATATCAATTGGAGAAGCTTGATGATTTTCTTGGTGTTGTTTTGTGTGGACTAGTTGAGTTGATTGATGGTGAGAATATTTTGCTCATTTTATCTTTGCAACTTAAGAATATATATGAATTATGCTGTACTTTATCGCGAGTTTATTTTAATTATTAATTGAGGGAAGATTCCCAATCTATTATTTTGTGGTTTTCATTGAATTCGGTTTTCACTGTTTCCAAGGTGTTTTCACATATATCCAGACCCTCTGCCAATTCTAGGAGCTTCTACTATTTAGAATGAGACCGGTTCAATGATTATCTTTTCTCCAACTAATTTAATTCATTTTGTTTATTGTCAATTTCTTCAATGATGTGTTCTTTTGACTATTACAATTGTATCGATTGAGCGTGATAGTTAAGTATCCTCTACTGGGACTGATCAATCTTGGTTTACAAATCTAACTGCTTAATCTTGCTTTAATTAAGTTTAGTTTAGAGCATTTCTTTACGAGTCGAGTACTATTGGAAGAATTCCTTGGAAAGTGTTGCGAGATCATCGTTTATAGGTCTGAATGAGGCGTAATAGTTCAGATAGTCGAGAATTTGTTGAGTTGGCAAACTTGAGCTACTATTCATTTATAATAAATTAATTTTTATTCGTTTTTATTAATGGGTTGGTTAGGATCTCTGGTAGTGATAATTTTGACTTCCATCGTGGGGATAGTTTGGTACTTTGTGCATCTGATAGCACAAGTAAGAAATGGCAGAATTATTATTAGGGTTTTACAGTGCAATATAAAGATGAATAAGACTTTGTAAGTGATCAACTTAGAGGACTCCTCGGAGTCGATGATATTTAGCCTACTTCCTATAGGCCAACAGTAGAACCATAATATTTATCAGGAATTGTGGATTTAATAGAAACATCAATAAGTGGATTGTGGTTAGCACAATTTTTGTACATGGTTCTACTCTTATTTCTATTTTTTTTGGTTGTGGACATCTGGTTCATAGAATACCCCTTCTCCTTTATCTTCAATGCAATTATTGGTGCTACGATTGTGATGCTATTTGCATACTATGTCACTGCAACTAATAGTAAATCCTTGACAAGAGCACTGATACAAGTAAATATTCTTAACCTAATTTATAAAAGTCACAATTTTCAAAGGAAGAGAGTTTTGGATACATGTATTAATGCGGTTTTGCAATCGTGAGTTTATTGTTCAGTTTACTATTTGGGATGTACGTCTTAATGTATTACTTCAACGTGGCTGTGTGGGGAGGCGACATGAAGAAAGATGAATACGAGAAGGTGTCAATATTGATGATTGGATTCTTGATGGGAATGATACTCGGAGGATTCATATATAGAGAAGGCATCTCGATGATGTGTAGATCTATGAAGACTGCTTCGTTTGGCTTGATAAGGGCTGACCTAAATTTGAGTGTTGGCAACAACAACATCTCATAACTCACTAGATTGGCATACATGGTATCTTAATAAGCAGGAAATGCAGTTGTCAACTTCTTAGACACAGGATTTGTACTGGTGTTCTTATGTTGTGCTGTTTCATAAATCGTTATCAATAGTCCTGAAGTATTGGATAGCAAAAACAGGAGTGCTTTTGCTTTGGGACCCATCTATTTGGTTTGCATTGGATATTTGGGATCTATTGTGTGTTACTTTTTAAAAACAATGTGTGCAGACCAAGAGACTGGGTCATTTGCTGCACTTAATGTAAGGTGGTAAGTCATTATAGCTGCCTTGATTTCATTCATCATTCATGTCTCATTCCCATTTTCATTTCTAATTGACAAGTTCACTCTCAAAGGCGACAATACTAAGGATATAGATTTTGAAGGCAAATCAAATATGCATGCTTGTTGGTGTTATCTGTTGGGATTGATTTTTAATGTACTTCATATCAGTTTGTTTGAATGGTATACATCTCACGGATGCCCCAATGTCAGAAATATGGTAAATTATTATGATCAAATAGGGATTAGCAACAAGTGATCGTATATTGCCAATGAATTTGATCTACTCAAATTATTTGGGAGATTTATTTTCTGCTATTCCAACCATCCTCATGTTCCTATTGATCTCTATAGTCTATTCAATTGAAGGTTTTGCTGGATTGCTATTTGCAGCATCCGGTTACATCTCTTTATTTATTATCTATGGAGTCATATTCTTCATTGGTTGCAACTCCTCTGATTCGTATAAATTAACATGTTTTGCTCACTTTATATCAGATGTGTAAGGCAAAATCTTTTAGATCTATTGGGAAGCCAAAAATTACATGGTCTTCCTCAAAGCCACCAATGCAGGTGCAGCCTTCCTTGTATCCATCGGAATCATTGGGGCTCAACTCTATTAATATCCCACTGCTTTGACTTCATTGTTTGTAAAAAACGAAGGATTTTTGGGATTGTTCATTGGTTTCAGTATTATGTTTGTATGTAGAGGCATCAACATTTGGGGAATTATTAATGTTGCAAAAAGCTATGTAATTGATAAATTAATGAATAGTTCATTTTCTAACCCTCTAATGAAGCAGAAGGAAAGCTCAATTACTTGAAAGACATAAGAATTATTGAATTTACTAAATTCAAATATACTCACAGTATGTTGTATGTTGCTTATAATATATTGTTTGTCACAATAATGATTTTGATGTTTGGATCGATTTTGGGCCATGCTGGAAGTGTGGCCATTATGATCGGAGCTTGTATTGCTACATTCCTCATTTAATATACTGGCTTGATAAAGGGAACCACCTTGGAAAACTCAAGAGTGTATAATGAAAGTAAGATTTTGAATTGAGATTTGTAGTATAGGACAATAGAAAGGATCATCACTATTTGATGTACGTATCTGGAGACACATATGCTTGTGCCACTGAGGAAAGCAATGCTTGTCCGTTGATTCCCTATCTGATTTATGTTTTCTGTTTACTAATTTCATGTCAAAAACATTTTGCAAAGGCAGAAAAATGAAGTGATATACGATATATCAATATATCAATATATACAATAATAATGAGTTATCTATCATAATTTCTTATCAGTAGTTAATTCTACACATTAATATAAATCAAATAAATATCAAAAAATAATAGCTCACATGAGCTGTATTGGATAGGCACAACAATAAATGAGTGAGAAACTCATCAAAACTGATGGCGACGATTCAGATACTCCAGTCCCTGAATCTGACAAAGACGATCTCGGATAAATATTGAACACTGAAGAAAGTAAGGGTAAACCCATAAAAACCCTTAGATTCAGTTTGCAAAATCAAGTATGGATTTTTGATAGATCCTCAAAAAGGCAATAATCCTTCAAATCACCCTCTCCACTAGCTAGAAATTCTTCACAATCGATACTCAAAAATAAAAGCAAACCATAAGCAACTAAATAATGAAATATATATTTAAATTAATTCATGCACAATTATCACAAAATCAACAATGCTAAGTTATCGTGCTATCTCACTATTCTTCAGAATATTAACTGATTATATTCCAAAATATTATGAACTCACTCTTCAATCAAAACATCCTAGATAATTCCCCATTTGTTTCCTACGCCACACCAGGTTCTTTCTGCACAGCTGAAGTAACTAAACTCATTCTCCTTCTTAAAAGTTAAGGGAAAAATTAAATATACATCCAAAGTAAAACCTTCTTTTTTTTCGATGCTGAACTACCACTGAATTCTCAACCTTTGCATGACCTCAAGGCTTACTTATATTATCTATTTTTGGAGTGACATTTAATAACCAAATAATAATTAATTTCAGTTCTCCCATTTTTTTGTTATTAATATTTAGCTAAATGAGTAACTAAATTTACTAAGGAGGCAAACAGCACACTCAATCACTGTAACTAGAGTATCAACCATTGAAATTGCTTTATTAAACATATCTTATGCATATTCCTACTCTATTGATTAAAATAAAGTGTCAAATATATTATTTATTAATTTTACTATTGATTAAAATACAGAAGGAACTTATACTAAATTATCTTTTTAATAGTTTAGAAAAGTAGATTAAACATAATTTAATATCAAATTCTCAAATTCATTTCAACTTAATTTACATTCCAATAATTCTTAAAAATTATTTTTCTTAATTTCGAAAATAATTTCCATAATTCCACAGTGAAAATATATTTAGTTTCTACTGCACTAATACTTTGTATATTGGATATCCTTTAATATCGATTTATTTAAAATTAATTTATTACATAAAACTATACTTTGGAATCAGAGACAACCTACAATAGAAATGTTACCTTAAAGAATATTAATAGATAAACCCACTAGAGAGTTGATTTGAATATCTCAATACTCAAAGTTACAAAATAAATTTATTACTGAAGTAGAAAATGTTACTGTTAGTTGACTCCCAAACTTAATTTCATTTTTTGAGAATGTTAAACTCTTAAACTATCTATTGCTAGATGTTAACTAACATAATTGTCTAAATTCACAAACTTACTCTCAGAACCAGCTCTCCTCTTTTCAACTCTTGTATCCAGAAAGACAGATGTTTCCAAGATAAAGAAAATGAATTATTATTAATAACAGATTAAAATCAATTACATTTTTTTACTTACTTTCGCTACAATAATTATTATTCGATTGACATTCCTGCTTACTCTTTTTTTTCTTTGTGCCTCTTAAATAAGGTTGATGCCTAAAACTCTGCTCGAAATTCATTCTAAACACTTGATGATCTTTATACCTTATGCAGTGTTAGCAAACATTATGCCAATATTTGAGGTTATAATTTTTCTTTCAATTATTCCCACAACAAATCTACCTTTCCTGCCTCGCTCTAAATTAATTTAATCTCCTTTTTTATCTTCTTAAACGAACTATTGATAATTAAATTAAAGTTGTTACTCATCCATATTCTACTTTGCCACTCCTAATTTTTGTTTAATTTTTTCATTATTTCCAAAGTCATCAGTTTTTGTATCAATTTTCTTAAAGACATCTCTCAAATAATCAGTGTAATTTCTACAATTCATATCCACAATTACCTCGAATTTTAAGAAAAGAAGTCTTTGTCATCTAATATACTAAATAAATATTTAGTCTGTAATGGTAAACACACATCTAAGATTGAATAGGAATATGATTTAGCAGCATCTATTCTCTCCTATTTATTAGATGATGTTCTATATTTCAATGCATCCAACAAGATTTCGATTTCTGTTGCATCCTTGCCTTAATTAATGCAATCTTCCAATCTCTCGAATAGTTTCTCTTACTATTCCAAGAATTACGAAAACTATCCATTACTATCTTATTTACCTTATCTTGCTATTTATTGTAATTTTCAATTGATTTTGACAAATTATTACATTACTCTCTAAGTTTATCATTTTCATCCTATAACTCTTGAACTCTTGTCTCTAATAACTCAAAATATATTTTCTTTCTTGCTCTTGAATTTCTGGCTGATTCTCGATTCCTCACTTGTTTTAAACGACTAGGATCCATATTTCCATCATTAAGCGAATCTTGATTTTCAGATGAAGACTAATCGCTATGTTCTAGATTAATTTAAAGCTGCTGTTCATTTTTCCTTTCCAATTTCTATTAACTCCTTCTAAAAAATGAATCAACATATTTTAATACGATTGTCTAGCTTTGGTTATGATCAACAAACGGCCGTTATTTTCATTTTTCACCAAATTCTGAATTTTATTAGTGTATGTGCTCTTTGTCTACCCCAGATTCAAAAGGATCTAGGATTACAATGAATCTTTTAAATTTTTTTATTCTTCTTTTGAATATTTTTCTATATTTGAACAAAAAAGTACTTGATCTCCTCCTTCTTCTGTTATTCTAACTTGCATCTAGTGAGTTATCCCCATCGCTTCCACTTCTAGGCTAGGCATCAATGGAGCTGTCATTCTTTATCCGAAGCCTATCCATCTTTATTTCTTCAAATTGAATCTAATTGTGTTCTAAACTATTTAGCCCATTGTCAGCTTCCTCGAAAATTTAGATTTTTGGAAATTGTTATCTCTTTTATTGCTAATTGTTCAAATAGGAATCTGGTATTCCAGAAAAATCAATTTAATTAGCATTCACATCGTACGATCTAAATAATATACCTAGTTGAATTACTCGTTGTAATAATATTGCTCGCTAATTATAGGATCACACATAAATTATTAGTTTAAAAATATATAAATATATAAACCATTAATCAATTATTTTTTTTCACATATTATCTTAGATTTGCAGGCCGTTAACAGTTTGAATCATTTTAGCTCTATAATCAAATTTTTTGAATTCTTTACTTATGAGTTTTGCTTGAAATATTTACAGTCGCTAAACAAATTGCTGCAATCTAAAACCGATCTGTGTTTATTCTATAACCATAAACCTACTCACTTACTTAATAAATTGTCAAAAGCATGGATCTCAGTTATAGTGGTTCCAAACTCTCGTAAATAACCTTCCAAATTGAATCTACCTTCAAAGCCTCATTAATTATTGTTCCTACTGAAGTGTAAAGATTATTTATACAACTGAATTTATCAAAATCAGTGATTACCTTGTGATATTTTTTTTGACACCATTAAGCTTCTCCTTGTGCTTTCTCATCTTTCTAAATTACTCCTTCTAGATGTCCATAAACTAAAATGTTTCTTTGGTCCATTCAAGAAAAGACCTAGTATAAAATTTTAAAAGATACCCCTAAAAGTCTGATAATAAGTCTTTATTTTCATCAGAACTATAAACAATATATCTCAATTCTATGGGTAATAAAATCTCCAATAGATTTTCTATATACTAACATCCAATTGTATTCTTTTCAGAATTTAATTAGCATTCTTTAAGTTAGTCTAAAACTATTTTTGTTGTTTCAGAATCTTCCTCCTTTATTTAGCACACCTCTAATTACTCTATTAATTTTCTCTATGTTTCCAATTTGAACTAATACTGAGGTTATATTTAAATTTGTACATCATCTTTACATTCTCTATACTTTTATATTTATTTAGCTTAATTTTAACAAAGCTCATTTAACCTATCAATTTCATCTTACAGGTCCTTCACTTTGTTTTCCAACAACTCAAAATAAAGCCGCTTTCTAGCCCTCGAATTTCGAGCAGCCACTCTATTCCTTGCTAATCTGTCTTCTGACATTTCACCCCCTGATTGTAAGAAACTCTTTTGTTCAGATTAATCTGAAGTTTCGATAAGTTATTGCGATGATTTTTTTTTAACCTTCTATTAACTCTTCCTAACATATTATGAATTCTTAATTTTACGAAACTCTATTAGATCTTGGGTTTGTTGATATCTTTTTGTCAACTAATTAACTGATTTTGTTTGTGTATAGACTTTTAGCATAGTGTACATTAAAAAGTTCCTAGTTACTTTCAACAATTTTGTTGCTTAGCTATTGTCTAGTTCTGGGTCTTTTCAGATATTACATGTTCTAAGAATTGTTATCATCAGTGTGGCTCCAAGAAGTTGCCCTTCCATCACTGTGACCAGAATGGATTCGCAGTTTTTCAAGTCCTAAATCATTTATGACTTCTTCCCCATTTTCAAAAGGTTAATCTGATTGTGGTAAATCCGAGCCAGAATCCTCATATACTCGAATCATAGGGATATCCTTTAAATTTGCATGAGAAGATTAAAAATACTTCTCCACATCTCCCATAAACTCATTTTCTTAGTTATCTATCTCATAATGAGAAGTAAGAACCTGAAATATGCAGCTTTTCTGCTTCCAACTCAACATGTTGATCCATAATATTATTAATAATATATAATCTTAATTTCTAATTTTTGGCAACATTTAATATAAATCAAATAAATTCAATCTGTATTTACATTATATTTCACTTTTTATGAGTAAACTTTACTTCTATTTATACATTTTTAGAATGTAGTTGATTCAATTATTTTGCAGAAATTCATCCTGTGTGATTGTTATTCAATCTAATGAAGCTTATGATCAAGTTGTACTAGGTTTAATTTATACTTTGATAGTTTTGGCTTCATTATTCAGTTCCAAGTTAAATTAAAGAAGGATAAACACTAATAATGAAACACCCTTAAAGATTTAGGTTTAATCGTTTTGCTAATTTTAATAAAATCAAATTCAAATCCATTTACAAATTGATAAAATGATATAAATGCAATAAAATAAAATAGAAAATTCCTATTAGACATGAAAGTATACTTAGATCCTTAAGTAATAAACAATCGTACTTAGCCTATTTTAGATACGAGGAATCACCAATAATACTTCTAATATATTAGGCAACAGTATTAACTAATATAATAATAGATATCCCTTGGGGAATCTAATCAAGGTCACAGGTGAACTTTAGTTGTTTTTTAAAGCACACACGAGGTGATCAATTGAAAAATCTTTATGACATAAAAATTATATTTTTGAGAATACTGATTTAATGTTATTATTAATTAAATTATAATGGGAATGTGTTAAGCAACTAAAAGGAACAATTTTCAATAAACTAAGAAATTAGACATCACTTAAAATGCAAACCTAGTTATTTTGGATTAATATCCTATGCCGAAGCCCAAGTTGGGCATAGGATTACCATTTATGATAAAATATTTTGAGCAGGTTAAAATCATTGAAGTAACTGAATCAATGGCGTATAATTTTATTGTTAGATTGGGCGTCAATTAACAAAAATAAGTTTCAAAAGAATAGGATTATTAGTGTATTTACTTATACTCTGAAAAAGCAAAAATTGACATATTTGAATGTGGATTCACTCCAATTGATATTAGCAGACCTGATATAATAATTGAAGATAAAAAGCAATACAAATTTTTATTTGATTTTAAAAATCTCTGGGTTTTTAGAGACAATCAAGAGGAAATAGAATAAGTGTTAAATATTTTCAAGGAGATTAATGTGAAGGTCAAATAAATATATCTCTTCACTAAACCCCTGAATACTTTTATTGAACATTATTAGATGCTTGGTGAGATCAGCATCCTAAATAGTTACTATCCGTTATTGTTATTTGATTACAAGGATGTTTAAGATGCAACAAAACGAGGGGATGATACTTTTAGAATCTACTTACATAGTGAGGAGGCATTTGAATTACTAATATAAAAGAACCAAATCAATCTCTATAATAGAAATCTACAAATTAGAAATCTCATTTTCCTTTATCAAGCAGGGAATTTTAGTGAAAAATTAGGATAGAATTAATACAAAGTATCATGTTATAATTTAATATAATAACCATCTGGATAAATAAATCAGTAAAAATTAGTGAAGGAGCTGATACCATAATTGCAAAATTTGCAATAAATGGGCAGCAATATTGTTTTAATATCTTCGAGTAAAGAATCATAAGGTATGAAAGCCGCTAGGTTGGCGATTGAATAATATTTGGCAAGAGGATTATTAATATATCCTGAAGACATATAAAAATATAATGAATAATTAAGATCACTTTAAGTTACACCTGAATAATTAATTTAGTAATAATAGTAGCAAGAAAACAATAGATTAAATTAATAGCAATAAGAAATATAACTGAGTAGAGAATAAGAAATCATCAATCTCTATGATAGTTGGTTGAAAAAGATTAAAGCTCAATAATTATTATTGAGCTCCCATAATCTATTGATAAAATTAATCACAAACATAGTATAATACCCGAATGACGAGAAGTTCAGAACAATTTAAAAATCGAATAAGACCTTGAATCTCAATATTTTATAATATGATGAAGGAAGATAGATTTTATAATTAATTGGATTTAGAGAAGGAGAAACTGATTACAAAAACATATTTGAAATAGGCTAATTAAAAATGGCGAGAGCAGATATAGATATTGCATGGAAAAAGCAACTTGAAAAATCTTTAACATGAACTAATCAATATAAATCGAGATTTATATTATAATGTTATTAATATATAATATGAACTTTATGTTAATAAAATCACTTAATTTGAAAATAGTTAATTAAATTTATATTTCTATTAAAAAAATTTTTAACTTATATGAGCGAAGATTTGACAGAGAAATAGAAGGAATAAACTCCTTATGATTACTACGTTATAGCACTTTTGCTACTGGTATTCTTGATCTATAAGATCTATAATTACTGTTTCAAATGTTAACCATCGAATAACTAACCAAAAGAAAATGAAGGTATTCAATTAAAGTTGTTACAGGATCAAAAAGAGAGAAGTATTAAAAGATTTAATAAGAAGAGGAATAGGAGCTTTCAAGTCAATCACATCAGGGCAGAGCATAAATGGATCAAAATGAGTCGATTAAGTCAAAAATTGTTAAATAACTTGAAGATCTGAAAAAAAAAGTATAAAATTAGCATAAACCTTCCTATAATGTCTTAAAAAATTAAACACCATCATAAAATTTTAAACAGAGTATAATTCAAATTAAATAAATAATTAATAAGACTTCCAAAGAAAGAGAATTAGCAGAAGAATATAAATATTATATCAGAAGATATAAAGACAAATCAGAATTGAAAAAAAATTATGGCCTAACTTTAAAAGCAAGTTTCGAATTATATAAATATTGTAATGCATTTAGGGAAGTTAGAGGGGATGGTAATTGTTTTTACACTGCTTTTGGATTTTAATTCTTATCTATTTTACTATTTGATTATTCCTTAGACTAATTTAATGAATTTTTTAATAGAATTAAACAAATTGAATTACCAATGAAAATATTTGTTGCTGGTACAGATTTGAAAATTGATGATAAAGAATAAGAAAAATAACTATTAGATGAATTTTAACGTAGAATGATTAAACTTAAATCAATAGAAGATATAAATTAAAGAGAAGAATAATTTCATAATGAATTTGCTGCCTATGAATAATAATCAGACGAGATTGATGGGTGTTTATATGGACTATCAACCTTATTTTTTAGAAATTATTCTAATTACATTATCGATTTTAGTGATGCCAAAGGTGCAGTTAATGATAGAGAAAAATTATTAAATTGGGAAGAAGAATGTAATAGTAATGAAGTTGTTATTGCAGAATTGGCTAAGCGATTAAATATGTAAATATTTATTATCTATTACAAGTCTTGTTTAGTTAATATTTATAGAAAATAAAGAAAATATAGTAGTGAGGGAGTATGGAAACAATAAAGAACATAAAATTATATTATTAATTAAGCCTGGACATTATAATATTGGATATTATCAAGAAGCTACCATCATTGATTAATATATATAATCCTTAACTTAACTAAATGGGATAACTTGGGAAAATGAAGAGTCTGATAAAAATCAGTAGAATATTGCATAACAAATAGAATAATTATATAATTAAATTATTATTTTGATAAAAAATAATACATTGAAGGAAAAAGATGCTTTCAAAATATTAGGATTTTAAATTTTACCGCTAAAATGAAATATTATTAATATTGTCTTAAGTAGCCAATTTAAAGCTATTAAATTGCAAAATATCAATATATTATTTATATTCAATCTCATTTTCCCAATTTTCACAAAGTTATTCATTTGCTTCTTCCAAATAAAGAGATCATTTCATCAAAATTTAATAGAATTAAATATAAAATCAAATAAAAAATATCGGAAAAAATATAGAAATATATATATATGGAAATAGTAAATATAGATACAAAATTTTTATATAATTAATAATGTAGTTATAATCAATGAAATCTTTTTGTCATATCGTTACTTATGTTAATAATTATTAAATACTCAAATAAGAAAATAAAAGGAAGAAATATGATTAGCTAAAACAAAATAGTCAGCCAAATATATTTTTAACTAAAAGTCAGAATGAAAATAAAAACACTAACAAATTTATTTAATTAGAATCCTTAAATAATCAAGCACCAATAAAATTATAAAGTAAATAAATATTAATGATATTTATATTAAATAGTCTACTGTTGAAGCATTTAATCCAATACAGTAGATCATAATTTGGATTGAATTTTATAAATTGCTGGAAATCATCTGATGATTTTACAATTATTTTTTGATTATAAATTTCATGCTATGTTCACTTATTTAGCTAAAAGTAATATCATTATTGGATACCAGTAAAAGTAGATTAAATGCTTCAAGAAAATTATATAGATTTTAAAAAGGAAAGAAAGAATAATATTATTAATAAAATAATCTAAAATTACTAAAATATATGCAAAATATATTAAATTAAATAAAATAATTATAAATTCTACTGAAATATTTTAATGGATGAAAATGAGAGAACTGAGGAAAAAAGAATAGATGGTTAAATTTTATACAATTTGTAATTACAATTTCGATTAAAAGCATAAATGATGAAATTTAAAGAGAAAAATCATTGAGAACATTTGATTCATTATGATCTATTAATATGAGTTTTAAAAGTAAAAAGGCAATGTTTTGAAAAATTACCTTTGGAAATGAATATAGAATAATAGAAAAGTGATCAATTGAGATATGAAAGAATTTGTCATAACACCTAATTACAAATAGGTTTCATAAATGATAAGAACCAAGATCTTATAAAATCATAAATTTACTTATAAGAATACTATTTTTTAATTTTATAGGGATTAATGAGAATAATTGATTTAATCATGAACAAAGGTATTAGGAAAAACACTTCAAGATCTACTTTTAGCTACAAAGACTAGCATCAAAGACTAGCATCAAATTAATTAAAAAATACTAACTCGGATAATATTATCTAATTTTAAGAAAGAAGAAGTTTAAGTCATTACCTTAGAGATTTAATGAATTAATATCTAAATAAGAATCAAAAGTATAAATAAAATTGAATTGAACTTTTAAATAAACAAAAAAAATAATAGAGAAATATTTCTATTACTAATAAAACGATTTTGAGGTAAAAAAATGAATTAAATTATTGCCTTAAATTCTATTTTTCAATATTTTAATTAATAGAGGAAATCAAATAATAAACTAAATTAAACATTTAATTAAGAGAATAAGAAAGATAAATGAATAAAAGTTTCAACATTATAAATATTATGTATAATAAGATCAAACCTTTGAATGATGCTTTTACAATAAAAAAGTAGCAGTTGAGAAGTCAGATATGAAAGATTAGATTAAAAAGGGTTGCCTTGCAGAGAAAGTAATGCATAAGTGTTAAACCCCTCTACAGGTAATAATTATGTTCATATCATTATTATAAATAATAATGCTCATAACATAACATATTCTAAACCGTTGAACTATTTTCATAGTCATTTATAGAAGCATGGAGGATTGAAAGATAAGTATGAGTACGGTTGTCTAATTCTATTATAAAATTTAAGAACAAAGGAGCATTCCATTACTTGCATATCTTAGTTGAATTATTATAAATTAAATTTATCATCTCAAATAATGAAATGCATAAAACATACATTCATGGTCATAGATTTCATGATTTTGTTCATATAAAATAATTTAAAGATATATTCAAATCAGAATGAAATAAAAAGATTTAGTGAAGTAAAATAGTAATTACTAGCCCAACATGAGAAGTCATGAGTATGCTACTAAATCTGAAAGATCCTCTCCAGAAAACAAACCTGTGGACAAACCTCCATTTAGTTAGTTTTAAGCTATTTCGAATAATAAGACTACTATGAAATCCAAGATCAAAACCATGGATAACTTCTTTCAAAGTAATAATTCCCTCTAAAATTAAAAGATTCAAAAATTAATTCCTAATTTACATAATCATTCAAATATCTGAATATTGGTAGTTAGAATATATCCTCCTTAAAACCAACTATGCTTCAATGTTTTAATCAGTAGCACAAAATGTAATTTGTCTCCAAGAAACAAGATAAGCAATAGACTAGTCATTTCTATACTTTCTTTAATAAACTTAGATCAACAAGTACAAAAAGAGGTGGATTTTACATCAGTATTCATAAGCAGTTCACAGGCAGAGATGTTTCTCACTGCATTGATTAATTAATATAGAATTTATCTTGTTATAATGCGATCGAACTGTTTGAGCTAAATTTATTTAACCAAAACTCAATACTGTATGAGCTTAATAAGAATAAAGTCTATAATTTTTACATTAATTTTGAAGTAAGGAACCATAACCATTCTTATTATTAGTCAATGGGAACTATATGAGAATTGTCAAAGCCAAAATAAGAAGATCTCACACAGGTGTGTTTCACATCATTGACATTCAAGGATATTCCTATAAATACGATTATAATGATATATTATAGATTCGTATATTAATTAGGTAAGTTAATTAAACCTGCCAGGATTCAAAAACTCCACAAATTTTTAAATTTATAATGAATAAAAATTAAATTTATAAGCTTTATTAACAATTCACTAATAAACATTTTTTAGCCGAGTTGTGTGATAATATTAACAAATTAACTTACATTTTTGTATGAATTTTGTAATCAATGATATAATGAATTGATATTTGATGAAAATAATGTTAGGGAATATGCTATAAACATCTTTGGTTAGGAATAAGGATTAAAGTACTCCAACCCATTGGCACTTCCAAGGATACAGCCAATAACTTTTAATAAGCTTAAGCATATGGAAGATAACAAGCACTAACCAGTGTCCTATTATCTAATTCTAGGTCATTTATGAAAGGAACTTACCAAATTTTGAATGATACTAAGAACGTTAGTATTAGTCAGATCATCCTAACTTTGGAGAAGTTAAAATTGTACCTTAAAATAAAAAATTTCTAGCATACCATATCACTAAGAATTTAGACCTATCGCTATATTCAACCTCATTTATAGGTGGATAAAACTGATATTTGAGTTTGCACTAAGCCAGTACTGCTAAAAGAGGTCATCAAATCAATAACAATAACAATGTGTAGAAGGTTTTAATACCCATGTTTAAATCCTGAATCTCATAAGGCATATTAAAGCATAAAATGGCTTTGATAATAAGGGAATTAGATTTTGTGAATTTCAAATCTGACAACAATACTACTAAGCTTGATATTCTTTATGACTACTTCTATTAATGATAAATACTAAGAGAAGAAGAAATAATAGTTCATCAAAGCACTAATATCCTACCAATGTATCATTAATAATGGAAAGAAATAGAGTAGTAGGAGAGTAGTCCTTTAATATAGCAATATCCTTCCTTATCTATTTCAATTTATACAGGAAAAATTGATATATTGAACATTTTAATAAGTAATTCCTCTATGAGGGTTGGTTTGGATATTCTATTTTCATATATATGCAAGAAAAATTATAAAAAAGGCTTGAATAAGTATCGGACGATTTATTGCTTTAGATAAATAAAAAAATGTACAATCATTTAGCCCTAAATTAAAAGAAAACTTTTGTACAATAATTATGAATTGAAGAACTCATGTTAGAATATCATTATAAATGCTTAGGACTTCACTTAAAATATCCATTTCGCGTATCTTAATCACTATACACTACTGCAATAGGCTTCTTTTATGAAATTTTCAATAGACTTCGTTTTGAATAGATGATACCTATAATCAAACTTTAAACTAATACACACAGAACATAATCCATTCTTTGTTAAGGAATGGATGTATCTATCTAAGATTGTTCTTAATAAGTTTTTGGAAACGCTGGAATGACAGATAACTAAATGATATAATGGTAATTATAATCAAGTGTTCAAATATTAAAATTGATAAATTTAATTAAAATTATTAATTTATTTGTTATAGAATTTGGTTAATGGAAGTCTGGGTTATAATAATTATAGTCATCGGTGCCGTTTCAGGATCAACGGTCTTGTACATATTTTGCACAAAAAAATCAAAAAGTAAAACAAAAAAAGAAACCAATTAAGAACATCTAATTGACGAGAAAGGTGAATTGGGATAAATGAATTCTAATGATAAAAAAACCTATTACATCAATAATCAAAACCAAAATAAAAATTATATAGATACCTATTCTTATGATGTAAAATAGGATACTCAAACTAATCAAAAAAATAAAGAAAATTATGGAAGAGACTAAGCAAAATAATAAAATATTTATTAAAACAATAAATCATCTAATACAGTGGCAATAGATATTAAACCAAATAATTCTTAACACAATATGTAACAAAATATTTTATAATAAACAGACGAATAAAAACCATAATAAATATACTAAAAAATTGATAAAGGATAAACGAATTTAGGAAAAAATGACTTACACACTTATGATTAATCACAGAATGATGCAATTATTAAAATTGATTCACCTGTTTTAGAGAAAATTGACTCTCAACTACCCATTTCATAAAATAATCAGGATAATTAAAAATACAACTATCAGTAAAAGGAATTACAATATAATTATGATAATTAATAATAAAATAATCAGAATTCGTATTTATAAAATATTAAAAATGACGAAGAATAAAATATTGATATTGTGTAATAATAGAATTATGATAATTAATAACATAATAATAAGAATGCATCTTTATAAAATACTAAAGATGTCTAAGAATAAGATATTGATATTGCGTAATAATAGAATTATGATAATTAATAATAAAGTAATAAGAATGCATATTTACAAAATATTAAAGATGTCTAAGAATACAATATTGAAAGTGAGTAATTATAACAGAATTGGAATAATTAATAACAAAATAAACAGAATGATTATGAATAAAATTTTGAGAATGTCAATTATGAGAATGATTCAATGGACAAGGGCAATTAATAATAAAGTAATAAGAATATAATTATATCAATAGAATCCCCGGATAATTAGAAATTAGTGGATAATGCTGTTCAACCTGATATACCAAAACCTGAGGTAATACCTAAACCTGTGATTAAAATCAAGCCATTAGAAAGTTTACAGTAAATAATTAATGAGACTTCCAAAAAAAGAGAATTAGCAGAAGAATATAAATATTATATCAGAAGATATTAAGGCAAATCGGAATTGAAAAAAAATTATGGCCTAACTTTAAAAGCAAGTGTAGAATTATATAAATATTGTAATGCGTTTAGGGAAGTTAGAGGGGATGGTAATTGTTTTTACACTGCTTTTGGATTTTAATTCTTATCTATTTTACTATTTGATTATTCCTTAGACTAATTTAATGAATTTTTTAATAGAATTAAACAAATTGAATTACCAATGAAAATATTCGTTGCTGGTACAGATTTGAAAATTGATGATAAAGAATTAGAAAAATACCTATTAGATGAATTTTAACGTAGAATGATTAAACTTAAATCAATAGAAGATATAAATTAAAGAGAAGAATAATTTCATACCGAATTTGCTGCCTATGAAAAATAATCAGACGAAATTGATGGGTGTTTATATGGACTATCAACCTTATTTTTTAGAAATTATTCTAATTACGTTATCGATTTTAGTGATGCCAAAGATGCAGTTTATGATAGAGAAAAATTATTATATTGGGAAGAAGAATGTAATAGTAATGAAGTTGTTATTGCAGAGTTGGCTAAGTAATTAAATATGTAAATATTTATTATCTATTACAAGTCTTGTTTAGTTAATATTTATAGAAAATAAAGAAAATATAGTAGTGAGGGAGTATGGAAACAATAAAGAACATAAAATTATATTATTAATTAAGCCTGGACATTATAACATCGGCTATTTTAAGCAAGATGATAATAAGAATTAAGAAATTTCTGACCCTTAACCTGCAATTACAATTAATCAATTAGAAAGTTTACAGCAAATAATTAATGAGACTTCCAAAAAAAGAGAATTAGCAGAAGAATATAAATATTATATCAGAAGATATTAAGGCAAATCGGAATTGAAAAAAAATTATGGCCTAACTTTAAAAGCAAGTGTAGAATTATATAAAAATTGTAATGCATTTAGGGAAGTAAGAGGGGATGGTAATTGTTTTTACACTGCTTTTGGATTTTAATTCTTATCTATTTTACTATTTGATTATTCCTTAGACTAATTTAATGAATTTTTTAATAGAATTAAACAAATTGAATTACCAATGAAATTATTTGTTCCTGGTACAGATTTGAAAATTGATGATAAAGAATTAGAAAAATAACTATTAGATGAATTTTAACGTAGAATGCTTAAGCTTAAATCATTAGAAGATAGAAATGAAAGAGAAGAATAATTTCATACCGAATTTGCTGCCTATGAAAAATAATCAGACGAAATTGATGGGTGTTTATATGGACTATCAACCTTATTTTTTAGAAATTATTCTAATTACGTTATCGATTTTAGTGATGCCAAAGATGCAGTTTATGATAGAGAAAAATTATTATATTGGGAAGAAGAATGTAATAGTAATGAAGTTGTTATTGCAGAGTTGGCTAAGTAATTAAATATGTAAATATTTATTATCTATTACAAGTCTTGTTTAGTTAATATTTATAGAAAATAAAGAAAATATAGTAGTGAGGGAGTATGGAAACAATAAAGAACATAAAATTATATTATTAATTCAGCCTGGACATTATAACATTGGCTACTTTGATGAACCATAATAATTAGAAGAAAATTAAGAGTAATAGTAAAAAGAGGAAAAATAATTATGATTTATCATTTTAAATAATTAATTCATTTTTTTTTATTCTTTTGACTTTCTATATTTGTTAAATATAGATTATAATTTATCATCTGCAATATGATTAATTATATAACTTTATAAATGTGTTATATTTATTACAAAAAATATTCTGAATAGAGTTATGATATTTGGTAAAGTGTGAAAATTCTAATTTTTATACTTTTGAATCTATCACAAGGTTCAGAGTTGATATATATATATACAATTTATTATAATTCTTTAAGAAACTATTCAATTCTTATTTTTAAGAAATGCTTTATTATCTTGATGGCTTTGATTCTTCCTAAATTAATTTTATTTGATTCAAACCACATTTAAAGCTTTTCAAGGTTATATTTTATTACATGAAATTTTAGCATTGTGTTTTTCCAAATTTCTTTACTTTTGTTAGAGCTACTAATTTCACTAAATTTATGCTGTTATGAATCTAAAGGTTCTTTGATAGAACCAAAAGTAAGAATAAAAATTCTATAGATTAGGATTTATTGTTGACTTGTCTTTGAATTTGCTAAATTATCTCTATATATTTAAAAAATAAAGGTTCATAAAAGAATGAATTTAGATTGATTCAACTAGTCTTTGAATGTAAAGTAAGGACCAATGATTTTAAACCGTTCTATAGAAATATTCTACCAATCACAGATTAAAATATATTTTAATATAATAAATATTTGATTTTTTACTTATGGATAAAATAAAGAAGCTTAATTTAGATTCTGACTAGTTTTCAGTTGACTACTTAAGACCAATTCCATTCCTCGTAAACTCAAATAATTTTTATTGGAATGAGAATAGCATGCTTAATAATTTATAATGGAATTATACTCTTCAAATCAACAGTGATAAATTGAGTTAGGTAAAGGAAATTATATAGAAAGCTTGTTTTACTTAGGTCAGTGATCAAGAATTCAAAGTACAAAACAATTTATAGCATAGTTGATTTAAGACTTTTTAGAAAATGACGAGTATTTATTAAAAAATTGTGGTTTTACTACATAAAAATTACCCGATTTAATAGAAAATAATGCAAACTTAGTATTCCTTTTCTTAGTGAAAAATGTGAAGTCTTCTGATTTCTAAGAGTAAAAGTACTTAATAATTCAAGTTATTTGGATGTTTTAATCAATATTGATGTTACTCCTGCTACAATTGAGTTATTTGCGATGATAAATTATTCGATGAAAATACCTCCTGATTTCGTTACATATTATGTGTATTATTGTATTTAATATTGTAATAATATTAAAGTAAATTATAATATACAATCAAATAGGAAAAATCAACATAAACGAAAATAGTTAAATATGTCAGCATTTTCATTCGCCATTTTTTAAAAACTAAGGCAATTATGACTAAAGATCTTCTGACTGAAGTAAGCTTGCTATAATTATATAAGCTACAAGCATTTTGTATAGAATTTACCAGGGTTAATGAAGTATCTCAACTTTTCAAATCAGTAAAAGCTTTCAATGAATTAGGAGCATGATAAATTGAATAAAATTACTTAAAACAATCAATATATAATAAATGTTCAAAATTCATTGAAGCCAGTGGGTTTCAAAATTAGCATAATTTAATTACCTATCTTTTCCTATTCCTGAACTTTGTTATACTATAAAAATATGAATGGGAAATTACATTCTTAATGCAACTCTAAAAATTACTTATCAATTTAATTGAAATTGAATCTAGTCATTTTTCTTTCATTTATGTTACTCCCTAGTTTTTCAAACACTTCAGCCTATTTAGGAGTTTGAATAGCCTTCTACTCAAATTATTCAGTTTCTTCTTTGACAGGTGAAAGGCCTTTATGAATATTTTTCAATTTTTCTCTAGTGTCTATAAAAATAGGCTCTTTATTCTGTTGATTTTAAGGTTTTTTGTATTTTTCCCAATTTTCATTTTTTTTAGTTGAAGATTCATCTATTTTAGTTTTCTGTTTTAGATTCTTTTAATCACTCTTTTCTTAATTTTAAGTTTCTTTTTAAATTTTCTCTTTATTTTTTGATTCCTTCTTCTGTTGTTTGAGAATTTTTTTCCTTTCATTATATATTTCTTTGTTTTAATACCCAAAAACTCTAATTCTTTTTAATCCTTTATAATCCTTCTACGCGTAATTTAACACCTCTACAATCATTTAATTATATATTTCTTAAGAAAATGGTTCTATATCAACGCTTTGTACTTTATTCCATTCCAAATTTTCTTTCCAAATTACTTTGTCATAATAAATTTCATCTGAGTTTTCACCTTTGAGTCTTATATTAACCTAATCCGCATAGTAGTTCTCTATTCTAATCAATTAAAGTGAAAGTACATATAGAAATTAGTGATATTAAAGCATTCCCGAATTCAATCAGAATTTTAGCTTCTTTATCTTTGGTATACCATTCACCAGTTGCTTTGGTGATATTTTTGCTGCCAGATTCTGAAGATGGAGGGTTGACATCGACAATTTTCAAAATTAATTCATCTTCCATTTATTTATTATATTAAATATTAGTAAACACGTGTTTATGGACTAAAGAACTCCAATACAAAGGTTAGTGGAAGAATTACACACAGGATCACCTGCTTAATTGTTAGATGTAGCTAATCAATGCGAATAAACTCCAAATATCTAGTTGACAAAGTCAATCCTTTTAATAAATAACAAGAATTATTAAGAAGCTTCACAACTTTTGAAAGGACTAAAAGATCATTAACTTTATGCTTTTACTAGATTATATCTACTCTATGCTGAAGGATAATATCAATAGGTTGTAACAGAAAGTAGAAAAAATGTGCTAGAAGATTAGCTATTAATGGGACAAGCTTAATTAAAGTTAGGAGAGTTTGAACAAGCAATTCAATTATTTTAGAAACTACTTAAAGAAGTATAAGTATTCGATTATCTATTAGACCAAATTTCAAAAAGACTCTCAAGACATTTTAACAAATATAGCAAATGCAGCAATTCAATAAAATGACTAGACCTAAATGAAATAAATAAATTAACAAATAATTGAATTCATTAAAAAGAATAAAAATTAATATGCAAGAGAGTTATTACTAAACCATGCTTTACTTAATTTATAATTAAATGAGTAATTTTTGTTAAATATTCAAATAGTCTTAAAACAGCAAAAGAATTAACTATAAGATTTGAAAACATGGTGAAAGTTGAGAATGAGTAGGATGAGGATTTATTTTTAGCGCAATTAATTTTAGATGTAATTAATTCAGGAGATTACAAAAGCAAAGTTAAATAGTAAAGATTTATTTAATTTATAGATATGAAATTTTAGAGAAAGCTCCAGAATAAGCAGTAATATTAAATAATTTGGCAGTATTTTAAGAGTTTATTCATCCACATCATGATTCATTAAAAAGAGTTGAAGAGGCATTGTCATTAGATTATAAATTTACACCTCAATAACTTCATTAGTTGAAAATAAATAAAGCCATTTTATAAATTATTAAGAACAGACCAGCTAAGGAGTAAGGCTTGCCTTTACCTGTTCAGATAGCAATTAATAGATTGAAATGGGAATAACCAATCGAAGATCCATATCAATATCTGATATTTGCTACTAATAATGACAACATAAATAAAATAATTGAACTATGCAATGTAAAAAATTGGAATCAGAACAAAGTCTTGAGCACTTTTATCTTGGCTCACATTCTGAAATTGTCTGATGATACTCCATACGAAAAGTAAATTCAATTAATTGCCTAATTCCATAAAGATTTGGTTTGCAGTTATTATATCAAAAGAGGGAATTTAGATAAAGCTTTACTATACTAGACCTAGGATCAATAAATTAAGAGTCAACTTGCCTTGCTATGTATTGAAAAGGGATAACTCTAGCAAGGAGCTAAATTCGTTGACTCTTTATAATTCGATGGGATAACTGATATGAATGAAATTGAAAATTTAGAGAAAAATATTGGACTATCAAAGAAAGTGGAAGTCTAAGTGAAGAAAATTTAAAAGAAAAAGAAGAAGAGAATTAGATATCCAAAAAATTTCGACAAAACCAATCCTGGCCCATTACCAAACCCTGAGAGATGGTTACCTAAATATGAAAGAAAAGAATGGAAAAAAAAGAAATAAATTCATAGCAGAACTTAAGGAGGTAATGCAGGAAATGAAACAGTAAACACATTTAAATCAAGTGGAGCTTCGACTGCATAGGTTAGTGCAGCTTAAAAGAAAACAAATAAGTATAGAAAATGATAAGTTGATAGTATATTATCCTTAAAATTACATATACCTATTGTTAAAGATAATAATTAATTCAATATCCTTTATAAACAAACTTTAAGGTTTAATTGATTTCATTATAAAATAATTATGGGTGAATATGTTTCAAAATCTAAATAACAAATTGTGTAAATATTTATGCTCCACATATATGGATTTGCTAAGTTCTGTAATATATTTAATTTAAGTACTTCATTTAATCAATTTTATAAAGTCTAATCCACTTTAAATTCAATTAAAATGTTAAACCAGTAATAAAATTTTAAAATCTATTCTATCTCACGCTAAGTTGAGTTCAACTTATAAATATTATTCGTGTTAATTATATTTGAAATAATAACTATTATAATTGTTTTGGCATATTGTTAATTGAAATTCAGTTCTTTTAATTTATAAGTTATTTCATCCACATTGAATTTAAAATTAACTTCTTTCTTTCAGACATTTTCAATGTATTTATAGTTTGGTTTCATCAGATAACATGTAATTTAGAGAAAATTTAATTTAGATAACATATTGCATGTTTTTGAATCGCAATATTTTTAAATTTATATTATACTATATTGGTTTTTATATAATGACTTATTGGTTCAATATTGAATTCTAAACATAATTAGTATTTATAAATCTAAAAGGTTTAGAAGGTGAATTTACTATTAGATTTCAAATTCATAACCAAGCACTTTAATTTTCTAGAAATGGTATCATTTAAGAGATTAAAATTGAATACAAAATATCTAGAATTTGATGCTAACCTGGAACATATGGCCTTTAATATAAGTATAACAATTTATATATTTAATTTCAATATTTTATGCATTTTACTAAAATTATATTGATTTCATTTTTGAAATATTAAAGTTGATATTTGTTTTTTTCAGCATTAAAATGATATTGAAAAATATTGATTTTAGTTTAATTAACAATTTTGTTGAAGCAATTAAATAAATCCACTTTTTCAAACCTAATATAAAATTTTAAGAATGATCATTGGGGTTATCAATTTTGTTGAACTGGAGATCTAAAAATAGATTGGTTATTAAAAACATAAAATAAAACTTTTGGTCTCTTAAAATGAAATAAATAATGAGAGCTATGAACAAGCTTTATAGTCAGAATTAATCACCAAGCGAGGACTGATAGAACTTGTTTTTTAAAAAATTAGGACATCATCAGTTAGAATGACTAATCAAAATAAAGTATGTTTTTAAAAATTATTTAGAGTTCTCTAAAGTTGTGGATGCATGGATGTTTGAAATTAAGCTTCTTTAACTAAAATATGGCTAATTTTTTGCTGATGTGGAATGAAATATTAAAGTGCATGCGGATATATATTGAAACTCATTTGATTGTTATTCATTTATTGATTAATGAGTTCAATTTGACTTAAATCAACTCTAAAATGGGGTTTAAGTTGTTACTGAATAGAAACTAATAATAGTAATTTTATTATAATCATTCTTTGTTCTAATATCATTAATCAAATGATTATAATTGATTGAGGATTTATCTGGATTCCATAAAGTTTAATCACTAATAATAATAATTCTAAAGAAACACAATATGGGAACTTGTTAAATTCAAGCTCAGAATCAAGACAAATAAAAAGACCAGAGCGATGTCGCACCATCCTCGAATAATTACGTCGTGTAATTGAAACTTACTCCTCTGGTTTGTAATATTATGGGAGACGATGATAAAATGGATGATTTATACTTTGATATTGAAAAATAAATCTCTATTAACTAAGTATAAATAAATCAATATAAGAGGAGAAAGTTTAACCTGATAATCAGTGCAGCTAATTGCAATTGTCTTCGAAAATACAAATAACTCATGATCCTTCTTCTCAATCATTAGATCAGTCTTAATAATTTCCGAAGTCCCCAAGGAAAAATAAAAATCTGAATGCAAAATTTAAAGAGATGATTTTTTGAATCCAGGCCATAGCATTATAATAATTTGATGATTTGTATTATATATTACTGAATTATCCTAAAAGTATTACAATTATCTGTGAGAAGAATTAATATCATTACAAGAGCCACACTTAAAAATATTGAAATGTTGTTTTAAGGCTTTTTCTTACAAAACACGCAATTAATTTAATTACAAAAAGGGAATTATGGAATCTTTATTCAAACAATATATAATTATAATTTATGATATCCATGCCAAATAAATAAATAAAAAGCAAATTTAATATTTTTAATAAGTAAATTGGTTTGAAAATATAACTAACTAAGTATCTCAGTTTTGACATTTAAAGAGCATTTTAATTAAATATATAAGCATGAACGATAAGACTTGAAGAAGGATGCAATAAACAGATAAATTTAATGTTTATCATTTATCAATAAGTCTTAAAAAATTAGAAGTTATTTTATTATTTAATTTAATGCAATCTAAGTTTTGGTGGAAGATTACTAATAAGGAGTATATTCAATTGTTACTTTCTGCATTTTTTGGAGCAATAATATGTCTTTTATCAACAACAATAGGGAATTTCATTTTGATAGAGATTCGATTCAATTTAATCTTTTCTGCTGTAATTTGCTTTCATTATGTATGAAGTATTTTGGATTCACATTTCTAATAACAGGAGTATATATATTGATACGAACTAAAATATTCATGAATACTAATCATATTACTTAATGGACCTTAAAATAAAAGTATTTAGTTTGCTTTGCAAGTGTTATTATTGCATCAGGACTCATATGCTTTTGTTTATACTTTGATCAAAAATGGTAAAATATTAGAATAGAATAGGCATGAAGGATTGAATTACTTCACCAAGATTCCTTTATATATAATTTTGGGAGTGTCATTGAGTTCCTCGATATGTTATTTGACAATAGACTTAATCAACTTTATTTTTAGTTTTAGTTAGAATGTATAGAATAGAACTATTGTGGAAACTCCGAATTAGATAATATCTTTTATTTTTATAAGTTCATTAATTGGATTCTTATAGGGACTATTATTTAGTTCTCTGGATATTGAAGTATACTAGGCATTTTAATATTAGGACGTAGAAAACAAAACTGTTTCAGTCGGATTAATTTTATTTGAAGAATTGCTATTGATTCCTTTTATTGTGGTTTTGGGCAGCGTAGGAGGGTTTTTGAATGAATATTTAAGAATAAAGGGCAGCCATTTATAGTCATACACATTTGAACCAATCCAAGATCCATTTACAGATGAAATTTGATTATTTATTTTTGTATATTAAGAATATGAAAACTATATTTTTTGGGAGTGGATTGTTTCCTTTGCCTATCTTTTAAAGGTTGCACAAGATGGCAGCAATCGACCCCAAATTGAGTCTAATAACAGTGCCAAATCATTCACATAAGGAAAAAAACTAAATTAAAGATTACGCTGCCTAATAACAATTTAGTAAATATCGTGTAAAAATAAAGAAATTTATTAACCAAATTTGTCAGACAAGACCAACAACTTTGTTTAAGAAATCCAGGAAAAACCTGATCTTGGAATAGTTTGTAATTATGGATACATGATTCCAAATCAGATAATTGATATTTTTAATAAGGGAGTTTACGTGATTCATCCTTCCCTATTGCCCAAGTATAGAGGAGCTGCTCCAATTCAAAGGGCCATTATGAATGATGAATAGAAGACTGGAGTGTCATTTATTGAGATTTCAAAAAATAAGTAGAAATTAATGAATATCTAGAGATTTGATGCAGGTGCAATCCTGTTGAGAAAAGAAATTGATATCCTTGCAGTCGATAGATATAAGGAGTTATCATAGAAGTTATCATAATTGACAGCTGATTCAATAGAAGAATTCATAACCAACATTGACAAATTTGAAAGATTGGGTCAGAATGCTGGTGAGACGACTAAGGCACCAAAGATTACTCAAGCTGATTTAAAGGCAGATTTCAACAATACAGCAAATAAGATATATAATTAATACAGAGGGATTTATGGGACAAATTTCCATAGTTTGAAATTAAAATATCAAGAAAGGGAATTCTATTTAGAGAACATTACATTGGCAAATGACTTAGAATTAGAACAATTGAAGCATTTCAACACAGCTGAGAATGGCACATTGTGGTTAATAAGGAGCAAACAATTCAAAAACTATTTCTATATAAAATGCAAAGAGAATAGTTGGATTCGAGTCTAAGAATTCAGATTCACAGATAGGGGCAACAGTTAGGCTGCGTATACATTCAAGAATCAATTCATGATGGATTTCAAATTTGATAGTTTGGATAACCATTACAAGTTAAGTTATTGAGTATATATATATAAATATCTATATAACTATTGGTATAAAGAGTATTAATATAATTTATGCAAGAATATAAGTATCCAAAGATTGACGCGAAGCATTTTCATTATCACAATGACGGCACTGGAAGGTGAGATTAATACAAGATTTTTAGGGATCAGTATGTAAAACATACAAATGGTGGTTTATTATCTCAGAAGATGATTAGTTCACTAGATTTGTCTCCAAAGGCGGATTACACAAAGATGATCTTTCCAAAAACTGCAACAAAGTACTCTGAATTGTAATAACCTAGTTCTCGAAGCAGAGGATTGCTTCCGCCTTAGCATTAAAGAATTCAGCATTATTTTGGAGATGGAAAAGGTCGAGATTATTTTGTAACGATAAATGATGGTGGATAAGTGAATTTAAAAAGTTGGAAAGACCATCCAGATTAAGCATTTCCAGCTTAATTACGAAAATATGGAAGAGAATATTCACAACCTGACTGTGTTAAGTACTTAATATCAAATAATTCAAAATTATAATAATTGACTTAAACAATGAGATTAAGATAGAGCCAATTCACTAAGCACATTAGTGCACCTAAGAAACAATCGAGTCCTTTGTTAGAGAGCTTTATGCCAGATCTGAATGAAGGTGGGAAGTATCAGACATACCAATAACTGAAATACTAGAGTAAGGCATGTTTTTTTGCAGAATGATACATAATTTGATAAATCATATCCTCAAACGCACCTGATTTTGAGCTATTAATCTTTAAATGACTGGGTTGTCGACATGATTAGATAATTCTTCTCCATACAGCTCAATAAACATGGAGGCCTTCTTGGGGACAGTACAATAGCATGTCTTTTCAGTAGGTTCTGAGTTTTCAAGGGCTTCAAGTTATTTGATAACATCTTTGACGTTGTTCTTAGTAACCTCTACCAATTTAGTATTGATAAGACAGATTCTAAAATATATTAAATTTAAATTACTCTTTAGTTTCAGAGACTGGTGGTTTTGGAGTTGGGGTCACGGGAGGAGGAACATCAATATCTAAGGGGATAATAAAAAGAATAGAATACCATTGGGGAAAACAGGTCTGGAGGCTCCACCGCATAGATTCATTCTGAATTTACCAATATGGCCATTCCATGATGGATAGAAACGATCTTTACCAATGTTCAAGTAAACCTATGGGACCAAGAAATGGTTGACATTTTCAAAGAGTATGGTTTCCTTTCTGTCCTTGAATTGAACATATCCTTCTGCCTTTCTGGTATCTCTGTTGTAAGCATAGAAGATGAAATGCCAATTTGTTTACTGTTGTTTTTGAGGAATGACCTTAGCCAGATTTGGTTCTCCAGCTCCATTCAAATTCTTATAGGTGTAAGTGGCAAAGGCATAGATACCATCTTGAGCTGGTGAAACCCAGGCAGCCAATGTTCTATCTCCCAATCTCTCAGCATTCTTGTTTGCTTCTTCCTTATTGATGTGGAGACGGAAGGCCAGATGCCATTATTCCATAGTTGTTTCTTTCCACTTGAACCAACCAGACACACTGTACTCAGATGGGAAGGCAGCTTCAGGATCAGATGGGATTTCCAACACTGTAGCCTTGGCTAATTCGAACTTCTTGGATTCTTGAATGAGAACTTATTCAACAGCCTTGGAGCAGACTTCTTTTGGTTGAGGATTGCAAGCCAAAGCAAACTTATTCAATTCATCAACAGTGTCAAGATGAGCACCAGCACCAATCTTAAATACAGCTCTTGTTAATTGACCATTGATGGTTGGATATAATTTGAGATCTGATCCTCCAATGATGAGTCTTAAGAATGTTGGTTTATCATGAGTAACATCAAATGTGACTGATTAGGGTTCTTTGCCTGTGTACTTAACAAAACCAACTGATTAACTAGTGATACTACTGTAACTGAAATGAATATAGGTCCAAACTCCTTCAATGTCTCCATATTCAATGTTCTTGGCTGAATTCCAATTACTGGTCTTATAATCATTTGTGATAAATGTGTATGCTCCTTGACCTTACCAGATGGCCAATAATCTGTCTCCCTTCTCAACATTCTAATACTCCTTATTGACTGTCAATCTACTCATGAAATACCATGGTTCACTCTTGCCCTAATACATTGGTTTTGGATGTCTGCTTAAATATCTAACCCAATATGAATAGCCGTATTCTCTGATGTCTTTCAAATTCTCTGGAGTTGCTTCAATATCAGCCAATGGTTTGACATCATCGAATGCAGAATCTACAACAGTCTCATCACCCATCTAGCATTTTGGTTCAGGTAATGGTTAAGGTGGTTCAACTGGAATAACAGGTGGTTTTGGTAATTCAGGTGGGTTTCCTGGAGTGAATTGTGGATTGTATGGATCTTGGCAATTAACAAATGTCACATCAGCAATATATCCATTGAATGCAGGGTAGAATTGATCTTTTCCGATCAAAATTCTTAACACTGGAACCAAGTAGTGATTTGTATTGGGGAATTTCACATCTAATTTACCATCCTTAAATATAGTGGATCCATAAGCCTCTCTGGTCTCTCTGTTATATTAGAAGGTAATATAATGCCATTCAGTATGTTTATCTTAATGTCTAATCACTTAGGCTGCATTTGGTTATCCAGCTCCGAACATGTTTGTATAAGTATATGTGGCAAAGGCATACAATTATTGATCACTTAACCAAACTGCGAGTGTTCTATCTCCCAAGACTTCGGCATTCTTATTAGTCTTCTAATCATTTGTTGTAATTCTAAATGCCAAATGCCATGGTTCTTATTTTGTTGGTTCCCATTTATACCAACCTCCAATACCATACATAGTTGGGAAGAGAGATTTTTCGTCTCTAACATGTTCATAGAAATCTGGTTGGGTAGATTCATATTTCTTTATACCCTCAATCAATTTGCTTTCAGTCTTACCCTTGCAATCTGGTTCAGGTCTTGGATTGCATGCTAACACGAATTTATTGAAATCATCTTCAGTATTTACAAATGAACCAGCACCTAATTTAAGAATTGGTGAGGAGATTTGACCATTAAATCCTGGATATTATTTGAGATCAGAACCACCAACTATCAATCTCAAGAATTTAGGTTAGTCATGTTTGGCATCAAGAACTGTGAATTAAGTCTTGTCTCCAACTCTAACAACACCAACAGCTTATCCTGATTTATAACTGAAATGAATATAGGTCCAAACGCCTTCAATATCTCCATAAGGTATTTATTTATTTAGATTAGGATTGCCTGAAGCAACATCGTTGGTAATAAATGTATAACCAGCCTAACCTAACCAAATAGCCAATAATCTGTCTCCCATTCTAATGTTGTCATATGGATCATTATTTGTCAATCTAGAGATGAAATACCATGGTTCGCTGGCTCCCTTAATAAGAGTATCTGGCCATCTTGTAAGCCATCTGGTCCAAAATCCATATCCGTATTCAATTGCACTTCCCAATTTATCTTCAGTGACCTTGAGATCAACAACTTTATCACCACTAGAAGGCATATCTCCAATTTGAACTTAACCACTTACACACTTTCTGACAATTTCAGGTTCTGCAGGTTTGGGTGGTTGAACTGGATCTTCTGGTTTTGTTGGGTCAACTGGTTTAGTAGGATCTACAGGCTTTGTTGGGTCAACTGGCTTGGGAGGAGGTGGAGTAGATGGTACCTAAGGTGGTTAAGGATCTTCTGGGAATACTGGGGTGAATGCTCCACTGCATAATTACAATTTCAATGAACCAATGTGACCATTGAATGCTGGGTAGAATCTATCCTTTCCTACATTGACATAGACTGAATTGGTTAGATAATGATTGATGTTTTCCAAGTTAATGTTTTCCTTTCTGTCCTTCCATTACAAGAAACCAACAAGTTATCTCTTAGCTCTGCTGTATCCAATAAATACAAAATGCCATTAAGCTAATTGATCCTTGTAGGGCACTTAAACATATTTATTTGGATCACCTTCTCCATTCAAATTAGTATAGGTATAGGTTGTGATTGCATAGTTTCCATTATTTCCAACAAATGCACCTATGGTTCTATCTCCCAACTTGGCAGCGTTGGCATTCTCCATACCCTTATTTTGATGAAGACGAATAGCTAAATGCCATGGTTCCATGACTGTTGATCTCCATTTGAACCAACCACTAACGGAGTATTCATCTGGGAATGCTTACTCTTCTGGAGATGTGATTTCATTGACTTCACTGTTTTAAGCTTCGAATCTCTTAGATTTTTCAATCAAAACAACTTCCTTAGCTTTATTACAAACTGGGAGTGGTTTAGGATTGCAATTGATAGCAAACTTACGGAATTATTCAGCTGTTTCTACGAATGAACCTTATCCAACTTTGATAACAACTGATGTGAATTGACCATTGAATCCTGGGTAAGTATTGCCTTGAGTACCACCTAAAACAAATTCTAAATAATCAGGTTTATCATGAGTAGCTGCAACTGAAAAAGTCTTTGGTTCACTATTGTCATATTGGATCCATGAAGCTACTTTACCTGCAGAAGTATAAGAGAAATGAACGAATGTCCAAACAGCTTCAATATCTCCAAATTCAAAACGACCAGCATCTGTATTGAAATTGTTATTCTTATGATCATTGGTAACAAATGCATAATCTGATCTAGCTTAATAGATTGCCAACAATCTATCACCTTTTCCAACATCTTCAAAATCTTTTCTGCCTGATAATCTGGCAACAAAGTACCAAGAAGCTCTCTTACCTTGATACATTGGGACAGGGTGTCGAGTCATGTATCTCATCCAGAATTGATACCCATATTCTCTAACATCTTACAATTATTCTGGTTTGTCCAATACAAAATCTACCAATGGTTTTTATGAATCAAAAGCAGTGTCAGCAATGGTTGTGTCACCCTTCAAACATGTTGGTTCCTTTTATGGCTCAGGTGGTTTAACTGGAACTTCAGGTTACTTGGGTACTTCTGGTTATCCAGGTGGTTTGTAATCGGGATCGTATGCACTTTCACAAGCAAAGAATTGAACATTAGCTAAATAACCATTATAAGCTGGATAGAATTGATCCTTTCCTAAGAAGATCTTGTACAATGGAGCAAGATAATGATTGACTTCATCGATGTATTTGACTTGTCTATCTCCTTTTGTGAAGAGAATAGTCAATACTCTCTTTTACTCTCTTGAATATGCCATGTAAATGTAATGCCATTCTGTGTGTTTGTTTTGATGTTCAGTATTGATGTACTTGTTGGGATTTCCTTTACCGAAGTTATCAGTGTAAGTATAGGTAGCAAAGTGATAACTACCTGTTTTGCTCAAAAAGGTTGTGAGATCTCTGTCTCCCAGCAATTAATCATTCTTATTGTGTTTTTATCCATTGATTGTAACTCTGAATGCTAAATGCCAATCTTCTTAGTTTGTTGGTGTCCACAAGAACCAACCTCCAACGGCATAGTTATCTGGAAATGGACGTTCATTATCAGCAACAAACATTGTGACTTCACTTCCTTTGTTGAATTCTTTTGTTGATTCAATTAGATTGCTGACTCCTCTTCCTTTCTTGCAATCTGGTTCTGGTAATGGGTTGCATGATAAGGCATACTTTTGAACATCTTCAGGAGATCCAATGAATGAACCTGGACCGATCTTCAATACTGGTCTTGTGAATTAACCGTTGAATCCAGGATAGAGTTTGAGATCGTTACCTCCCAAAATGAATCTCAATTTCTTTGGAGCTTCATGTGTGATTCCAGCCAATTCAATTTGTGAGGTTTCTTTGTTGGCATGAACAAAAGCAACAGCCTTCTTTTTCAATGGACTGAAACTGAAATGAATGTATGTCCAAACTCCTTCGATGTCCTTGTATGGTTATTACTTATAGAGATTTGGGTTGGAAGTTCCCCTATCATTTGTGATGAATGTGTATCCATCTTTGCTTAAGAAGATTGCCAACAATCTGTCTCCCATTCTAATATTGTCATATGGATCATTTGAGGTCAATCTTGATACGAAATACCATGGTTCACTCATTCCTTCAAATAACTATTCTGGATGTCTAGTCAACCATCTGCTCCAGAATCCATAACCATATTCTGTAACGTCCTTCAAGGCTTCTTCAGGCACTTGGATATCAGCAACTGGTTTAACATCAGGGGCTGAAGATGAATCTCCGATTGCAGCTTGGCCTTCAATACATTTTTGCATAACTTCTGGTGTTTTAATGATGGGAGGAGGTGGTGATACTACAACATCTGGAGTGGGTGGCTTAACGGGTTTAGGAGGTGGTTTGATGGTTGGAGTCTTGGGGGGTGGTTCAACAGTCTTTGAAGGTGGTGGAGTTGGACCCAATGGTGATGGACTTGGAACTGGAGTAGCAGTTCTTGGGAATTTAGGATCATAAGCACCATTACACAAGTCAATTCTGAATTTGCCGATGATACCGTTCCAAGAAGGATAATGGTCATCTTTTGCCAAATTGATTGAGAGTCTTTAAACTAAGAAATGGTTGATATTTTCAAATGTTCTCTCTTCTCTTGCCTCCTTGAAGTGAACGATGGAATGAGCAGTCTTCTATTTAAATGAATATCCAAAGTAGACAAATGTCCATTCTTAAATTCTATTCTTGTGTTGAATTTAATTCATAATGTTTGGATTACCTTCTCCAAATAAGTTATTATATGAGTAAGTGGACAACAACACAATACCGTCGTTTGCAGTACCAATCCAAGCTGCCAAATCTCTATCTCCCAAGTTCTTGGCATTGTTATTCTCTTTTGTAGCAAACACTCTGAACATTAAATGCCATGGCTCTTAATTCTCCACTTACTTCCATTTAAACCAACCACTAACTGAATATTCTTCAGGGAATGGTGTTTCAAGACTAGTTTTAACTGTTTGTACTTTTGTAGTCTTAACATTGTATCTAACAGCCTTGTGGATTAAGGTTTGTTTAGCTCTTTCGGTACAATCTAATTTTGGATAAGGATTGCATTTAAGATTGTAATCGAACAATTCCAATTCAGAATTAACATAAGCTCCTTCACCAATCTTGAAGACTGGATTAGTGAATTACCCATTGAATCCAGGATAACTAAACTATCTACCTCCTACAATTAATCTCAAATATGTGGGAATATCGTGAGTGACATCTAAGGTGATTTATTGTACTTTTCCACTGGCTCCAAATTTCAATAAACCAACAGCCTTCTTTAATCTTCCACTATATGAATAGTAGACATAACTCCATAATCCTTCGATGTCTCCTGTTGGGATGTTTTGATTTACGTTTGGATTACGAGATGCTTTGTCTAGTGAAGTGAAATGGAAAGCAGTATCATAATGCCAGATGGCCAGAACTCTATCTCCCATTTCTGCATCATTGAATTTTTGATTGGTTGTCAATCTGGACACGAAGTAATAGGTGTTTTTTGTTCTTCCTGAGACCAATTCATCTGGATATCTGCTCAACCATCTTAACCAGAAACCATAACCATAATCAGTGGCTCCTGCAAGGTCTTTGCCTTCAATTACTGAGTCAGCAATAGCTTAATCTGAGCTTGCACTCATGTCGCCTACAACATTAGCCCCCTTGACACAATCAATAACGACTTAAGGTGTTGGACTTGGAGTCTTAGGCTTGGGAGGTGGTTAAGGAGTTGGATCCTTAGGTTTGGGAGTTGGGTCCTTGGGCTTGGGAGTTGGATCCTTGGGCTTTGGTGGTTGAGGTGATGGGTCCTTGGGTTTGGGTGTTGGATCCTTGGGTTTAGGAGTAGGATCCTTGGGTTTGGGTGTTGGATCCTTAGGTTTTGGAGTTGGATCCTTGGGTTTTGGAGGGATGATAATGATAGGAGTTTTAGGTTAGGGTTCGATTGGTTTTGGATCAACAGGGATGACTGGTGGTTATTCTGGAGTGGGTGTACTATCACATTGTCCTCTGATGATTTGGATTTTTCTGATTTCTCCCTCGATGTTGATTGTGATGGGCTTCTAGCATTCTTCTTCCAATTCGAGGAGGTCTAGAAGTAGAACTTCAATCATTTTGAACAACATTTCGCAGCAGGCTTTTCTGGTTTGGGTGTCGGTAGCTGCCAAAACTAAGTTAATTTAAGATTTCATTCCGTCAATATGAGGACGAGCAAATGAGTTTGGCATTTCGATAAGTGCCAAGGAATCAAATTTATGCTTCAACATATAAAGGTATTGTAGGTTGTGAACTTAAACAAATGAAACCTGCACTTGTTCTTCCATTCCTTTCCTTGCCAACATTTGTAATTCTCTCAATTCCTTTATGTCTTGATCCAATCTTCCTGTTTGGGCAAAATTAAGGGCCTCGCCGAGTTTCTGGAGGCCTTCTTCGGCATCATACAGCTTCGATTTGTCACATCCAAAACTCTCTACGTCGATCTGAGCTAATGATTGCACATTTATCAAAGAGGCACTTGCAACTAGAGATAACAATCAAAAATTACAGCTCATCAGCCCCACAAGCACCAGCAAGATAGCAACTTTGTTTGTCATAATTTTTAATTATAAAATAAAAACGGATTTTAATCCCCGATCCCCTTTTCTGCCATTGATTCGATAAGGCAATTAAGTACTGATTTTGATATTATAACATCAGAACTCTAACCTCTATTTGTGAAAAAACCAACACAACCATTCAACCATACATTATTAATTAATGTAAAATTTGCATCTACCCACCTCACAACTCTATTACGAGATTTGTGCCTTGTCCAGAAATAAACGAATTAATGATATCGAAAGAAGAGCCCTCAAAAAAGTAATTCCTTTACGCATTACATAGCTTGTCATTTTGGATGATTAGTATATTTTCGAGCTTATTGATGACTACAATCAAAAAAGAATTACAGAGACCAAGTTGTAAGATTAACTCATTCTTCTCTCCAAAGATGTCGATATGAAATGTAACCTATTCAACAACAAGTAGCTGATACTAATGACGAGTGCTAACAAGTTCTTGATTACCAATTCAACCATGCAGAAGCAAAAAAGGTTATAGACTTCATCTAACAAAATCCACAAATTCCAGAAGAAATAGCCTCTCCTCTAGGTGCTTAATTGTGGAAAAAAAGAAGAGCTGAAAGACAAAGTAGAAAAGGAAAGTGACAGTTTGAATAATTATGCAATTATATTATAATATTTGTTTATTTTACAAACTAAATATATCAATTATGACAATCAATATAAAATACTTCTATCGAGAAGATCATATTCTCTCATTCTCTCATTTATTTAAATTGTTAAGTTCTTAATTACTTAGGTGTTATATTTTACGTATTTAAGTTCTTATTTGCCACTATGTTCATAAGTGAGAATGATATTATTGGATTCCATTCTGAAAGTATCCTCTAAATTTAAATACCATATTTTATTGAAATCAACTTACCTGTCAAAATTATAAAATATTCTTCAAATACCATAAATTTAAAGGTTGTTATTTAACTCCTTTAATTTAATTAAACATTTTTATTAGAGATTCATATTTAACCCAACAGTATATAGTATATACTAAATAAGTTTATAATTTAATTTATTCATATTTTAATGAGAAAATAGTTTTTTCCTTGAATGACTCACTCTACGATTTTAATTAAGGTTACTTTTATGTACTTAACAAAAATTATGATACCTCAAATCTAATCATAAACAGAATTACAGAAGTATTAACTTAATATCTAATTACTATATATATCAATACCAGCCTATGCTACTGGATCATACTTAAAAATTGATAAATTGAGATTTATAAATTATAATTAATTGATCAAACAGAAACAAATGATTTTGGAGCATAGATGAAAGCTTTTGATCCTTGCAAATGCAAATTTAGTTTGATAGATTTTTAAATTTTTCCATATCGTAAATTTTAAATTTTACCTACATTGATCAATATTAGAACTAAAGATTTGATTCATAAAGAAGTACTTCAAGGATTATTAATGAATATAATAAATTTAGAAACTTATATATGCTAAATAATTTGAGTTCAGAAGATTCGTTTTATTTTTAAGAAATAGTCCATCCTCAGTAGAATATCAAAGTTTTCTACTTTTCACTTATTCCAATTAAGTAGTATACACAATACTGTAAGATATATTGTAATTTTTGAATTAGATTCTAAGTCTTATTCCAATGTTGTTTATATAAAACATTTTAATTTAAATTAAAAGCAAAGAAGATAGTTGATAATACAGGCAGTCTCTAAAGTTAAGCAGTTTTATGAGAACTCTATAGCACAATAAGTCCAGATTAACTAGATTATTTAATCTAAGTAAAATCTTCTTCAAAAGAAAAAGAAAGAATAAAATGAAACTGACTTTGATGATCAAAAATGAATGTTTTTTATAAGATTAGTCAAAATTTAATAAAGATTTTTATAAAGGAATTAATTTACCAACTGCAATAGAGAATAACTAATATAAAATTAAATCAAAACTTCTAAAGATAACTATCCAAAACTATTGAATTTAAATTAATATTGAAATATATTATTAAAAAGGCAATCATAAATATTTAAAGCATGAGAAGAATAAAATAAAGAAAAATTAGCGTATTATAACTGAAATTCGAATTTGAATATTAATTCAGATCATCCCATTTAATTTTATCTTTCTGCACTTTAACTCTCTCTATAGTCTTAACCTTTGAGGAAATCTGGACAACTCTCTTTGTTTGGATTAGTGAGAATCTAAAAATAAATAGGGAATAATATAATACTCTCATCTTCTACTTTTCTAATTTTGGACAATTAGCCATCCTATGTCCCATTCCATCACAATAACCACATGAACCATTCAAGTCCTCGTCTGATTTGAGTTTCTCCAAAAATTAAGGGATTTCTAGAAATCATAATATGTGATTACTTTATTTGGATTCCACAAGTAGATACTTTAAATCTAATAGAATAGACTCTTCCTATTATCTATTGACAAAGGTTGTTGCTCTGCCTGTTTTGCCTTGTCTTCCAGTTCTTCCAATTCTGTGAATGTAGGATTCAATCTAAATAAGAATAATCTGGTACATCTTTGGGCATATCATAATTGATAACATGTTTAATGTCAGGAAAATCCAAACCTTTAGCAGCCACATCAGTCGCCACCAAGACATCTTTTTATCCATTCAAAAATTATTTTAATGCTTTAGTTCTATCCTCCTATTGTTTTCCTCCATGCAATCCAACTACTTCCACGCCTTTGATTAATAGATACTCATTAATGTCATCAACATCATTCTAATGCTCACTAAATATGACAACAGGGGGAGTTGTTTTTTTGAGACAATCTAATAAGTAATGCAATTTCTCTTCCTATTTAACATATAATATTTCCTAGATCACATTCAAGTTAATTTAACCACTTCTACCTACATTTATGACTAATGGGTCGACCAATGTTTGTTTTGTGAATTCTTATATTTTCTTAGGGAGAGTAGCACTGAATAACATAGTTTATCTAGGACCCTAAACTAAGGTATCAGTTAATTAATCATACTGTGAAATGTTCTAAAATGTTTCTGATTTCCAATTCAAAAACTTAGTCCAACATTCTATCAGCTTCATCCAGAACTATGAATCTACACAAATCCATATTTATTTTTTTCTTATTAACCATGTCACTAATTCTACCAGGAGTTCCGATTACAATGTGAACTCCATTTCGTATTGATTACAACTGGGATGACATATCCATACCTCCAATTCCCAAGAGACAATGTATTGCTGGGAATCCCTATCTATTGAATATATATTCATTACTTTCTTCTAGAATTTCTGGCAATACTGTTTTGCCAACTCATAGGTCAAAATTGCCAATTCATGGGATGGGAGCAATATCAAAGCAAATGGTCCTTCACCTCTGATTACTGGCATTTTCATTTCCTCCTCTATGCATTATAATAAAGCGGGCAACAGAAACACTAAGGTCTTGCCTTATCCACTTGGTGCCACTCCGATAATGTCTCTTCCCATTAAACTTAAATATATAGTGAAAATTCGATACACAGCTGGTAATCCTTGCATTTGAATTGGAGTTGGTTTCTTGATTTTCATTTTGCTGAGGATTTTCAAAATTCTGTTGTCGACCCTTAAATCTTAGAATGATTTAATTGGAGGGGGAGGGTCGTTGCCTTCTATCATGATGGAATACTTCTTCAAGATCTTATCAATTTTATACTAATCCCACAATCTTTATTTCTTTTTTGGTCTCCATCTAAAAATATAAATGTACCATTTTTACTTTGATTTGACAATCTCCTTGCTTTTTAGCAACATCAAAGTACTCCAGGTTGAGTTTTTCATTGCATTCTCTATTTGCATCTATTCATAAGCCTAAATCTTCTAGATGTCCTCATCATTGATTTTCCTCAAATTGCCATTGTCTATTCCTTGTTACTTCATCTACATTTTCTCCTGCACTAGAGACCTTTTCTATTCATCCTATTATTGATGCATTTATTGAAAATTATTTTAAATTTTTAATAATCAAGCGTCCTCATCATCTTCTTACTCTACTTTAGGTTAATTTGCCTTTCCTTCAGCAGCTGCTTTATCTGCTGCCTCTTATTCAGCAGCAGCCTATTCAGCTGCTAATTCCGCAGCCTTGGCAGCCTCCTCTGCCAATCGAGCTTCCTCAGCCTATCTTGCTTCTTCAGCCAATCTTGCAGCCTCCTCTTCTTCTTCTTTCTTCTTTTAAATGGCAGCAGCAATTCTCTCCTTTAACTCTGCTAGTGCATCTGCCTTTTCTTCTGGAGGGACTGGCTCTTTGTTGACTCTTTCAATCTACTGAAGGATCATAATAATTTCTTTTCTTATTCCATCTCCCATTTCAGTTGCAATTGGATTTTCATGCATAGTAATTGATTTAAGACTCTCCAAAGATTTGAGATTATTAAATTCATCTAATTTTTCAATCAGATTCGCTCTAAGATTAAGATGATGCAATTTTGGTAAATTTGGGATATCTGTTAGGACAATAATTTTGTTTGCCCTTAAATGCAATGTGTGCAATTCAGGTAATTGATGCAAATTTCCAATTGAAATGATGGCATTTTGAGCAGCCCATATTTGTTTAAGCTTCAATAAATTCTAAAATCTAAAATATTTATCTATATCCATTATTACCCTTCAAATGATTCTAGTTTATTGTTTCTTAACTCAAGAATTTCAAGGGTATTATGTCCATTAAAGCCTTGTGCACTTTTAATCAAATTGTTTTTCAATGACAACTTCTTTAATCTGGGGACATTGATTTATCCAAAGTTTGTAATTTTGTTATTGTCTAAATTTAACTCATCCAAGAATTCGAATGTGTTTGGAACATTGAAACAATCCAAATTAGTTATTTGATTGAATGACAAATTCAAATTCGTTAAGTACTTTATTGTTTACAGACTGTTCACATCTTGCAAAAGATTATTTGCGAAACTAATTTTTCTCAAATGCACGTAATCCAACATGACATTGAACAACTTATCTATTTTCTAAGTTGCCTTAACAAATATTGTACTTTATTTTCGCATATTAATTCCACAAATGTGTACCCACTTAGATTGGCAGTTTTACCAATTCTCTTAAGTCCCTCCTTGATGTCATTATGCAGCTTTTGAATTTATAGTGCTTCCGGAGCATAATACTCATCTTGTGGTACATCTGGCTCTTCAGGTTCAACTGGTTCAACTTATTCTACATCCTGCTTCTCTTCCCCTTCATCCTATTGACTCATTTTTATAAATAATAATAATGTAAAATTAATATATTTAATAGGTATCGAACTTCAAAATCCAATTTGTATCTTATCACTCATTATGTTTTTCATCTGACTCTCAAAATCATTCTCATAATCTTGCACATAATGCAACAACTCCCTAACAAAATGTTAGTATTTCAACTCTCTGACACATCTACCCATGGCTATGTTCTTAGCATAGAATTCCAGAATTAAATAAAAATAAATTTGATGTATGTCGATGATCTTCACTATGGCACTCAGTATCTCTATTTTTTAGCCCTAACATTGATTAATCATTTACCAGAACTATCGATGAATATAACATAAGTCTTCTGTTGTCATCCACATACAAATTTGTCTACCCTTGTTCCTTCTAAAGAACATTCACCAAGAACATTATGTCATCTGCAGTTTCTATTGTAAACAGGATTTCTGGAATCAAAGTTCTCACAATGAAGCAATTCTTTTGTTCCAACAATTCGAATTTGTATTTTAAAATCAACTGTTTGCCATCAGCACCAAATTTCATAGAGCTTTGAGGATCCCCTCCATTCCTACCTGATTGGATAAATTAGGAAATGATATTCAATGAATTTATGTCCGATTGCCAGACAAAATCAAAATAACCATTATTTTGCTCAATATCAATTTTCTATTTGTCAACTTTTGATTTGTCTTGTTGTTATTACTTCGCAATATCTATCATCTTATTTTTATTCATAACAGGTTTGTAATTAGGTCTGAAAACAGCAGCCACTCGATTGTTCGTAAATGTTAAATCCTCTCTGGTATCCAAATAAGGCTTGATCTTTTATGCAAAGCTCGTCAACACATCATGACTCTCTGACTTTATGTCTGTTAAAGCTCTTAAAAATGCAAGCAAATTCTCAGTCTAAGTTGTAATATTAGGAGATTGTTTCCCAATCCGATATTGCTCCTAATCAATTCTTTTCTTCTCTAAAAATAAATCACGAAGCTCTTCGTTCGAGTCTAATTAATACAGGATCATGCTCTATTTAAAACTATATCGCCATGACTTCTTTTTTACTGAATCCTCTGAATACAAACTGTCAACTCCAACATAAGTGTCATTAATTTCCAATATTCCTTCAATATCCTGAATCCTCCTCGGTAAAATCGCAAATTACTTTTTATAAAAATGTTTGTCCTCATCTTGTTCCTTCACAAAAGGTAAGAAGGTGTCCAAAAATTCCTAAAAAAAAATATAAGTCTTCCTATTATTGTTTATTCTTTACCGCATTTTAATACGCTTATTGTCTGTAATTGACAAACTTCTCCCAACTAAACTCTAACTTATCTTTAACTAAATATTTGGTAATCAATTTAAATGTTGGAATTAGCAAAAAGAAATCTTACTCCTTATGATAAATAAAGTTTTCTCTTATGGGATCCAAAAACTGCCTTAATCTAATGCAACAAAATACCCAAAGTTAGCCGTCCAATGAAATGTTTCGATTAGACATTGTAACACTTATTTTGCCATCACCACGTCTTATTACTCAAGTTTGAAATCTTAAATAAAACCATCGTGTTTCCCTTCAGGCTCCTTCATTATTATTTTCACCTGCTCTCCATTAAGACCATCATAGTAGTAGTCAATTTTTAAACTATCCCCCTAATTTATCTCACTTATTTTAAATATCTTAGCAAGTTTAAAGTGATTGCAATATGGTACTCTATTTTCAACATTTTTCATACTTCAACGATAACTTATCTTATATCTTTTAGTACTACTGAAACAAGTGAGAAAGGATCATCTTATATTCCTTCTTAAATGTAGAGATCATTGAGAAGCCTATACACAATGAACTATTTTACATAATTTTATTTTATTATAAATAATTATCTTTAAAGTTACTAGTATTATTCTAAATCAGTTGAAGGATACGTATTAAGTATTATTCTTTCTATCTCCGTTCACTTGTATGAATTTATCTACTTAGAAAATGAGTAGAATTATTTTGATAAAAAATTAAAATTGTTTTTATGGATATAAATTTCTTTATTTAAAATTTACATTTTTTACGAAGATACTCCTAGAAGTATTTAATTTAATAGAATCCTATTCCTCTCTTTTTTTAATTTTTTTTTTTATTGTAATTTATTTTAATATCTTTGAATGTAAAAAGACTCCTCCTATAAGGCTGATTTCGATATCATATGCTAACAAAAATATTGAAAAGCCCTAAGTATTGAACTATGTTATTGAGAGCATTTTTAATATTTATTCGTAATATTGAGGAAGATAAATTGTTAAATCAATTTCACTTGATTGAAGAAGGATAAGGGTATTGGGAAATGAAAGAAAAATATAAACCTTATTATAAGATCAATTTTGTTAGATCGAAAATAAAAAAAATATATAAAATAGTCACACATTATTCTACTACGAAGTGTAATAATTAAATGGAAGATTGCAAATTAATTGAAAGCCATTCATATTTAGTTTGATTTAAAAGAATCGATTAGTTTTTAATATAGTTATAATTCTAAATTATAAAGATTTATAGAGATCTTACTGCATATTTATGAGAAAAAAAGTATAATTTTTAAATTAACCTTTGAAGATTTATTATGATTAATATTTGGAATTCCTTTAGTTATTTTTATTAGCACTTTACTATGATACAACAAAGAATTCTTTCCTAAACTCTTTTTTTGTTATAAAGACTACTAAGTAAGATAAGAAATCAATTGTATAAAATTTGAAAGATTAAAATGATCTCATAATACTATCATCTATTTATACTCTAAAAGTACTCTTATTGATATTTATTTCCCTCTGCTTATCAATTATTTTTAGTATTGATATATATTTAATTCTATTAAAGTTTGATGAAAAGATATATTTATTTGGGAGTAAGAAATGAATAACTTTTATGAAAATTATTTTATATGATATGAGAGAAATGTAGTATATTTTGCACTTCGATGGCTTGAAGACTGGAATATTAAAAAAATATTAATAATATTTAGTTTTATTGGAAAAAATTAAAATCATGATTATTTGAAGATTTAATACCCAATATTATAATGTCCAGGCTTAATTAATAATATAATTTTATGTTCTTTATTGTTTCCATACTCCCTCACTACTATATTTTCTGAATTTTATATAAATATTAATTAAACAAGACTTGTAATAGATAATAAATATTTACATATTTAATTGCTTAGCCAACTCTGCAATAACAACTTCATTACTATTACATTCTTCTTCCCAATTTAATAATTTTTCTCTATCAAAAACTGCATCTTTGGCATCACTAAAATCGATAACGTAATTAGAATAATTTCTAAAAAATAAGGTTGATAGTCCATATAAACACCCATCAATCTCGTCTGATTATTATTCATAGGCAGCAAATTCAGTATGAAATTATTCTTGTCTTTAATTTATATCTTCTATTAATTTAAGCTTAAGCATTCTACGTTAAAATTCATCTAATAGTTATTTTTCTAATTCTTTATCATCAATTTTCAAATCTGTTAAAGGAACAAATATTTTCATTGGTAATTCAATTTGTTTAATTCTATTAAAAAATTCATTAAATTAGTCTAAGGAGTAGTCAAATAGTAAAATAGATAAGAATTAAAATCCAAAAGCAGTGTAAAAACAATTACCATCCCCTCTTACTTCCCTAAATGCATTACAATATTTATATAATTCTACACTTGCTTTTAAAGTTAGGCCATAATTTTTTTTCAATTCTGATTTACCCTAATATTTTCTGATATAATATTTATATTCTTCTGCTAATTCTCTTTTTTTTGAAGTCTCATTAATTATTTGCTGTAAATTTCCTAGAATTTTTGATATATCAACATTAATTCTTTCAACTTCATCAATTACTTATTAAGTATTTTGATTTTGTTATTAATCTACATTCAAATCATTTTGTTATTAATTATCTTGATTATGTTATTGAAATGCGTTCTAATAATGTTATAATTAATTATCTTAATTATTTTATTGCTAAACATTCTAATTATTTTATTATTAATAATCAAATATCTATTATAATTACTCATTTTGAATATTTTATTCTTAGTCATCTTTAAAATTTTATAATTATGCATTCTGATTATTTTATTATTAATAACAATGATCAATTTTTTAGTATATTTATTATGGTTTTTATTCTTCTGTTTATTATAAAATCTTAAGATGCATGTTGTGTTAAGAATTATTTGGTTTAATATCTATTGCCACTGTATTAGAAGATTTATTGTTTTAATAAATATTTTATTATTTTGTATTGTCTCTTCCATAATTTTCTTTATTTTTTTGATTAGTTTGAGTATCCTATTTTACATCATAAGAATAAGTATCTATATAATTTTTATTTTGGTTTTGATTATTGTTGTAATAGGAATTCATTTATTCCAATTCACCTTCAATTAGATGTTCTTAATTGCTTTTTTTTTTTGAATTACTTTTTGATTTTTTTGAGTAAAAGTACAAGCCTATTAATCCAAAAAAGACAACGACGACTATTAATATTATGATCCACGTTTCCATTAACCAAATTCTATAACAAATAAATTAATAGTTAAAACAATTTCAATCTTAATATTTGAACACTTGATTATTTCAGCTTATCAATTCCTCTTATTAAGTTTTTGAATATTATAATCTATATTTTTCTTTAAATGACTATTAAGTCGTAGTGGAAAGTTTGAAATGTTTCTTGTCTTTGGAAGAATATAAAAATTAAAATTCAAGGATATTTCAATAAAATTGTTAAATCTTAACAAAAATGCTTTAATTTTAATGTACGGATAAATTAGAGCTCATCTCCATATCCATATGATTAATAAAAAAATTACATATTCTTCATGCCCTCTAATTTGGAATTTTCAAAAATGTCCTCAAACTAAGCAATTTCTTCTGATGGTATTTTGATTCCTTTCATCGTAAGAACTAACCTTATACCCTTATCAAAGGAGAAAGTCTAAGAACTGGAAGGTTGGATGTCCAAAGCCAGAGCAATAACAAGAGATAGGAGTTCGGATTCCTTTTTTTAAAATACCTCTAATACTGATTTTTAATATCTTGAGTAATAATATGCTGGAAGCTAATATTTATTTCTGTGAAGCTAGGATAATCCCTTTAAATAAGTATATCCATAAATTGCCAAATACAACTAATACAGACCTATAGCAGTTTTAAACCCTTGATATTATTTTTCGGAATTAAGATAAATATTAAAATTACTTAATTACTGTAGCTTTATACCAGCCATTGTTAAAGTTCATTCCTAGGAAAAACACCTAAATAAATCTTAAAAACATACTTAATTTAATCAACTCACCCTATAAATAACCAAAAATTATATCTAATTTTGTTTGATTAAATCAACTTTCAATACTATTATCTTAAAAGACATTATGGAATTCATCAAATATAAAGTCCAAAGCATAGAGGAGACAGATGTTTTTGAAAAATTCATAAATATGAATATTATTTCAACAATAATTGCAATTCGACACATTATTAGGAGATTTGTTTACATTATATTAACTAAATCCTTTTAGAAATAAAAAATCAATATTTCATCTATATTTTGATGATAATTCAAAAATAGATAGATTCATAGGAAATAAACTTAAATCCAAACTTATGTTAATTTTTGAATGGTTATCGAATTGGATTTGTTCATTTTGTAATGCTATTTTAACTGTTGCTAAAGACTTAAGAATTAAAAATCATGGATTTTTCAATAGTAATTTTGTAGTTATATTATAAATTATATATTATTTATTTAAAAAAAATATTTAGGAATTTCTAAATTTATAGAATCGTTATTAAATGAGAATCGCAATGATCCTTATTGGTTTCTAGCTAGGAAAAAGTGGGAATGTGATCTATGAATTTTTTGGCACGTTAGTTTAATTATTTTTTATTTGAATTTGTGAATATTATTTTATTAACTGTTTGAGAAAGCGCTTTCATTTATTTAAACTTTGCATAGAATAGTTAATTTTTCTTACGTTGATTTATGGAAATATATAATATTTTGTTTATTAAATCATAAATATTACATATTATCCAATCTTATAAACTGGTTCTAATTTTTTTGAAGGCAAAGCATTATTTTATATTTTAATGAATTGCTTAGAAATAAATACACTAAAGGATTGGTTTGAATAGGTAGTCAACAATTAGAGACCTGTCGTAGTCAGTTTTTTTGCTGATTGGTATTTTGCTTAACAAATAATATTTAGGTGTGCCCCATGCCGCAAACTCAATCCATAATTAATTTAAGAGGCTGAGAAGAATACTGAAAAATGGTAGTTGGTTTTGGTTAACGTGAACAATGAGGAGCTGTATGACGTGGTGCATTAATATGTGGTATAAGTTATAATTGATTATTATTAGAAGGCTTAAGTTCCTTCAGTTTGCTTATTTAACATGGGAACTCAAACAGACTTAATGACAGGGTATAGTGAACGTAAGATTAAGTCTTTTTTCGAAAAGATTAGAAGCTGATTTTTACTATTGTATTTTAAATGTCTTTTATAACATATTTATCAAACGTAAGTATGGTTATGTTACTTCTGATACTCCATTTCTAAGAATTGAGATTGATTAATGAGTTGGACATTTTAAAAGAGATAAGATATAAACAGATATTTTGAAAATCTCCTTTGTATCTTTTTTATAAACTAAATGAACCTTATTCATTTTAATTAAGTGATAAATGTTAAATGAACATTGCATATTAATATTAGAATCAATAATGGAAAATCAATTTTTTTGTAGTTCCTTCCTTTAAAAAGTGTTTGAATAAGGAAATTCTTTAATATTTGAATTGAATCAATAATATGAATAATATTCCATTGAATTTTGAATTAGAAATTACAGTAATATATATATCACAATTCAAAATTAAATAATTAAGTTTAATGCCGTCTAATAGTTAATTACTAAGAAGATTATTGGGAAATTTTATTTTCCTAAAAAATAAAAGAAATATTTATTTTAAGTATGGTCTGAGGGTATTTTATATATCGAGTTAAATAATTCATTAATGGATGATTATAATAGATAATTAAATGCAACCAAAAAATTCATGAATATTTTCAAATATGGTGATTGGTTTTAATTAAACCTTGGTTGATTAAAGAATAAGTATCAAAAGAGCTGTTCAATTGAATTGCTTCATGCTTTAATGATATTCAACTTAATAATGTCGATATCAAACATGATCACAAGTATGAATAAGCAGAATTTTAATTTTCAATTAGTGATTTATTTACAATAACTTTGAATATTGAAAATAAATATTAATTTATATCTTTGATAGAATGTCTGATTTCAACCTTTAGTTAATGGACTTCCCTTTATTATTTGATACTATTATCTTACCTATATTAAAGAAAGGATTGTGGATTCCTGATATGAAATTGAAATATTACAAATTAATATAATTTATTGATAATAATTGTGAAATACAATAGTTTTCTTAATAAGATTGTAACCCATTAGTCAGCTTCTTTGTTATTATAGTAAATCATTCAGATATAAAAGAGTAGACTTAAAAAATGATTACTGAATAACATTAATGTGAAATATAATATATATTATATTATTTTGATTTATAAATGTGACTGTTCTTTCATAATCCTTTAGCCCATCCCAAACCTTACATAGCTTCAATTCTTAAGTTTTCATTTTACTAAGTAGTAAAATTGCTTTAGGAGTGGATGTGATCATAGACTTGAGCTGCTTTCAAGACTGTATTGGCGATGACTTGATAGGCAGAACTGTAGCCAGTTAATTAGACACTATTGAATCTATTTGCCTAAAAAGGTTTGATGAATAAGATACTAATTCTGTGGGGACTGCAGAGTGACTTTTGGCTAAGGTCTTTTGTAAGACGGGAGCATATTATTTAGCATAGAAATATCTGAGTTTAGGATCTTGATAATGTTCTAATAAAGAGTAAGCAATTTTATTTGGGATTGTGGACATGACCAATTCTCTAATTATAATAAAGATGAGTATTACGGATAGAGGATTCCATTGTATGCAATGTTGAGGTCATTGTCGATACCATTGTAGAGGGAAGTGTAATACATTTGGATGGTTGGTTTTGGATCAAGGATGATCTAAGAAATAGGGATAGAATGTTTACAGTGGGTAATTAGAATGCAGCACATTCAGCAACAATTTATCCATTACAAGCTAAACCGATATCAGAAGCAGCAAGGGCTGAGAATTTTTCAGATTCAGTTTAGACTTGGATGACTTTGGCAGGCCATTTTAAGGAATTGATAGTTTTGATGGTGTTGTCTTTGTGTTCAACAAACTCTGGGACTGAGACTATGATTTTGATTTGATCAGGTGGATAGTTTTTCATTTCGTCAAGTTTGAGGAATCTTGAGATACCTTCAGCTACAGTTTTGAGACAGAATGGTATTTCTTTGGATGTATTTCCACCTGCAACAAAAATGAGTAATTCCTGATCTCCGATATTTTATTATTATCTATATGTCTTTCTTTGTTCATTGACTCTATCGGCAACGAAGTCATCGAATCTGAAGAATTCACCTCCTGGGAGATAGATGGTATCATTAGTGACCAAGTCCTTGTATTGAGGACTGTTGGACAGGAGATGTCTGAATGCTCTATAAAGTCCATCTGGTCCTACTTATGTGTGAGGGAAGGTGAATTTCTCCCAATTGCTCTTTGATTAGATATTTATGATATTGTACTTGTCTCAATGGGGTTCTGGTGAACCAGTGATCCACATACTTTTAACCATATTGAGGTTAGTCTTTATGGGTCAAACCATATTGGAATGTGGGAGGACAAATGCGATTGAAGTGGCGATAGGACTCTCTTAATTTCTTGTAGAATTGAATCATGAAGAATTCATTTTCGAAATTCAAGAATGCTGATGGTTGGTAATGTTAAACGATTTCGAAGTATTACTTATCAAGTTTATTCAAAACCTTTTTATTGATCCATCTCTTGTACATATGGACTGGATGCATTGCATTCTCAGTACTAACTTAGCAATAGAGTGTACGCCAATCTGTAGAAATTTCTGAAGGGGAAGAATGGTTTGTATTGGAATTCGTGATAATCTACTCCGATTGTTTCTAATCCTTCATGACCCATTTAGGGACCTCCGATTCCTACAAAGCGGAATTCAGTGTCTGGTTTGGCTACCTTTATGGTTGACATCACACGGGCCAAGTGCACATCTGTTGAAGGACAAGCAGCAGACAAGAAAATCGTAGCTTATTTCATTAAATATTAAATCTAATAATTATCAAAAGTTTCTTGCAGACATCTTATCAACTACATCCAACAAATCTTCTTTGATTCTCTCAGGATCCAATTGTTTCAGCTTCTTAAATATCAGCATGTATAACACACCGCAGCCATAGAATTTTTTGTGTACCAACCAATAAATTATCAAAAATCTCACTATCCCATACAAAGGAATCATCTTTTCAATTATCACATGCAGCAAAGGATCCAATAACAGAATCACACCCAAAGCCACATAGTACAAAATTTAACGAATCTAGTCCTACTCACTGCTCAATTTGCATTTCATTGGATATATTATTGCAGTCAACAACCAAATTATCTTCACATAACTTAAAATCCATATTCCCAAAAACAACATCAAATACAATCCCAATCGAACTAAATTAAAATCGTAATCTTTTCTTGCAAACCTCAAAAATAACTTACTCTATGTTATTCTCTAAGCCAAACGATTGATGATTTCCTCGTCAGCAATCTCATGCATCTACTTTATCACACTAACATACTCCTCGTTCAAATGAGATTACTCATTAAAACTTAATTTTTATGAATTTTGCATTATAATTAATAAATTATATTCACAGATCTTTCCAAAACTAGATTCCACATTTAGTAGTTCCATTTTAGAAAGTACTAAATCTATACCTATTCAAGGATAGGATTATATATTTATTTAAATGAATCAATTAATGAATGAATGAATCAATCAATTATCCAATAAAATATTAATAGGAGTTAGAAAACCTTGATGGTTGAATTTACACTATACCATTCCAAGACTCATTCATGTAATAAATTATTTATTTTATCTCATTTATATGACTATCTCTGATAATTTTATAGGCTTTTTTATCGTAACCATCCCCCTTTTAATAGTTTAATACTTTGAAATCAAAACAATTGTTTTTATTATAATATTTTGCGTTTATTATGTCGATGAGATTGTTTATAAAAATTATTAAAATTTCATTAATTACAGAATCCCTGATTATATAATTTTATAATAATTTCTATTGTATCTTATATTAATTGTGTAAATGATGTAAAGAAATTATAATATATTGATATAAAATCAAAGTTATGCTGTAGTCTTCTAAAAACTTTGGAGCATTTCCTCAGTTTTAGAGAAATTTGAGTTCCAATTTTGTAGTATTTATGAGTCAACAACTTTTGGGCCGTCGCACACAGTGGTGATTTTAGTAGTTGAGACTTCAGTTGCTACTTATTCCATTGCGTAGGCCAACAGAATGTCCTTTACTGAAACACCTGAGCATTCTGAAGTTGTCATCTCTACAGTAACTACGTTTTCTTTTTGTGTCCATTTTGGATAATCTAATGTTAATAGATTTTAAAATATTACGATGCATTTCATCGGCGATGGTAGAAATTGACCCCATGAAAGCAAAGGTTTCTTTGAATGAATTGAATTTGAATTCTTTGGTAAGCTTGGAGGAGTCACTTGATGTTTTCCAGGGTAGAGAATGAATCTCAAGAGCGGAGTAGATTTGTTCGGAATTTAATTTTGTTACTGAGACAGATGGCACATCTTTGAAATCTCTGATGAATATTTTCAGAGAATTAATGATGGCTGGTGTTCTAAATCCAAGTTCGGAGATGTATCTATACATGTTGAAGTTGCTGAGATATTTTTATTATTACAATTGCTTCAAACTCTGAATCACTTTTCAAACCCTTATTAATGCGAACCATTATTTTTTCAAACGCAATATTATGATCAGTTATTTAATTTTTAATAATAATTCAAACAGTGTGCTCTCACATCTACTCCCCATCAACCTAAATGTTTATCTTCTTAAACCCCGTGACAACCCAGAAGGAACGATAAAATTGAGAGCTTTATTTTTAAATACCCAAAAATAGAAGATCTTACTTAATTGATGCCCAAGTGGAACTCACTGTAAGGAGAAAGGGAACAATCCTTAAGAGATTCAGATAAAATTCAATGGAAATAACAAAATCAATATGTTCTTATGAGAACTAAATTTAGAATAAAGTAAAGTTAAAACTTAATTTCAAAATATGGAGGATCAAATTCATAACTACATAATTCAAAGAGGATATTTTTGATTGAAATTTTAAGAATTAGCTGCTTCATGTGAGTTTAAAAATTAGATAAGAATTTTGAGTGTTCTAAATATTAATAAATAATATTAAAATAAGTAAATACTTCANTATCTCTGATAATTTTATAGGCTTTTTTATCGTAACCATCCCCCTTTTAATAGTTTAATACTTTGAAATCAAAACAATTGTTTTTATTATAATATTTTGCGTTTATTATGTCGATGAGATTGTTTATAAAAATTATTAAAATTTCATTAATTACAGAATCCCTGATTATATAATTTTATAATAATTTCTATTGTATCTTATATTAATTGTGTAAATGATGTAAAGAAATTATAATATATTGATATAAAATCAAAGTTATGCTGTAGTCTTCTAAAAACTTTGGAGCATTTCCTCAGTTTTAGAGAAATTTGAGTTCCAATTTTGTAGTATTTATGAGTCAACAACTTTTGGGCCGTCGCACACAGTGGTGATTTTAGTAGTTGAGACTTCAGTTGCTACTTATTCCATTGCGTAGGCCAACAGAATGTCCTTTACTGAAACACCTGAGCATTCTGAAGTTGTCATCTCTACAGTAACTACGTTTTCTTTTTGTGTCCATTTTGGATAATCTAATGTTAATAGATTTTAAAATATTACGATGCATTTCATCGGCGATGGTAGAAATTGACCCCATGAAAGCAAAGGTTTCTTTGAATGAATTGAATTTGAATTCTTTGGTAAGCTTGGAGGAGTCACTTGATGTTTTCCAGGGTAGAGAATGAATCTCAAGAGCGGAGTAGATTTGTTCGGAATTTAATTTTGTTACTGAGACAGATGGCACATCTTTGAAATCTCTGATGAATATTTTCAGAGAATTAATGATGGCTGGTGTTCTAAATCCAAGTTCGGAGATGTATCTATACATGTTGAAGTTGCTGAGATATTTTTATTATTACAATTGCTTCAAACTCTGAATCACTTTTCAAACCCTTATTAATGCGAACCATTATTTTTTCAAACGCAATATTATGATCAGTTATTTAATTTTTAATAATAATTCAAACAGTGTGCTCTCACATCTACTCCCCATCAACCTAAATGTTTATCTTCTTAAACCCCGTGACAACCCAGAAGGAACGATAAAATTGAGAGCTTTATTTTTAAATACCCAAAAATAGAAGATCTTACTTAATTGATGCCCAAGTGGAACTCACTGTAAGGAGAAAGGGAACAATCCTTAAGAGATTCAGATAAAATTCAATGGAAATAACAAAATCAATATGTTCTTATGAGAACTAAATTTAGAATAAAGTAAAGTTAAAACTTAATTTCAAAATATGGAGGATCAAATTCATAACTACATAATTCAAAGAGGATATTTTTGATTGAAATTTTAAGAATTAGCTGCTTCATGTGAGTTTAAAAATTAGATAAGAATTTTGAGTGTTCTAAATATTAATAAATAATATTAAAATAAGTAAATACTTCAAATATATTTATACATTCAACAGCATCCTTCTTTATCTTTTTTATTCTCTTCACTCTGCTATCCAATTTTCTAGTTGGGTGTTTGCTGAGTCTTTTGAGGCCTTGGAATATTCAGAAAATTGATACCCTGTGCCTTTTTATCCTTGAGAATCCTTTTTGGCAATCAATTTTCTAGCTAAATTGAGGAAGGCTTTAGACACTTGATCAGCAGTCTTGGCACTTACTTCCATGTGTGCCATTCTCCGTATGCCAGCATAGTCTAAGGCCTTTTGGGTAGTTACTCTATAATAGAGGAGATGGGCAATTACACTTTTTCTTCGATGTCACTTTTGTTTCCCAGCAATAATAATTCAACATTTTTTTCAGCATACGAATCCACCTCATTGATCCAAAATTTGTCGATATCCTCAAAGGTAGCCAGGGAGGACACATCATAGACCAACACGATGCCATCAGCACCCTTATTTCATATTTTATAGGATACTTTGTAATACGCACTGGTAATGGTTCTAAATCTCTCTTGACCAGCAGTGTCCCAGATTTGGAGTTTAACCTTTTTGCCATCTATTTCGAGAGTTTTAAATCTAAAATCTACACCGATTGTAGTTAAATAGGAATCACTAAAGGTGTCATCCGAAAATCTGAGGAGCAGAGAAGATTTGCCAACTCCTGAGTTGCCCACGATCACTAACTTAAACAGATAATCATATTCCTTGATCATTTCGATATCTTTATATTTTAAATAATACAACACAGAAGTTATCAGTATATATATACACTTCATATAAATCATTCCGCATTATTTGTACCAGATATCAACTTAACATGAGCATCGCACAATTTGGGTGGATACAATTCCAAAAAGTTAGAAGGCTTATTTCGATAGATAACCAAAATTAGAAAATTACCATCCTTTCTTTCGATTCTGGATCCTATCAATTGTTTGTCAGATTTAATTCTAAAGAATACCAATTAAAAATATACTGTAGAAGGGTTGAGACCACTTTATTCTTAAGATTGTACAATAACAATTAGGAACCTTGAAATGATATGTGCAGAGAGTCTTCAGTAATAAGATTCAATTGAAGCGGTTTGGAGTAGTTCAAATCAATTATTTTTTCAATTTCTATTGAATTGGCTTTGTGATTTAAGGTGTAAAAGTATCCCTTCTCAGTGATAAGGTAAATTAGAGTCTTGTGATAGAGCATCTTGTAGATGGTGCCATTGATTTAACATTGCTACTTCCAATAATCATTATATTGATTGATGGTCTAGCCAAACAATTTGAGTTGAGATGCACTCAGTTATCTGAATTTATCTAATTCCCAATGAGTGTAATTGGATATTTAATTGGCATTGAAAGTGAATATAAGATTGGCTGAAGTGATGAGTGCGATCTCCTGATTAAAATAGGCCTACCCTATATTTAAATGGTATTTTAATTTTGTAATCTTAGTAAATTGAACATCATTAGACTATTGGAGTATGAGTAGTGTTCCATCTTCATGGACAGCAATGTACTATTATTAATTTATTTTGCCTCATAATTTTATGGATGATACCAACAAAGATAATGGCAACTGAGAAAGTCAGATTGTATTGTTTCTCCCGCCATTCTTATAGATTGAAATCAGCTTGATCATTCCTGATTCGCACTAGCAATCCATTTCCATTTTCCAATCCCAACAGGCACTATAAAAATAGACTTGAACATCAAAACCGTGTCTTCTGAAATATTATACCCGCAAAGAGCTGATGGGAAATTTTGTTTTAAACTGTATCTCCTCGCTTCTGTGTATGCTTCAAAGGTTTTATCAGTATAACTAACGATAAATGACTTATTGTCAAGAGTATGAATGTAGGTGGGTTGTGTTTGGACTCGATTTTGAGAAAGCAATTTAAATTGCATATTATTATTATAATTAATTATTGATAAGAAAATTAAAATGATAATATTAGACTACTTGGAAATAATGAAGGAGTATTAACAACAATCCCTTCAAAACTGTATAGAATATAATATTATGAATATTTATTCTTATAGCAATCTAAACGTAGTAGTAATAGCTAATAGGATAAAAAGTAAGTATAATTTGATGAAGGAAATTACTATCAACATCAAAATGTCATACAACCTTTATTCACAAGCGATATATATTCTTTGTTATAATTTCTCAATTGAATTTATTCTATCTAGAAAATTCAACTATTCCTTTAGGTTAACATATTAAATTATTGAATACACATTGATACATCCACCCTACTCTCAATTTTGACACTTCTTTTTAAATTCTCCTAACATTTATAACATTAGTATTTTAGTATTAATCTAATACAAATTAATAAACAATGACATAATTAATTAAATTATGTATAATATTCTCCTACTTGTATGCATTATCGCAGTTATACAATCCAAGCTCAAGGTTATTAGGCCATCAAACCTGATTAATGAGAACATTGATTATAGCATAGCCAATTTTGGGTAGTCTTTGTTGTTTACGAAAACTAGAATTATACCATTCGGACATCGTTTGATGGGAGCAGTGGATTTGGCTTATCCACCGAATGGATGTGATGAGCTAACACCTACTTATGGAGCTCAATTTATTTTGATTGAGAGAGGGGACTGCACTTTTGTAACTAAGGTTAGGAATGCTGAGAGGGCTGGGTATCAATTGGCAATTATTGGGAATTACAATGACGATCCCATTCAATCTGACTTTGCTATGGCTGATGACGGTCATGGATATTAGGTGAACAATATGGACTATTTTATTTTAGGTATCAATCCCTTCCATATTCATTACAAATAAACACTTTAATCTAATAAAGGAGAAGGCTAAGGTAAACAGAGTATAGGATTCAAATGATGAGAAGATCATGTTGCTTTTGAAATTCGACGTAGTGAAATCAGACAAAGTATCAGTGATATTTGGGTTGAATATTCAAGATAGAGAATCCTTTAGAATTATCGATGAGTATGAACCATACTACAACTAATTGAAGGATCAAAATATGAATTATACCCTCGTATATTCGATAATGAGTTTTAATAATTCAATCGATAGCGTTTAGCAACAAAATTCTGATTGCATTTGTCAGAATAGATATTGTGCATTAGACCCTGATGGAACAGCCATAGGAACTGGCAAAGACGTTGTCTATGAAGTATTAAGATAACTTTGCATATTCTAATTGCACGAATAGAAATGGTTTGGCTACATGGTACATATGTTATTAGACAACTTAGAATCAATTCAATTTTAAATGTACTAAGCCTTAAGCATACTCTGTGTGCAGTCAATAGGTGATGGACATGTTGGAGATCCCTAAAAATGAGATTCAATAATGCTTCGATAAATCATTTCTTGATTTCAACACTAACCAATAGACCAGAAACGAATCTAATGCATACAACACTATATTAGACCATTAATATTACATCTACTAGGCTGCAGGAATCAATGGATTCCCATCAGTTTTTGTGAATTCATTGGTTTACAGAGGGTAGTTCTCTGGAAATGGAATTTTCGGAGAGATCTGCAATAGTAAATTACACAGTTCTAAACTAGGTTTTCTAACAACTCCTCCTCAATGTAGTTCACAGGTTGAAGGATACACACCTCCAGTTATAGATGATTCGATTGCTGTCTATATCTTAGTAATAACTGCTTTTGTTGTGTTTTTCCTATTGATTGGTTTTTTCATATTTAGAAAGGTGATTGAGAGGGATAGTAAGGTGGTCACACAACCTCAAGTGAATGAGATGGTGAGTCAATACATTAAGTTTTACGAGGGCAAAGACAAACAAAAGGAAAGTGGATCTATTTGAAATATATATATTTGTGAAATTGATATTCAATTTAAGAAAGTCATGCATCTACAGATATGATTATTATCATAAGGGAACATAATATTCTTGTGTGATCTCTATTTATCAATTTATATCATAACAAAATTCATATTCTTCAATCAATTCATTTCTTTTTCTTCTTCTATTTGAATTACTCCTATAATTAGTTTAATGCAAATGTTTCTGTCTCCACCACTTCAGAATGAACACTTGGATCTGAATCAAAATCACCGCCCTTCGACACATGAGATTGTGCAGTCAAAGGAAACTCATTGTTGTCAAACCATTAATTATTGATTTCATTCTTTATGTTTATAAAGAACAAATCGTATTCATCGAATCCTATACTGCAATCTCCATACTCATCTTAGCATCCCCTCTCCAATTGTTCCTACGTTATGCAATTGGAACCATAGCAAAACAAATTTCTCAGACTCCCTTTTTGAGTCTTCAACCTGCCTTTGTCATCCAATTAATACAACCCAAAACTATATTGAAATTAAACTAAATTGCCATCTGTGTCCTTGATTTCTATTTGATTGCACTTGCATTCCTTCCCATCTATGAATTGATTCGAAATTGGATCATCCTGAGATAGTGATACTCGAACTTCTTAGGTGGCAAGCATTTTCAAAAACAGGATTTTTGATTTACCCCTCAATCCAGTAAGATAATTGGCTTCTCCGTTTTTATTTATCTACTACTCTGGAATGGTGATGTAATCATTCTAATGATTGCTAAAATACGGTCTTGGAGGTTTGGCAAAGTATATTTTAAGCTCTCCCTTTTTGTATTCAGGCAATGCAACATCCTTATATTATCATGTCTTACTGTGTAATGCCATATATATTTCTGTGGTACAAGCGATCCAAAACATGAGCACTTCATTGATTTGCATAAGGGACAAGTGTATATTTTTTAAGTGTAAGCATTAATTTGTTCATTGTTAATGTACATAACAGGACCACTTAGTAAGAGTTCAGCACACTCGAATGCTTTCTATCCACTTCCCACTATGTGTCTTGGATTCTGTTTTAGAGTTTCAATCAAGCCTTATTCCTAACAGAATATGTCTGCAGGGGTTTGCTCTCTCCCTGTGCAAAGTAATACATGCTTAAAGATCAATTATTTATTTGTACTCTTGCTTTAATTGTTCGGTACTTGTCTTTGATTTAAGTATCGGCTCTACAAATTATTTTAATACTCTTACGATAAGCTCTGCGTTCTTATCTAAAACCATCCATCAGCCAACAGTCGGATTGCTATTGCTTCTCTTTGAGGATGAAATATTTGCATTTTTTTTAATGTGTAAATATGTTTCAACAACACACTCCCCAACAATCTTAGGAAATATCCTGCCAATGATTTCGGAGGGCATTTCTCTCCATATTGAACCAGAGTCTTGTAAGCCTGAGTATCTGTTAGATCCTTACAGATCGATATCATTTGGTTGGTTTTATGGAAGTACATCAACTTCAATAATTCAGTCGCAGAGTAAGTGGTATAATTCATTTTGCTTTCCAGATTTCCAGAACCAAAACATTTCCCCTTCTCTACTATCCCTATTCCCAATCCATTCAAATATTCAGGCAATCTTCACTATAGAATCTAAAACCAATACCTCGATGTCCTGAACAAGTTGTATAGAAATTTCACAGAAGCAGGTCCTCCTCCAATTATCAATAAGTTATACTTTTCTTCAATTTCCATTTTTTATTTAAATAAATTATCACTAATACAAATAGTCATTCTGAATTCAACCGGATAATTAAATCGATAGGATTGACTCACCCATTAGCCATGTAGAGAAGAAATGAATTATAAATAGACAATAAAAACAATATTTTGAAATTGCTTATCCATAGCATGATTTTATTTGAGCAAATGATCTTTCTCTCTTTCATTTTTGCATCATCTTTATAACACTTTTTACTAAGAATTCACGAATTCTATTTGTTTACTTTTCTTCAATTACACTTGCTTATACTCTACCTTACAAGTCATTTAAGATTATTATTATTCTCAAAGACATTACACCTTAATTACATTGATGTTCCTATTATCTAATTTAGAATCTATTTCTAATAATGTATTATCTATTTTGAATTGCCAATTCTATTTATAATTAATATATTTAACAAAGAATTAACTGTTGATATTCTTACTCCCACTAAGGATCTGTATTAATAGCATATATCAATGTAGAGATCAAAGAGATACTAGGTTGATGAAAGTCTATGATTATAAAAATAACGTGTATATGAAAAACTTGCAAAATATATAAATCAATTTACGAACTTGGCATTGCCTGTCTTATGCTATTAAGCAGCTCCCTATCCTTATTCAGCTGGCTTTAGGATTTAGAAAGAACACATTAATGATTCATCAATTGACATCATGGAACCTATGGTTTTGAATTATGTTAGTACCCGCATTATCGAATTCTCCGCAATAGTTTGGTGCTGAAAACAAGGTGACTAGTTATCTTTTGGAAAAGAATTCATATCCATCTTCCACAACCTAATTAGTTTATTATTGGTACTTAATGAGCTCGGCAGATTAAGTCCAATTCATGTTTTTTTAAGAACACTTGGACTATTTCCTGGCTGAAAACGTAGGAAACACCTCTCTCATTGTCTGCCCACCCCTAGACGTCCTTGTCTGGATCTGACCATAACAAGTCACACAGTAATCCAGTGTCTGGCACATCGGTTGGTCTCATAATTCTTCTTATTTGTTCCAGATTTGAAAGTTCAGGAGACAATCCCCCATGCATACATAAGATTTTTTCATCTATCAATGCTGCTACTGGTAGACAATTAAAACAATCTGTGAATGTTTTCCATAATTTGATTGTGTATCTTCTCTTGCCTATTAAATCGATCAAATGTTTACATTCATCATAAAATCCATAGATCCTATTGATTGATGCACATTCATGATTACCCCTCAAAAGAAAGAAATTTTCAGGATACTTAATTTTGTAAGCCAACAATAAACAAATTGTCTCCAATGATTATTTGCCTAACATTAACACGAATTCAAACCTCGATCTACATAATCACCCAAAAATAAATAATTGCTTTCAGGTGGATACCCTCCGTATTCAAATAGTCTCAACAAATCGAAGTATTGACCATGTACATCACCTAAATTAAATTAATAGAATATATGGATACCGCATATTTTCAAAGGAGCTTCCAATTCCAATAAAATAGGTTGGGATATGAAAATATCTCTGGCTTTGATGCAAAGACCTCTTACTTCAGCCTCACTAAGGTTCACATTCTTCCCTGGCTTGCTTCCCCTTACACTGAGCAACCTCTCGATAATATTGTCCACATCAATTTCACCTTTACCATCCTTATTCATTTTATTAATATAGAAATTAATATTAATATTAATTCATTTAAATTAATTCATTTAATTTCTTTTATTAACTGTGAGAATTTTTATTAACTATTAATTACATTCAATAAATAGTTATTTTAAGGTTCTCCCCTTTATTCAAACAATTCCGATTTATTCATATATTTCCACTAATTTTATAAATTGCATAAATGGGTCACCTAAACATTGACATCGATTTCCCTATATAAATTGAAAATGAAGTTTGGGTTACAAGCAATACGATGACAAAAACTCTTTCTCAATCATTAAAGTTAAACAATGGAATAATGACCTTTACTAAGTTTTACAAGTATTGTATTCGTTATTATCAAAGGCTTGTAATTAAGAAATTATAATGTAAATAAGTAAATCTTATTAAATATCAAATTGTATATCTTGTAATATTGTTTACGTCCACTCCAATCAAAAAAATGATTCATTCAAAATATGGCATCATTAAATGATTATTATTATCACTTGACCTCTTAAAGCAAGTTGATTTCTAGCAGTCTTGCTTCTATTAATACTCTATTGGAATATTCATAGGAAGGAATTTCATTGACTAATACAAATAGTTAATTAAGAAACTTATAGGTATTAAGAATGGAGTTTTTGTTTAGATTTCAAAAAAATAAAATAGACAGCATAGATGATTTAAATGATGAGATATAACCATTGATAACTAATTGAAACAAATTTTTATCATTTTCTTTTTAGTTTCTACTCTGAACTTTATTTGAAAATGGGTTTTAATCTTCTGTCCTATTAATTGATATTAATTGAAGTACTTTTTCATGCATTATGGTTGAATATTGAAAGTGTCCCTACAACTCTTCTACTCCTTGGATTCTGGCGTAGGTGATCTAGCAAATCTAAGGGTTATTGAGGTTTAAAACTTACTTTTTCTGAATTAAATTTGCTCCACTTCCTATTGTGGAATTCCAGATAAAACTTTGGGATGTCCAAGGGATCATAAAAGTTGATGAAGGCGTAACCCACATTACATTTGTTCTATGATCATAACATTAATATTATACTGTAAAGTCAATTGGTAAATAAAAGAAATTGTAAGTATCCCTATTATTGCAGTCTATCTCCTCAAGAAGAAGAGGCTAGGAGTATTTGTTTGGGATATTCTTTATCATCAAGGTCGTTCTATTGTCTTTCGGTATCTTAGAATATTTATAAATATATTTTACATTCTGTAATTGAATTTGGAATTGGGTTGTTTGCTGTTAAGGTTCATAGCGTCTTTTGTTTTTGAATTGAAACATCTAGAAGGAGGTTGGCATTGTGGAACTAAATACTTCGTCCCAACCCAAGGAAGATCCACTGATTGAGAGATTCACCTCCTGAATCTATTGATTGGAGTTCTTCGATAGAGTCTCAGGCAGAGTCGATCCATTCGAATAGAGTGTTCTTGATCTGTTTTTTATGACTGGCTAAGAAGGTTGCTGATTCGTGAATTACTCAACTTCTTCATCATCGTCTATGTTCAATTGCTATATAAGTAACTTAATCTTACTTTCAAGCAATCTTAGACTTGATTCACTTAGGATGCAGCCTCCTTCTTCTGTCCCGAGGGTTTAACGAATTGAGAAAGGACATTTGGGTCAATCCTAAATACAATAGGTTTCATTATTAAATAAATAATATATTTGAGTAGTGCAAGGCCTCGAATGCTATATTTGTATATTTTCAAGATTTTTAAAAATAATTTATAACACATATTAGTTTGGCACTAAATTGAAACACATGCCTTCTTGAACTTTAATCGATCACAATGCTGAATGCCAATTATGCTAGTCAATTATAATGTGTTTAATTTCACATTATAAAATCTTATAAATCTTATAAATCTTATAAAATCTTATAAATTTATCAGAATCTCCATTGATACAATGTTCTCATAAGTACCCTGGGATACTTTACATAAGAGATGTATGTATTTCTACCCTCTTGAGGTGTTCAAATAATTTGTTTATGAATCACTGAATTAATTTAATAAATTTTATTCCATCATATGTAATCATTTATAATTTAGATGTCTACATACAAGTATATTAGATTTACTAAATTAGTGGTTTGTTGATTGTATTTAAATATGAAAGGTGAGCATTTTACTTTAAAACCTCAAATCTCGTTAATTTAATAATATTCATGGCATGAGGTAAAATTTTGGAATTAGTACAAAATTATTGTTTTACTACAATAATTAATTTAAATTAAATGAGAATTACTTTGATTGACAACTTAACCATTGTAGCTCACTCTCAACACAGAAATTCAACAGAGGATGCGCTCTCTAAACTATTAATGATAATACCATACATCCAATACATCTCTCTGCTAACACCTCAACATGGATGGCAATATTGGAAATACAAAGACGGGTATTTAATTTTTATCTCAAGAGCCTCCTCATATTTCACTATTACACCCTTTTTCGAATTCCAAAATAATTTTATTTATTATCCTTTTACCATTTTTAGTCTCATAATACTGCTAGGTGTGTTATTTTACTTGAGTTTTTTCAGCTTAGAATTGAACTCCAAAAGTAGGAAGGCTAATTATTAGGAAGGGAGAACAAGTCTCTTGTGCTCAATAATTTTATTTTCAATTTAAACTCTCCAAATACCGTGTTTTAAGTTTTATATATAATAAATAATTGTTGCCAACCGCAACAATTAGACAAATCAACTAATAATCAACATGTGCACATTAATTCTGTATTTTTTGTATGTACTAGTGTGCGAGTATTTTTTACGAATTTATTCGTTCACTCCATACCATCCTATGTAATAGAAGTTTACAAAGTTAAGGAGTTCAGTAATATTGTTCAATTTAATTGCAATAGTCTTAACATTAGATGATTAATCAAAATTATACAATCTAATTGGTTTACTTGTTTTGCATTTGATCTTTGTCACCAAATGCCTAAATTACTTATACTTTTAATCGGACATCCCTAGCAAAAACATGATGGAATTTTAAATTTCATTTGCCCTTGAGTCATTAGCAATTTTAATCACTTTGAATGTTGCATCTAAAAATAAGATATTCCCTGAAGAGCAAATAGCAATTTACATAATGTTCGTTCTCAGTCTCGGATTAATCATAGGTAATCACCTATTCTCCTTTCTTTATCAATACAACTTCATCAGATAAACTAGACAACTCAATCTAATCTATGAATTGTATTCTTGCATCTGCAATATTAATTCTAACTCTATAACCAGACAACATATACTCATTTTTCAGTTGATCAACAATGAAAAGTTTTCCAAATTTAAACAAAAAGCTCTTATTAGTAACAAAAGTACAAACATGTCTGATTACTATAAATTGGGATTGTATCTGATAACTGAAATGTTCATTGAACTATTAAACGAATAAAAGAATGAGATCGAAGAAACTCAATTACTATTTGTCACTTTTCTGGTCTTTGTAAGAAAAAAGCCACTTGTAGCCTATGTTCAATTTAAGAGATTTGAATAGAATGTTAATTATCAGAAGTCCTATTATTATTGTTTAATTAAAGAAAGAATCGACTTGCATCTACAGAAAAGGATTTAGGAAGTTTAAAAGATTTATCAAAATAAACAAGTTTAATAATTAAAAAACGATGTCAACAATGAGAAAAGAATCACCACACTTGAATTATATCAATTTTGTTAATTGGAGGAGTACTTCTAAAAAGCACTACTTGATATTATTTAATATAAGATCAGTATTTGGAAATTTTAGATATAAGGTTGCCAATCAATTTATGAATTTTAAACTTTTGCACTTCCCTTAAGTAAAAAAATAATTGACTGTATTCTATACTTAAGAGAACAGTAAATCAATGTGGTAAAAGAAGAGTTTATAAAATCTTGTGAAGACGTTTTAACTTTGAAAATTTGTTCTATGTTCCACAGTTTTGTACTAAATGATTATTGTATTTCCCTTTTATGTGAATAGAAGATTTCAGATCTAATAACCATAGAACTTCAATAAAAGACATTGTCAAGATCGAACATTTTAAACGATAACACTGTCCTAGTCATCCTTAGTATGGTAAAACAATTAGGATAAATATTAAATATCAATAAAAGTCAATTAGCAAATTACTTTGGATATTCTGTAATGGAAATTAACTAAATTATTAATATCAGAGAATTGATGCCATTACATTTCGGCTAATAACACGATAGATTTCTACAATCTTATATCAAGGAAGCAAAAACAGACCTTGTGTTTAAAGACGTTATTACATTTGGTAGAACTAAGACTGGATTTTTAATTCCTTAATACATTAATATTTATAATAACTACAATATCTTGGATGATTTTACTTTAATTGGTGGTCTCACAAAAATAACAGATTCCCAAAATTATCTGTTATTCGATGAGTATGGTCGAATTATTGGGATTACACAAGAAATGAGTAAATTTTTGATACCAAAAGAAAACTTAGAATTCTTCTTACAGAACATTGATCTATTTTATGTCTACATGTTTCTACCTCATATCCATTTGTATATTAGTGATATGCTCTCAAAGAAAGAAGAAACAATCTCATAAAAGTCCGTGGTTCTCTATGTTTACCAAGATCTAGTTAAATTATCTAAAATCCATGAATCTATTTTTTCGACTTTCCAGGCTCAATCACTTAGATAAATCGAATAAACTAATAAGACAATTACTTAATTTGAACATCTAAGTTCTATGATACACAGTCCGAAGCAAGGCATGAATTAAAGATTGATTACTGAATTAAAGCCCATCAATTAATAAGAAAATCCACTCGCAATAGATCCAAATAGATATTTTCAAAATGATTACAAATAAGAGAGGAAACATAACTTATCAACCCTACTCGAGTAGAAAGAATAACAAATGGGTGACTTTCTAAATGCTATAGAAGTAATGCTATTACTATATTTAGGAGTTGTAAAAAAGCATGTATTAGTGTACAGCTAAAATACGATTGGTTGAATTTGGTAAGAAAGTACAGAAATAATACTATTTCATCTTTGATTGCTCTGATTTTATTGACAAAAGCAATCTATAGGATGATGAAAAGAAATAGTTTATAGCTTAGTAAAGTGAATTGCGCAATGTCAATAATCGAAATTGTAGTAACAAACAGAGTCAATATAAGAGTTCTGATTAGTAAATGGATTCTTCAATTGCCAGTCCTATTTATTCTCAAATGTAATAGCAGAGTTGTCTTGGTCAACATTCAAACTCAAATCAAATTTTTACTTATGGCAATAAAAGAGGATCTAAGCAAATAGATGCTCTAGCTCAAGTGGAATCAGAAAGCTTTCATGAAGTCATTAGCAATGATATTAATTAGAACAATAACAATGAACATCATTCCAATCAAGGAGCATTACTTAAGTCTTAATCTAGTGGTAAATCTGGTTCATCTTCATAGACTGCAATTGAAATTGTCAACAAATTCAAAACTCAAACCTCTCTAATCTCAAGTCTAACTATTGTATCAATCTTAAAGATTATAATAATATTGCTGTTTATTATTTTTATGTCGATCAACTTAGTTCAAGTCAGGAACTTTAATAATCAAGTAATAAACTTTATATCCGAAATCAATCTACCAATTAATTTTAACAAATACTTTTTAAATGTATTTACTCATTCTTGGATGGTTACCATGAAAAATTTAAACATCTTAAATACAAGCTAATTTATAGAGAACCAACTGGAGGAGTAATCGGATCTTATGAAAACCACCTTTTTAAATCTTACAAACATGTATGGTAGCTTTATATCTCTTGAAGAAAGTCATTACTTAGATGAAATTTAAATAATCCATTTAGATGAAAATTTATCTGTAGAAGATGTTGAATTTACAGCTTATCTATATTATCTTGAACAGGCAGGATTTAGATTAACGCATAGTGAGGATCAATACCATTATTTGAGCAATCTTCTAAAATACAGGATAAATTTTGGAAACATAATCAACAACAATGAAAAGGTCATTACTTCATTAAGTTCATTTTTTGAAATTTAATAAAACGAAAAGATTTCCACATTTTTTAATTCAATTTTGATTTAAATCATAGTTATTGGCATCGTTATTCTATCTTAACTGTTTTTTTGGAAGAAAATTGAGTTATATTGTTAAAGAATATTGATGTTGTCAAATAGACTGAGTGAAAAAGCAGCAGAAACCCAAATCAGTAAGTTCAAATTAATAATCACTGTGATCAAACAACTTTATGGTGAATTCGGTTTCAAATAGAGAAATTGTTGTAAGCTTTGCTATTCTGATTTCTAGTAAAAGAGGGTTAATCTAAAATCACTACATAGCAAAAAATAGCGAGAATCCATTTTTAATTCAAGTCAAGCAGAATCATATAATAAAAAATCAACTTAATTAACAATCCCTTTGAATTCTAGAATACAAAGCCCTTCTATTAAATTGATTCTAGAGAGCATTTTAGTTTTATCCTTAGCCATTTTTGTAATTTTGTATTTCTTAGGCAGTTATCTGATATATATTGAGTAGAGTTCGTAATTATCGCCTACATAAGAATTGGCAATGGATTATATTTCATTTTATATTGATTTTGAAAACACTGTTGCAATTTTGTTAATACTAAAATCTGAACTTCAGATTTATAATTATATGAAGGAAATGATTCCTTCTTATGTCAAAATTATCAACGATTATGAAAATCACTTAAATACAATTCCTCTTCTTCTAAGTGTTTATAACTTTGATCACAGCAATTTCAATGACATTTATAATAACATAATATAATCCGATTCTATGAACGGAGAAGATGAAGTATTCATCCTAGGTTTGTATAATGGAGATTTTTGTTAGCTGTTTTATTCCGATATTCCATTTTGCAATAAAAACTTAAGTAAAATTGAATTTTAAAATAAATACGGATAGTTTTATAATAAAGACAATAATTCTGAGTATTTAAGTAAAGGAATCTCTGGGATGGTAAGTAAAATGGATAATTTTCTCGCTTCCTATTATGAAACTGAAATATAGACAGGATAATCGGTTAAGGACTTTGCTTTATTAAACTCACAAATCAATACGTAGGACTTTAACAACATCATCATTCAATATTAGCTTGACACTTTTATAGGTTTTGAAGCCTTCATTGCCAGGATGTAAGAATGCATAATATAAGTGATTCACGATCAGCAAGACCAATAAAATATCTATTAGATTTTAGTGGGTGTAATATTTATTTTATTTCTTCTTATTTCATCTGCTTTTGTTGTAGTGAAAGTCAATTTAAGATTAATTTACATCAGATTGCTAATAACTCTATTGCCCTTAGAAATTATGCTAGACATTTATACCATTTCTTTATTGAAACTTTTAAGATGATTGACAATTTTTCTATTTTTTTATAATTATATTTAAATAAATCTATTTATTTAATTTATTCTCATTTGCATGCTGATTATCTTCATTTTAGTAGCAACTACACTTCAACTCGACACTACTCTATTTGTTGAAACCTCAGGAATCAAAGAAGTGAAAGTCTTGATGAATGCAGAATAATAGATCTATTACTAACAATTTGATGACTATGGCAAAATATTGTATACCCCATCAATTACCTAATTAGATCAGTCAATTTTACAGGAAATGACATATCGAAGTCTTTCTGTTAACCTTTTTACCAAGGAGTTTCTCTAACAATATCATCTGAAGGATTGGTACCATTGGTGAGTCAACAAGTGAAGAAGAGTTTGGATGACCTCTCTGAGGACGATTTGTTTTTAGGATATCGAGAAAAATTGATTTCATTAGCTAACAGCCCTGATGGAATTTGTGTATTGACTTCGAAAGGAAATGTCTATTTGATTGTATCAAATGGCAACAATCCCATTATTATAAAAAATTAAACTCTGCCTCATGTTACTCTAAATCAAGAACCAGAAACATTAGTTTACGATGAAAAATCAAGATATTTTTTTGCATTTTTCAAAGATCATTTAATAAAATTTTAGTTTCAATAAGAGTAGTTAGATGCAGCTTCAATCTCTGAATGGATTTCTCCGTAAAAAAAAATGAGGCTTGTTGCTAGCAATGGTTGGCTTTATTGCACTTAAGAAGAAGACGGTTTGCTAATCTATTAAATGTCACATAATCATGTTTAACATGTTAAAACCATAAAATCAATTGATTTATATAATAAAACTGTAGAGAGCTTTTAAATTGTTGATATTGCAGTTTTTGAAGATAAACTGTACATATTAGATGCTAAAAATGGAGTATCATTATTTAACATATTTTTCAATGGAACTTTTACAAAAAATGATAAATTTGGAACTATTAACCTCCAAGACTGTCATTCCATTTCTGCAAAGGATACAACTTTGATTGTTCTTCAAAACTTCAAATAGAGTTTTTAAGTTGTTGAATTTTACGTAAAGAATGATGAATGGATCTAAATCCGAAAGTATGTTACTAAGAGCAAGTTACAAAGGGCCGACATAATTGATGATAATCTAGTTATAATAAGAGGATTGCATGATCACAAGATCTTACTCACAAGAATGCCAGAAAAATATTTAGACAAACAAAATCATTAATTGTAAATTCTTAATTGTTATTTAGGGAAAACTATTTTTTTAGTGGTAATTTGCTTGGAGTTGAAAAATCTGGAGATAACAATGATACTCTCATTGCTGTGTCTCCTCATGGATTTTATTAGTTCTCCTATTATTATTATCCCACTTACATGATTTGCAATAGCAATAATGCTAAATCAGGACGATACTAATCAAATGTAATTATTATTTCTATGCACGATAGATGATTTTGAAAAGCACAAACTGTTCAAAGAAAATAGAAACACAGGATGATTTGTTTTATTGCTGGACTGATTTTCATTATACATTTGAAGTTAAGAGACCCCTGTTCTCTGCAGAAGAATAACAGAATTATACTATTTTTGTGATAATTCTTGGCGTTGTTTGTGTAGTAATGTTATCCATGATAGGATACTATTACTCCAAATAACAGAAGAGGTTAAAAAAATTAATAGAAATAGAAAAAAGAAATAAAGCAAATAAGGTCTAATAATTAAAAGGATGATTATTTAATTTTATATTCTAAGTTGGAATGTAAGGTATATATTTATTTGAAGAAATTATATTTCTCATTTTTTGATTATTAATTTAATGAGATTTTCTTATCTAAGTTTATTATTTTTTCGCCTGGAAAACAATTAGTAATAATATTATACAATGATTTCGTTAAAATTGCCTAATTAATTTAAGAATGTCCTGTATAATTGTTATTTATATATTTATACATTTTTTAATTCCATATATGGAAACTATTCAGAGAAATTAAATTATAAAATAAATCGACATTAATAATATCTTATTCTGAGAATAAGGGTCTTATAATATATTATGAGGAGTTACTAAATGAAATGATGAATAGAACGTGATTTACCTTCATATTTCATGCAATTAAAATCTTATGATACAAGAAAAGAAAAAGGACAAAAATAATTTTATATTCAAAGACATATGGAATACCTAAAAAATTGATTTCAAAAGATAATCAAGATTAAATTAAATATTTAATTAAATTCATTAAAAATGGCAATTAAACCTAAAATTAAAATAATGTTGATATAGATATTCAAAGAGTATTAAAGAATGAAATATTGAGAAGAAATTAAATATTCAATTGAATATTAGTAAGAGAGGATCATTTTAATTTGAATAAAGATACTTACTGAAATTAGATTTGGTTAATCCTGAAGATTTGTAAAAAACTAATTTTTAATATTGATACAGAAATATAGAATCGTTATACATAGAATAAATTAATTGAACTTTTTTAGAACTTGAATCAATAAAAAACACTATCTAAATTCGAATAATGAGTGTGAAGACAGTTAAATCCTAACATGAAATAGGGGACATAAGGAAAATTAGAAAAAGTTTAACATAATTAATTTAATATATAATAAAATGTAGGTTGTTGTGATTGCCCCAAATAAGGTTTAAATAGGCATTTAAAATTAAAAATTGGATATCTTCGATGATGGTATTCAACTCTAAAAGGCTGGAGGTATAAAGAAGATATAGGCTATACGGGTTTTCTTTAGTGAAAAATAGTAATGTGTTGCATTCTATATTTTAGTATACGTGGATTCGAAATATTTTACAAATTAGGTGCTGGAGATCTTTTGAAAGCAGGTCATAATGTCCCAAAATCAAAGAAGGAACTATAGAATACAATATTAGAAATAGGGCCTGACGATTACGTAAGTGAAATATTTGGTGCATACTAATCTGCCAAAAAGAACAGGATTATAAATATTACGTTTGTAACCTATCGAGGGAAGGCTTTGTCATTCGGTGGTAAGGGTGACAAGTCATTTGGATTTTGTTTCCCAGGATTTACATTTGGAGCATTCAAAGGAGGGTAAAATAAGTTAGTAAAGTAATAGTTAAAAGAAATGTGTAGAGTGGTTGGAGATCGATGTGCTACCCTTACCAGAAGATTTCAAATTGGAGATGCAAAAATTAGGAATACTTAGAATTCAAAGGATTAGTGAATAATAACCTGAAAGAACTTAAAGTAATCTTAACAATTCTACAAACAATGCTGGATAAGGTGCAATTATAGGTGTTCCAAAGCTATAGATAGCTAAGCCTATGATTGCTGTTCCTGCAATTGTAGTACCTTAAGTAAATTAATAATAAAATATAAATTTATAATAATAACAGCCTTAATAAAGTAATCCATTTTAATAATAATATTAATAATAGTATCCTTAATATCCATAACAATAATAATAATATCCTTAATATTCATAATAGTAATCAATTCCAAATCAATAAAACCCTTATGCTTTATTTAATCAATAGCCATAATCCTAGAATCCATACAGTAGTAATAGTTATCCAAAATTTAGTTGATTTTAGATTATAAAATAATAAGAATTCATGATTTATTTAAATTTTATGAAATTATAAAACTCACTTTCTGGATCTAAGGTTGGCTCTGAGTTAGAGGAATTGAGCTTCGGCAGCTTAGGCTGGTCCTTATTTGGCATAGCTGGCAAAGACGTCGGTGGGATCTCCTCCATATTGATTGAATTCTTCAACTCTTTATTCGACGAAGGTTCTCAATTTGGTCAAGAGTTCAACTTCCTTTCTTCTGGCACCAGTGCTATCAGAGTATTCAGTATTGAAGGCATTGCACATGTCACTAGCATAGTTAAGTAAGTTTTAGTTTCTGATTCTCTTGCTGGTGGCTGAGTTGATGATGTCTTCTTCCTTGGTGATGGTGGCTTATAATTGGGCAATATAGGCTGTCAATTATCCTTGGACGTTGACCAAAAGGGTGATGACGTCTTGGACTCTGTTCTTTCTGGCTTAGAAGACTTCGATTTGGGTGTTTTCGTTATCTGTCAATTATGAAAGAGCAGCTTATAATTTTTCTCTTAATTCGTTCAATAATTATCTGATTCTGTTGATGTTATCGACGCTAACGTTTCCGTCTCCACTTAATTCAACGAGGACAGACAATAAGGGAGCATATTCACCAGCATTACCGGCTTTGGTGGCTTGGAGGAACATGTTGTTGAAGTGTTTAGTGACTTGGAGGAATGAAGCTGAGGAGTTGGCGAATTCCTAGGAGTTGTAAATTTAAATAATGTACATTGACGATTTATTCAGCACCGTCGATCAAAGACAATGATGTGTTGATGTTTTGAACTTTCTTGTTGAAGTTGGCAGCTCTGTCGTTTCTTCTGGTGGTAATGAACTCAACTTAGTCTTCAAGGATTTATTAATAGGTCTTGACTCTGATCAAATCGGCTGTGGCTGAAGCGTGAGCAGCTTGGGCTCTTCCCTTGTGTTCAGTTGCTCTAGTTAAGGCATCAACAGCGTCTTGGACTTCCTTCTTTCTGAATCCCAATTCATCTCCACATTCTCTTTGTTAGACTGTGTAGATGTCGTCGTGTTCTGTTTGTTCGTTACGGATGGAGAGGATCAAACTATTGATGTGATCAACCAACAATTAGCCTGGTGATCTTGTTTGGGTTTCAGCGGAAACGCACAATAAACCAACTAACACTAAAGCGATGACTTTCATTATTATTAATATTAAAACGGATACTCATATTATTTGCCTTTACGCCATAGTTATACTATTTATTTTTGGAACATTTAGTGTACTTCACTTATTCCTTGACTTCACTCTCAGCTTACTATTCCTGTTGGGAGTCCTCTACCTATTCTTGAGGTTGATCTGCCAGGCCCTGATCTACCCTGGATCTTTCAAATTATACCAGAAGATCAACTAAAATAATCAAGGATTGTTACATGCCAAAGTAAGACTCAACCCAAATAATAGATAGTGCAATAGCAGGTCAAGGAATTCGAGGAAATCTTATGCCAACGCAAACAAGCAAACGCAAACATCTTGCAATGGTTTGAAACATAAGGATAGATATTTTAAACAATGCAGAACCAAAGCGAACTCCAGTAGGAGTATAGCAATTGTCTCAAACAAATACTTTAAGTACTTCGAATCAAATGCAACGATGAATATTTGTATTAGTAAATATTGAAAGGTAATCAGATTGAATAAAAGTATGTTGATTATTTGATAACCAATTTGGATGCCATCTACAATATTGCAAATAAGCATGTGCAAGAATTGAAGGGATTGCAAAAACTAAAAAGGTGGTGCTCTTTGGAATTGTTTGGTGGTTTGAATGAATTTAGGGCAATGATATAATTGAGAAATTAAAATGCAAAGAGAGTGATGATTATCAATGGAAAAACCAAAATTGATTGCATGTACTTGATTAATCAATCAGATGATCAGCCAAATAACACAGTGCTCTTTTGTAATCCCAATGGAGGTTATTATGAATATATGTTCTATGATGTAAAATATGAATCTATATCTAGTGTAATTGGTTTAGATTCTATGAATAAAATAAAATAAATGTGATAGTTTGGAATTATAGATAATATGGATAAAGTACTGGCTAAATCAATCCCAAAGCCCTACTCTAAGATGCAAATACTCTAGTCAATTACTTCAGAGAACATTTCAATATAACTCGGTTTGGCATCCAAGGGTATTCTTTGGGTGGATCTATTGCTGGGGAGGTGGCTTTGTTAAACAATCTAGACTTTTTGATTGTTGATAGAACATTTTCATCACTTGGATAGGTGGCTTCAAAGTGTTTTAGCAGTCGTATAAGGATGATTCTCAATATCGTAACTGACTGGGATAAACCTATATACATGAACTACTGGAATTATAAAGGACATAAATTAATTGTGCAAGATTCCAAAGATGAAATCATTCCGTATGTTGCTCAATTACAAGTAGCAGTAGCAAGAGAATGGTTCAGTCCATATAAAGAGAAATATTTCAGCAAGATTACTTCTATGCTAGATTAGGAGTCAGCCAGTTTTTAGAAATTCTTTTACCAAAACATTCTCAATCCTTAATAAACTAAGATTCTGTCAAATAGTTTAAATAGAGTGGTTAGTTTGCTAGTGAAATTGAATTAATTGGAATAATAAATGGAGTATGTTCAAGATAGAACTCTGATCAATATAAATACTAATTAGGCAATTCACAGTTAAGAAAACTATGTGGATATGATCACTGTTGAGGAGTTGGAGAGATTGTAGCCCCTCTTGTATTCAATTTTTGAAATCATGTATATCTTGAAGTACAGCAATACAGCTTTGATTGATCTGTTGATTTACAGCTAAGACAATTTTGAGGAGAAGATCTAGTGCTTCTTTGCATGTTGTTTCACCTTTGGGATGCACGACCATCATCGTAACTTTATATAACAGTATTCATTCTTTAGGTAGGCAATGACTGAGTTTTTGAACTTTGAGGCAAATCAAAATGATTGGCAGAATGTATATTAAATTAATAACATAGTTAAAACTAGATGGGGAAATAATCTTAGATCAATTCAATAAAATTGTTGATAGGTTCTCAGAGTATATGGATGACACACAACAGACGCATAATCTAAATGAATCCACTGAGAGAGGAGCCAATATTGAAATGAAATTGACATCCCACTACATAACCAAAATTGGACAATTAATTAATGTAGAGTGTGGACATAACAACAATCTGACTGAATTAGATTTTGATCACATAAAGACATTCTTTAGAGAGATAGGAATCCAATGAATTGATAATCTATTTAGTATTAGGATTTTTATCATTATTTGTATTTTAGAAGTGTATTCGTTTTTTTAATATTCATAATGAAATTCATTATTTTGGTTACCCTTCTGATCTGCACTTTAGGTCAGCAACCTGAATTTTTACAACAAGTAGCTTCAAATAGTTTTGGTCGCCAAATACTACAAACTATTCAGCTTGAACTTACATAAGAGTACTTGTCTATCTTTAAAATGTATTAGAAATGCTGCCAGATAAATTTATACTATGTTGAACAAGCTTTTCTACGATTTGAGAGATGAAGATGCAAGATCTAGTAAGGCCAATGGAGAAAGGTAGGCTTAATGCGCTGATCAGTTTTCATTAATCAATTCAATTTAAGAGAAGGCTGTTGTAGCTAAGGCCGATTACGAAAGGTAAATCCCAGGAAAATAAGAAGAATTAGCCAATAAATTAAGTTAAGTAGAATAAAAGAATGCTGAAATTCAAAGAAATGATCAATTATAAATTAACTTTTCTGAACAAAGAAGAAAAGAACACCAATTGTATGAACAAAAAAGAGATGAGTTGATAGGATTAATTAATGGTTTAAAATAAGCATAGCAAATCATCAGATAACTATAAACACCACATCCAGGAGGTGCTCTGGTTTAATTGAAAGATCATCACGAACAATTAAGTAAATTACATGATCATATTGAAAGTAAAGAACTACGCCTAGAATTCAGAATTCAAGAGTATCACCTCATTACTTATGGAATTATGCTCTGATACCAAAATACATTCTGACAACGACAACGTCTAAGTGATTGTAGATATCATCAACGACTTGATTGAAAGCATTTACGATGTCCAAAAGAGAGAAATGTATGCTGAGGATTGGGCAGAGAAGTTCTTCCAATAAGACTTGTATATCTCATTAATATAATTCCCTTAGGATTCGTCTCCAGAAAGAGAATGTTAGATTGTCAGGTCAAATCGCTGATGACTAGGCTGCTGCTGAATTCGCTTAATAAAGATTGGAGGATCTCTAACAACAAGCCCTTCTTCAATAGATCATCTATGACAACAAAGAAGTTGAAAGAAAATCATTTGAAGTGGCTTGTAAGGAGGACAACAATGCTGCTGAACAAGCTAGAGTTGCTAGAAACGAATAAATCTAGATTGTACTTTAATTGTTGGAACTATTTGAAAACAACTTTAATGATAGAACAAGAGCAGCACTTTTGGAAATTGTTGTGTGATGAAACAATAATAATACAATCATAAATTCTATCAATTATAAGAATAAACTTCAAAAATCTAATATATCTTTCTTTCTATTTAATATTGTCTCATATTCTTCGCTGCATTCTTTGTGAAATATATATTTGAAGTTATTTATCACACAACATCTGGGTTCCTTGTCTTCATTTGTCACCAATTCTAAACATAAAAAACATGTAAAATCATTGTGAACTGAACATTTACTTTGATCCAAATAAACTAATTATTTCTCAACCATCCTCTAACATTCCTTACACTTTATACAAGGGAAGAATGGTATCTATGCTTAAGCCTCTTCTTCTTCCTCTCTCCCCTATCCTTTTTTCTCTTTCGCAATATCCTATGCAATCATATTCTAACAATTTGGATCTATTCCTCCAAGCGTATAAAAGACTTATTAAGAAATCTAATATCCCTTCAAGTCAGGAATTTGCTATACTACTTAATCAATTAAATTTTGAGTTGTTGGATGACCTTTCTCAACCAAATAGTCTTTTGCCTTCTGAATCTTCTCCTCTAATGTGTAATTAACTGGTATCTTCATCTCATCCCCAATCTACTCATACTTCAAAATTGGAATCACTTTTGGCTGATTATTTACTTTTATAATTGATTCTTATAATTTTTGGTAATCCACTCTTACTCTATTCGAATACATCCATTTCCCTAAAGCCACAGCCTTGAATAATTATTTAAGTCTATTAAAAATCGGATAATGAATTGCTATTTAATCATACAATTCAGTAAACTTCTAAGCAAACTAGTATGACATATCATTGATATCCTAGGCTTACTTATCTTACAATTATGAATTAACTCTCTCAATTTATCTAGCTTAACACATTATTTATAAATCATTCACTACATATTTATTATCTTAGAATTGATAAGTGCATTATTATGGTACTAACCAAAATCTACACAATAATTTTATAAATTTTCCTTATCCAAATGCTATACAGGATTTTAAACCCTTATCTGAAAGTTCTTTCGGGTATACAAAAGCAGTTTTGCCATCATCTTAAACTCCAAGACTCATTAATTTTAGCAAATAATCTGTTTCAAATAGTATTTAGGCAAATTCAGTATCTTGAATAATATTCCTATTCACAAACTTATCTGGCCAACAGACTTTCTCCTATTGTTTGAATTCTTCTTAGTTGGGCAATACTATTGGATCTAAACTAAAGCAGATCCCTTTTTGTTTATCATCTAAGTTTGGGTCATTATAAACTAATAGCACAGTTGCTAAGTCAGACAAATGAATATTATCATTTTTATCAAGCAAAAATTGTGCTGTTGATTTATCTACTCCTTTGATTTTATTCAATTTCTTTAGATTTATTTTATTATCAATCTATTGTATTTCCTTTTGATTTTATTTTAGTTTATCAACCACTACTTGTTGTGTAATAGGTTTCTGAGTCTTTGGCTAATTAATTTTTGATTTAATATCTTTCATTTAATTATTCTTTATAACGGCTCTTTACTAATTGTTAGAAGCACTCGAAGCAATGTCTCTATCCTATAGTTCCGATGCAATTCGTTCTTAGATTTTGCTGAGTCTATTATTGAGATCCTTTTCAAACTTCCTGCAAAATGGCTTCACTTCACAAAACTTTTAAAATTATTTCTTTCTTGCGTCAATAATACTTTTTTATAATTTATTTTAATCCAGATTATTTGCTATGGAAATAGTGTTTTTATTTATGACCCCTTCTAAGGCTTAATTACAAGCTTTTTGCATTATCAGAGCAGCATTCTCAGATCCTATGTTAATTACCATATCAAAATATAAATAGCAGGTTCTCAAGTCTAGAATTTTGTCGCATTTATTTTTGAGAAATATATCAAGATAATATTCTTTAATATCTTCTTTGGTGAGTAAGGAAACATCCTTAATTTAATTATTTCCTTTGTTCTAATTTCTTTGTTGTCTCTTATTTTGTTATTAATTATAAGAATCTTATGAAATTCGAGAGTTGCTAGGTTGGTTTTAATACTCCTATTGATATATTTATCCTCCTTCTACTTCTAACACTAAAGGCAATAAAAGTTCGAATCGTTCCATCAATTACTAATCAAACCCCATAGAAGTTTCCTTTTTTATAATAAATTAAAAATAAAATAAAAGTTTATTATAATTAAATAATGACATCACAAAAACAGTGTCAACTTAATATTTTAGAATTTTGAGCCAGATTTGATAAATTCTTTTCAAGCTAACTAACTTTTTAACTAAAAATATAATTATTAATTACTTCAATAGTTTCTCATCAGCTTAACTAACATTTAATAAACTCTAATCTAGATTTTCTGCATCTTTCTTTAATCTTCTCTAAAGTTCCTGTTAGGCTCTACGCACCAGTTCATTAGACATCTTCTCTAATGATTTTTATTCATTTAATTATTGAGTTGATTTTATCAATTACTTAAATCTTAAATCCTTCAATCTCTCTTATCTTTAATAGTTTTCATCCAGATCCAATTATTTCAATTTCATTTTCTCTTTCTTCAGATACTTCTGAATTTCTGTTTCTTCTTTTCTTTTTTAAGAGAAATCTTCAAGCAATTGAAATTTCTTTTACAAACTTTCAACTTTACCAAACTACTATGATTTAATATTCTTTAAGCTTTTTTCAATCTTCTTTTTTCTTAATTTTTCTTCTTTGATTCTCACTTATTCTTCCCTCTCCTTAGATTATCTTAAGGCTATAGAGAAAAGATTCAAAATTACCTTTTAGATCCTCCTCCTTTGTAGCCAATTTCTTAACAATCGACTACACCAAAGACTCCTCTCTTTATTGGGTTTTGGCTTTGTATTGTCTTAACTTTTCTTCATGTAATGTACTTCTCATAGTTAATCTTTCCAATTTGGATTCCCATATCTGTCTATCCTTATTTTATGAAGTCTCAGTCCACTTCTATTCAATCTGATTCATTGTTGAGGCCAAGTGTAAATTGTACTCTTTATCTTGCATTTCCTTTCTTTATTGAATGGCATGTCTTCTTTCTTGATATCTTCTCTCTTGTTCCTCTAGTTCTTTCTTTTACTATAATTCATCAGCTTCCAGTTTCTTACGTCTTATTTATAAATATAGATATGTACATTTTCTCGAATTTTTCAGCTTACTTCTTTTTATCTTCAAGCAATTTTCTTTATCTTTCTCTCTCCTTCTCTTTGATCTCATTAAACTTTTTCTGCGCTGCTCGTTTTAGTTCCTTCTTTTTAAGTTCCTTCTAATGCGCTATCTTTTCTTACAAATCCTCAATCTTCTTCTCTCTTTCAATCATATCGTGTTATAGCTTTTATCTTTTTTTTTCATTCTCCAATTAATGTTGAACTTCTTTGGCTTTCACTTGCAATTGCTTCTTGTACTTTGTAATCTCCTTTTCTAATTGCTATTCCAATACGAGAATAGGGTCCTCTTCATCAAAGGAAAGATAGGAATCTTCCTTCTCCACATTATTGATGTTACTCATCTTCTTATTGTATGTCTCAATCAAATCATTCACTAATCTTTAATATCAATTATTAGATACTCTTCGTCTCTTTAATAGCTCTTCTCCAGGTGTAGATTTGTGATCGCTTTTTATTTTTTGATTATCACTTTTCGCTACTTGCTTATTTCTTGCAAAGCACCTATTTTAATCCATTTTCCGTTTTACTTTCTGTCTTTTTCATATAATGATCATATCTCATTTTTTAAACATTTTCAGTTATCCCTGGTTCAGCAAACTCTTCAAAAGTTCTGTATTATAGAACAGCAAACAATTACTTAAATTAAAAGATTTGGGGATCATACCCTAAAGCTAAGCATGCTTCTCTCGTTTTGGGGGAGTCCGGCTTTATTGTAAAAGTCTTGCGAGTATGGGAAAATACTATGCCTCTCCTTGTGTTACGATGAGTCTGTTCCAATAGGTTATCTATATTCATATATTTTGATATTTTATTAATTTCATTAAATAAATGATAAATTAGCTCATTTAAAATTCCATTTGTGTTTCGATTGGATATCTGATTGATATTTTTCTATTAATTTATCATGCTCGTAATACAAGGGATCAAGCTTTTGGTTGTTGTACCTTTTGCAAAACTTTTTAAACTTTTTCTTAGCATCTTTATATGAGAGATCTTCAAAGTGAGTATTTTGTTTTTTCATTAACCAAATACAAAAAATGTCATTCAACCGAAAATAATCATCTTCATCTATTTTCTGAAATTCACTCATTAAAGGAATTTTAAATAATTATATTATATTAAAAGATTTATTAACATATTATAACATCCATAGGTTCGAATTAAATATAATTGCTATTGAGAAATTAGTTATATATTTTACATGTATAAATTAATTGTTGATTTATTAGCCTTTCTTTTAGGAATATTATCATAATTTAACTAGTCTACATGTGCTCATTTCAATTTCGCAATTTGAAGGCTTTGGATAGGAACGCTCTTACAGTTTATAGGCGAAAAATTAGCTAATAATGCAAGATTAAAATAAATAGCCAATTATTTACTAGCATGTAATTTAAAAAAGGTGAATCTTTCAACTCACGACTATGATATTTGCATAGATATTATTATTTTGGAATCCTTTTCCTCGTTGTTTGGTTAAATGTTCTAATGAACTAAAAAGTTGTTAAGATATTATTATTTAGTTATAACAAAAATATTTAATTTTCTAATTGCAAAGATGTTACGATGCTATTTTGATATTCTTGATCATTAAGAAACTAAATTAAATAGTTTACACTTTGATAGTCTATAAATGGAATGATTTTTACATAATTTAATTAGATTTGCTTATTAGTTAAGAGCTAGATCGTAAGAATTTCCTTCTTAATTAAACTAAATGGAAATAGCATTTTAAATTTAATTATTATTTCTTCAATATTAAATAAATGGAGACTAGTAAGATAAGGAAGACAATTAGATTTTCAAGAAAATAGTTTATAAAAATATAAAATTAATATTTTGTTGTCATTTTTAATAGGTTAATTAAGCTTCTTCATCTTTGTCTTCTTCAATTTGGATTACAAAGTCATCTTCAAGATCATCCATGACAATTTGTGCAGCTTGCGGTTACGAGGATGCTTTTATAAAATCATCATCCAATTAGTTATTTTGTGTAATGGTTATTGGCATCTGGGTAGCACCAACTGTGTTTAATGGATTGGTAGATAGGGAGCTGTATCTTAGGAGTGTGGTATTGTCATCTTCGTATTTATCTAAGAGTTCTTTAATAACGAAGAGTCCTTTTCTGGGTATTTGTTTGATTTGTTTTTGAGATGTTTTATCTGCAGTATTGGTATCTGATTGGTTTTCAGGATTCAATAATTTTTTTTGCAATTGTTCTATCTATTATTATTTTTGTTGTTTTTATTTAAGTTTCTAAAATGAATTAGTAATTATAATATAAATACCATTTTTAATAACATTTTTTGTTCATCAAACTTTTATAATTTTTTGGATTCTCTTCTGCTGTTCTGTATGAAATAATCTAAAATATCTGTATTGGCTAGTTCTGGATTACTCTAATTAGATATTATAGGAGTACGCATAAATAGAGTTGAGATATATTTCTAGATTTTTTTTTCTGGTTTCAATTTCTTGTGGATCATCATTGGTTATTCCAAATATCTTTCGTTTTGGGAACTCAGGAATGGTGTTGACTTTGATTTGTTCTTTCAGTGCCTAATGGATGTCTCTCAGATCTGAATATCTGGTTTTGAATCTCCATTTGGATTTATTAAGATTGTCAATAACTTGAACAAAATACAGTACAAACATGTCTAATTGTTAGAATGAATCAATAATAAAATTGTATTATTATTGGGGTCTAAGTGTCATGATAAATAAATTACTTATCCTGCAAGAATTAGGCAAGATCACTTTTATCATCATTGATATCTGGTAACATAGATTTCAGACATGGAATAGAGTAGAGTTTATCAATTCTAAGTAGTTGGTTGAAATAATCTTACAAATCAGATCTCTAAAATAATGGATGAAGACAATACATACACGTCGTAAAATGCCTTATTCAGAATCATTATGACTGCCAAATAGTTTTTTGCCAGGGAATTAGGGTAGTGTAACAGAGATACGTAATTGTTATGATGACTTATCCAATTTGGCATGCAATTTTTCAGCCTCCGAATACCGTAGATGCTAGACTTTCGCAGAACAATATGAGTGGGAAACAAATATAACCACATAGACAATCTTCTTATTGACTATTTTGTGGTGTGGAATTCTGCAGCTAAACTCCTAATTAGAGTGCATTTATTATTATTATTATGAAATGATTTTGATGAATAAAATAATTCAGCCTCCTTTACACACTGCTCTTGGTATGAACAGTTCTGACAATCCCTTGCCTGAGTTCCTAAAAATTTAAGTAACCACAAAGACTATTAACATGACAGCCTAAAAATAAAGTCCAAGATGCAATGCAAACAGAGGTTTAACATATTACTACACCTTTGGTTTGACTAGCTTTTATCCAATGATAGACAAAAAGAAGATAGCAACCACTCCGGACACATCATGAATCATTCCAGTTGCCAATGATATAATTGTACTTGATAATGTAACCGAAAACATGATTATGGGGAGTGTCATTGTGACCTCTGCAGTACTTACTTCAACTCTCTTTAATTTTGTTAAAAGAATGATCACTACAATTTAAGCAGCTGCTCCCACTGAACCTAATAGAAATCCAAAAATGTAGGATGAAACAAACAATTACATTAACAATATGAAATCAAATGTCTTTGTAATTAAAGCAAGGAAAAAGAATAAGGTCACATTGCAAGTTACTTGCAATTAATTTCTATGCCAAACTTAAATCATAAAATTTTTAAATGCATCTACATCGCATACATGCATCTCAGTAGTCTTGAACAATAATCCAACATTAATCAGAATTGTCAGAGCGTAAAAAAATACTTTTAATTTTGGAATTGATCTTGTAACTAACTTCTTATGAATCTACTCTCTAATTTCTTTGTTCTAATTCAAAAAGTCCTTAGCCTTTATCTTGTGTTCATCGATTGTCAAATTCATTTCCAGCATTTCTTAAGGGAGTATCTTAATAAAAGATTCTCTTTAAAGAGAGCTTTAAATCTGTGAAAAGAATTGCTCCACATTTATCAGTATTCCATCACCAACATTGATAAAATCATCTTCGAATTCCTTTAATTGCTCTTTTGTTGCCATTGACTCTAACTATCTCACTTATTTTGTCTTTTTATAAGTTGTCATCATCAATATTAATAAGGAAAATAGCGTGATTACAATAGTGAAAAAGGTTGGGATATAATCTCTAAAAATAGATTTACAAATCACTTTACTTTGAATGCAATCCTATTGTGCATCCTGATATCATCATTGGGCCCAGTAATAATACCAAATTTTCATTTACTGCTGGTTAATTAGGCTATTTTCTTTTCTTCAGATTCTCAATCGAAGTAAGAAAATATTATGCCAATTACATAGGTTGATTCATTAATGAAGCATCCTTTAATTAAATTGTTATAATACTTTCTTTCCGTAGTTGAACACCAGCAACAAAATGAAAATCTAGAACCCCTATGCTCCTAGCCCAATTGAATTGAATACTCCTATCGATATGGGGATGACGAGTGATCCCCATAAAGATAAGGCATTTATTTAATTAAATTGAAAATGTTAGCAGAAGTTTGATGCAACTTCGTGATAAAATCTTCCGCACTATGCCATTTTTTCAAATAAAAAGTATTTATTAAAATGGGAATAATGTATATATTAATCAAAATAATTATACACGTTCATATGCACAAATACATCAATCCAATTACAGCTTCTCCAGTTCTGTGAAGCTCTTTTAAGATTAACTCTACGAGGATGCTTATAAAACCTTTATTTAGTATTCTTATTTATCATTCAGTTTTTATGGACTAGTAAATCAATCGAAAAATACATCTAATTTACACAATAACAAAATTAAATTATCTAGTATTCAAACAGTCCCATACAAACTTACTCATTGTTGATCTCCTTTCTTAAGTAGCATTCTATAGGATCATTTATTTACACTTATATATTATCTCTTAATTGCTTCGTATTTATTGATGAACCTGATTCGCTGAACAGAAAATGACCCAACTCGATCTAATCAAATTTTTATTTTTATATACATCTTCATTTTGTTTAATTTTAAAAAGATTAAATTGAATTGTAAATGTGTCCTAAGAAACTGCAAATCCAGTTAAAGAACCTAGAAAATCATTAATTGCCAGCACCTTTGATTCTCCCAATTGTTTTTATTCATTAAACGCCTTAATTTAAAAATAAGGTGGATTGTTTTTATTGTTCCCAGTCTTTGAAAACAATCTCAATTACAATGGAATTATGAATAGGAATTTGTTTTGCATTCCAACCTCCTTCAGAAAATTCAAGTTTTAATACCTAGAACCTTCGAATCCTTTGCCTAAGACACTTTATAATTAATAAGATATTGCATCTAAATTTAATTGCATTTTTGATTAATGAAATTTCTACATATTTTTAAGATCAGATTTATGGTTCTAATAATCTAAATAGTGCTTTTAAGAATTGATGACTGACGGAAGAGTGTGAATTCTAATCGCCAGGCTTTTATTTTGATTATTTATTGTATTCAAGTGCATATTCACCCTAAAGCTTCTATTAATAGAACGAGTTGTTGATTATGCATTGTTTATTGACTTATTGTTGTTATTTAATAACTTTAACATCAAATGTTTATCAATTCTAGATTTTTCTATATTTTATTCCTGAATATGAAATTGTTTTGTCAGTTTCATTTACTCATGTTTATGCTTCAATGTTTACATAATGCGGTCAGATTTCAATTGCAAAGGCTAGAAGTATAAATTTTAAATAGTACTTATGAAAGGATTTCCTTGAGCTTATTCTTATGAAATTATAATTATCTCTCTTAATTCTTTTCATGTATAACATCTTTGATTAAATAAGTACTTTTCATGTAAATGTTATCAAAAAATAAATCAAAAAATATTAATTATTCATAGAATATATCATTTATGAGTATTACTAAAATATAGAATTTGAAGTTATCTAATTTAGAATTCTAAACTTGATAGTTTACTCAAATACTAATTAATTTCACTTAATTTTTTATAAAAAGAGGATCAAAACTTCTTTTAGAAATAAGAGAAAGTAATTCAGGGATTAATATTATAAATGATGTTGGCATCAGGTTACTTAACATAATTAATATGTAATTATTTTTTTATGAAAATTGAAATGGAAGTTATTGTGAAGCTATCTCTCAATAATATAAATCCAATAGAAGAGTCTGATTGATTTGATCTAATAATCAAATTAGAATCATCAAGTTCTATTATCATTTTAATGGAGACGATCTAGCATAATTATGAAATATAAATAAATGATTGTGTATAACAAATTAAAAATCATTGAATAATATGTTTAATTTAATTAAGTTTATTTAATTTAATATTTAGTGACAGTATTCTCTTAATATTTATCATCAACAATATTTTTAGAATTAAGTTGATAAATAAAATAATAAAGGCAAGTGGGATCATCTTTCTTGTCATTACAATAATATGAACTATTAGATTGAAAATTGATAATGTATTGAAGATTGAATGAGCTTTTGCAATACCATATGATTGAGTAGTCATCCAAACACATCCCAAAATTGGACTAATCAAAATACTTAAAGGATAAGGAAAACTTATCAACAAGATTTATTCTAAATAAAGATCCTCTGCCTAGAGCCCTTATTAAATTAATAAAGGCAAAAATATCTAAAATAATCTAATATTTTACTGCATCCATAATTGATAACAATAATTGAACATAAATTTTTGTCTTCTACCCAACAGTTGGAACTTGATGAGATAGGAATAGGTATCGAATTTTACCAAAGATTTACATTTTAGACTTCCTATTCAAAGATTTTTTCGATTGCTCTTATTAAATTTCCTAGGATGACTAAACTGAATCCTGCATTCTTTCAATGTACTAATTTTTAAGATCTTCAAGGTTTTGAAGATTATCAAAGCTCTCTTTGTCCTCTTCAAAAACTTGGAATTGATTTGATTATTCCAAAGAAATTCTTTGATTATCCAACACGTCTTCTATTTCTTCAGGATTGGATTCTGAATCATAGATGAACAAACCTAATCTCAAATTTTTATTTTTAGCGCCTTCTATAAATTTAATAAATTCTTAGGATTCATAATTCTCCAAAATAGTAAATTCATCATCTATAATAATTATGATATTGATTGTAATTAAGAAATCTGAAAAGAATTTAACATTCTAATTATTGCAAAAGACAATTAACTATTATACATTTTATGTAAAGTCATTACTATCGACATCAATAGCTCTGGCATATCTATTAAATTTAATAATGAAGTTATTTAACTTTTAACTATTTTCCATTCTTTTTTTGTGTGTAACCAGGTTGTCCAGAATTTTATTTCTATCTTCATGAATCTCTTTATTTCTATTAATGGAGAAATAGAGACAAGATAGAAAAGGATTGCTTTCGCATAAATAAAAGGGCTTCAGAAAGTTACCTTCCCCTGAAACCAGAATATAGTATGGACAAGCTAGAAAGAAGTACTTTAAATCACTTATCTTGTAATTGAAAATATCAAAGTAGAGCAGAGTGTAATCAGCGGATTTAGATATTTTGATTTTAATGAATTGATCATCCATTAGCTTCATGATATTCGATTAATGAAAGTATTCGATTATTTTCAGATATTTCTTTTTTTTTGTATAAGTTAAAATCACCCAATACAATGGGTAATATAGGATGGAGACAATAAGCAATATGATCTTTTCTTGCTTTTTCCATTCAGCCAGCTTATTGATTTTGTTTGCAAATCTTTTATACTCCTCAAGATCCATGAGATATTCAATACCAGATTCAGGATGAGATGGCAATTTCCATGGGTTTTCAGGAGAATTATTTCCGAGCAATGTAATCCTATGAACATGATACATGAGATCAATCAATTAGAAATTAGTGTTTTTCAACAATTCATCAGTCAATAAATGATCTATAGTCATATATCTTGTGGCTGATTCAAAGTCGAAAGGTAATTTCTCATATTTGATTTCCTGCATTCTATACATTCTTCTAATAACATATCCGATTGTAACAAATATCAATAGTATGAGATACAGAATCAGATTCATTAGACTGGACATTATATTTGAGATGAATGTAATTGGATCGCAGTGGAACTCATTGCAGACTTTCTCATTGCAAAATGGCCAATCAATATAGGATTATCCAAAAAGGACTCCAGGGCATTTGAAACAGTGTCCTCGTTTTGCAAAGGATATAGAATTACTTGGACATTCAACGCATTAAAACTTATGGAGATGAAATCCATCTTCACAAGGGAAAAATTATATTGTACCATTTTAAGCTTATTAATCCTATCTTATTCCTGACCTAACATCTATTTTGAGTTTGGAAGTAATTGATAATTCTCCTTACACTATAACAATTCCTCCTCCTCCTTCACCTACTTTGTTAGAAGCATCTGAATTTCCTCCTTTGGCTTAGATGACGCCATTCCCGTCTATATATTTAGCTTGTATTTGAATTGCTCCTCCTCCCCCACCTCCAAACTAATTTTACAGATCAATGAATTATCCATCCACTCCATTACATAACAATTAACCATTTATTGAAATCGAGTTAAGTGATTACAGTAGAATTATCCCTCCTCCACTACCAATGGATATTGTTCCAGCACCTCCACTTCCACTTCTTAGATAATTAGGGTGGTTATAAGGATGAGACTTTATGAATTACTTTGAAGTCTTCTCTAGAGCTTAACATGATTTATTCTGGCTTCCTCTTCCTCCCAGGCCGGCTGATGATCCCCCTCCACTTAAACAGACCAATCCTTCGATTGTAAACGTAGGAGCCTTTCCTACTCCTTGATTAGTATAACAATCAAAAGGAGACTTAATAACTCCGTCTACTATTGTGTTGTTGGAGTATAGTATTATTGTAGAAGCAATAATCTAAGACTTAGAGTCAATTGTAACATTATCTTATGAAACTATCTTAAGATTTGATGTCAATTCTAAGTCTTTATTCATATTGCATTTAGGATTTAAGCTTGTAATAGAACTATTTGAAATTTGGATCTGGCCAATATGAGATATCAACGTTAATTAATCAATATTTATCAAGGCATCTTTGATTATAATATCTGTTTCTGATTCTATGATTAGTTCTGTATGATTCAACTATTACTCAAGATTCCCTTGTAGTGAAATGCTTCCCTTCGATTAAAATCTATATTGACTAGTGTTGGGATTGATTAAATTGATATTATGAAATTCAATGTAATCAGAATCTATTTTTGTGATCTCGCAATTTGTTATGTTTGATCTTTTAAAATGTACTTCTTGAACATTCAAAATCAAGTAATTCTTTTAGCAAACGAAGTTACTAGAAGTTAAATAAACATTTTAGCATGATTCCGGTATATAATAGATGTTTTGATCAAAATAAGTGCAATTGGTAATCTAAAGTTCTGTAATTGGATTCCCACCCTTCTCTTGACTATTTATTAATCCCAAAAATGCAAGAAGAAATAATTCAATGAATTAAGCCTTTTGCTTATACATATAATGAATAAATTATAACTAATTAAATTCCAAGAATACAATAATTTATTTTCTTAAATATATTGGAAATAAATCGCCTTTGTCAATTTTTAATAAACTTTTTGTAAGCTTCCGCATTCCTTTTAAGAATGTTAGAAACAGGACCCAGCAATCTAATGAACGAATTATTATCAAGATAGACCACATTACAATCAGTCTATAGTTGATATAATATTTTACTTCAGCTTTTACAGTAGCCTATCTTGGAACTTTGTGAATCAATGCCAATTCTCCGAAATAATCACCTGCCTTATATCTTAAAACCTCCTCCTATGTCCCATTCACTTCCCGATAGGCTATCAGATTCCCCTCCGCCACCATATAGAATTTGTCTCCTTCTTCTCCCTCCTTAATTATGATGTCTCCTGTCCCATAATGTGCCTCCTTTAACCCATCGCAAATTTGAGTCTTCTCATAGGCATCCATCGAATACAACAATTCAACCTTTGACAAGACTTCCTCATATTATTCTCTTTTTTTGATGGTTGCATCTTTCACTATGTTATTAAACGTGCCTCTATCCAGAGCAAAGAGAACTGCATCATTTTTGGCTTAAATAGAAGCAGCCCTTGGAGCATTGTATAATAGAGCCAATTCTCCGAACATATCCCCAGCCGAATATTCCTTTAAAAATTTTGGCTCGGTATCCTAAGGGTGCATCTTTCGATAGCAACTCAATTCGCCAGAGAAAACGATATATAGTTCATTGCCATCATCCCCTTACCTTATTATCCAGTCATCCTATCCGAAATGCTTCTCCTCCATTGCGTCTACAACTATTTTCTTTTCATTTTCTCCAAGCGCTTAAAACATGAACACTTTCATAAGCTTTTCCAATATTCTCTCCTTTTATTCTTCTGTTTTTTCGATCACTCTGGGCTAAAAATTCTCTTTCTTGTTATGTATACCAAACACCTCAGCACTTACAGAACTTCTGAAAGCCTTTGGATTTCCAGGAGGCTAAGGTAATTCATCAATATCCTCGAATGCATCTTCATCAGAAGATACGTTATATTCAACAATCAAACTTTCCCTTTGATGTTTGCTTAATCTTATTAATTGCAAGTATTCAATCATCCAATCGACCTGTTATTAAGATTGATATATTTTCATACGTAATTGTCTGGTTGATGCTTGAAAAGCTCATATACCATTTTTTATATGACTTAATTCACTTTTTCTTTATACTTCGCCAACTTCTCTTTATTATTCATATTTATTAAAATTTTGTATATGTAACTGTTCCTCCAAGAAATTAATTCTTACCAAACTATAGTCCGATCTCATTATTAGTTATTGTTACATTCGAATGCCGCTTGCTTGAGGATTAAACTTTCGATACAAATTCTTAGTAGTCATGAATTTAGCTTTAATAATAGCCTTATTTCAATAGATCATTGTGTTTTTAGTATCAATATATATTGAAGTTATAAAAATTAAGAAGAAAATTCCACCTTAAACAAGAATCTACATTTAAAATGACTGGATACTTTAAGATCTATTTTTTATGATAATAAATTTCTATAACAAAAATCATAACTAAATTGCTTATTCCAATCTCTGTTAGTGGTATTTTATTTAAATTTCCATTGGGAAATATATAAATATAGTTAACATGAATAGTCCAAATGCTGATTTGTATTTTCTTTTATTAAAATTAGCTGCAGCCCAAATGTATGGTATAAAAATAGCCACAGTAGGGGAAATTGCATTCGGATTCTCTTTAATTGTTCTGATTATATTATTGAGAATAATGAACATTAGAAAGTACACTATCAATCTAAAACAGTCTTATCTTGAAATTATGTTAAACAGACTATTTGGTTTGTTAACGCTTGAATCCCCTGACCAAGAAAATTGAGCACACAACACCAGCAGATTGATTGAACTGTAGTCAAATAAAGTCTATATGTAACAATAATATTTACACTAATTGATGAGCTGCCTGTGAGAGCAATATCTCCAAAAATAAGTAAAGCATTCGTTGTAATAAACAAACTTAGCATGCTTTGTATTCCCTTCTCACTTAGAAGATAATATAGCATGCATTCAATCACCCAAATTGTAATCAAACTTATCATCGTCAACATGCTAATCACCGAAAAAAATTCCAAGTAATTAATAAAATAGGTCACTATTGGAACTAGTCCTAATATAGGAAAAGCCAATTCCACCACGATTCTAAAAGAATTTTTACTCGTCTTTGGAAGTTACTCAAAAGTATTTAAAAAAAAACCCAAGAAATTCAAGAATCCTATTACGATGCAATAGTAGATAAATCTTTCTTTATTCTATTCTACATCCAAATTTTTATAGTACACGTAAAGCAAAGCTGTTACCTAGCTTAACATTATTTTTGTTATGATAAATATTGTATTAAAAATTATTCTTTTATATTTAACAAAGAAGTACCGATTAATTATGATAGTAATAGAATTAAAAATATCTTTCCAAATTTAATCAGAGAAACTATTCAAATCAATCTGGGAAATCCATATAAATTGAAATCAATCACTCTAGTCTAGTTCTATGGAATTCAATCATCACTCAAATTTTAATAGCTCCATTATTTCTATAATTCCTTGAATCAGATGGAGGAACCCAATTTAACAATAAAAGGATTATCTATTACTCAGATTCGAAATCTAAATCACTATTATAATCACATAAATCTTAATTAATATATTAGTTATTATTATAATGACTAATTTTATATTATTTAATTTAAAATTGATTGACCAACATAATGATCTTCGAACTGATCTATTATATAAAATTATTATATAAGTATAAAAATAGCTCTGAAATATAGCAATAATAATTTCATTTAAAATAATAAAATATAATTTCATATTTATGAATTATTTAGTATTCTAGTAACGCTAAGCCTATTATTATTAAAGACATTAGACTTATCAATATTTTAATATTGTTAAGGACTGTATAAATTCTTACTATAGTTCTGCTAGTCTTCAATTTGACTTTAACTAATATATTTGCTTTAATGTTAATTATGATCTTAAGAGGAATTTAGGGACGACTAAGTTTAATTACTAGATAAAATTACTTATTTTGTCATATCGCTGTACCCTTATGGGATATACCGCTTTCTCTCAAGAAAATCATTCTAAAAAAATGTCTTCAACTCCTCATTAGGATTAAACATTGAAAATGTACTGCTAACTGAACTTCTATTAAAATCATTTGATCTTTTGAAGTCACTCTCTTATTATTTGCCAACACTCTATGGTCTTGCTTAATATTTTAATTTAGGAGAGTATTGATTTGGCATCTGCACCTTATATTTGCTGTTATTTGGCATGTTATCTTGTAGATGGGGATTTGCTAGAAAATTGCTTACTCTATTTGAATTTGTCATTGAGACAGAACCTTAAAATTGGTGTAATTGATTTAGACCTTGACATTTAGATTCTGAATCTAATTACGGGGAGATCTATTGATGCTATTATTGCTTATAAAAGCTATTGTTAGAAAAGGTTCTTTTATTCACTGAATCACCAATTTCTTAATTTTTTGTTTGGCTTTGCTCAGATTGTATCTCTTCTTAAATCTTCCTCATCTTATCGGAAGAATTGATAAATGACCTTCTTTCACTTGCAACATCTATCATATGCTATTTGTAAATCTTCTTATCTTAATCAAGTAAAGCTTTGATCTTAGATACAGCTTGATTATTTTATTGAGCTTTTTGCTATCGGTAGGATCCTCTTCCCTTTGATGAAGCTGAATGACTACTTTGATGTTTTACTAAAGTAAAACTCTCTTCCTGTACTGTTTCTAAATTTTTTTTTGAATTCTGCTTTTGTTGATATTTAAATTTTGGAGATTTACTAGGGGATCTTGATTAACTATTTGGAGATTTTTAAGGTGGAACTAAATGCTTCTGGCTTGACTAAGGTTATGCAAAGGTTTAATTTGTATTATGAGATTAATGATCACTTAATTTTGCATTTGATTATGATGACACTTAGGATTGCTAGAGTTATTATAGCTAAGGTTATTGCAATTAGTTAAATGTTTATTATTAGAAGATGCTAGATTATTATTATTGTTGTTATTATTATTATTATTGTTGTTGTTATTATAATTGTTATTGCTGTTATTATTGTAATTGTTATTAATATTATGATAACTAACTATTTTAGAGATTTGAATATTATAGAATTTATGGGATATGATGTTCTCTGACAGGAACGCTATCAGTATCTTCGTACATTTGATGTTCCTCTGTATCTACTCGCTAATATTCAATCTAATTATTTTTTTTGAAAAGATGATCCTAATACACCTTGTTGGGTTTTGGAGGTTTTTCTTTGATCAAGTTGTCTCTCATTATAGATTTTATCTCCGTGTCATCCAAATGATGTTTAGAAATAGTGATATTGATTTAGTTGATTGTTTATGGAATGGTTTCTGTAATTTTCGGAGTTATTTCTTTGGTTTTCTTTTAAATCAATTATTGTTATTGTTATTTATATCCAACTGATGCAGACCTTTTTCTGTCATCATATTAAGTAGAGATATTCTGAAGTAATAACCTATCATGACTTCTTTGTGTTTATTTTTGACTAAAATACATGACAACAATTTTACATTATTGAATTATTATATTATATTTACTATGTCAACTTGCTTATTTCATCCTTGAGGTGATCGAGCTCTTGTCTCACATCACAATTTTGTTGAGCAAAGTCCAATCTCCCAGTTGTTTATAATTTACCTAGATGATATGTAAATTTACTTGAATAATCTATTATTTCTTATATTTTCGGTTTGCCATTAATAAGAAAACCCTTTTTTACAAGCTTATCAAATCCTATAATAAACACACACTTAATCAATGTTTCCTATTGTTGATTTGGAAATAGGCTGATTAAAGATTGAACTAGTTATCCTTTCATTTTTCTTTTGAATTTTCGTTATATAAATTTTATTGTTAAATTAAATTCAATATGAAATCAAATTTTCATAATCTAAGCAATCCAAAAATTTGATAGTCTTGATTTTTCTATCACATAAGAGGTTCTTTTGATTGAATTAATGTTCCTAATTGTAGCCATTTCATAAAAAGATAGAAAATATATATGACATAAATGAATTATTCAATAATACAATTTTTAAGTTAAAATTAATGAAAATATTATGATTATCACTCATGTTTTTTTATGTATCAAAAATAAAGCTTATAATAATAATTTAAATGGAGAAACTAAACAATTCTAATAGAATTTGGAGAGATATTTCTTAGAATATATCTTTAATTGAGATAAACTCAATTGGAAATGAGAATAAGATATTGGGGGAAGTAATAATTTCTTGAGATTGATTAGACTATACCTTTATATTATATTATTTTGACCTCATTCATTCATTTTATCAAAATTGATATTATCAAAAGCATTTATGCTTTATTTTATTAATAAAAACTTTAAAGTTTCATCAAATCTTACTAAATCTAAAAAAGTAAAAAGGTTATGATACCAAAAAATTGCATGAATTATTTAAATTATTCAACATCTTAGAATGCTAATAGATCGGCAAGGTATTCAAGATCAATGTTAGAAATGTAACTATGATTATGATATAATATTATATACGTTTTAACAATTTATTTCAATGCCCTAACTCTGATTCTTACTAAAAAGTGATTAATGATACTCCCCATAGTGTCACTTGATTCCTTGTAATCTTTAAATAGTTTAACATAATTGCCACACTTAAAAGATTCTCTTAATCTGGAATGATATGAGATTGAATATTGTACCCCAATGCGAATTTGATTCTTGAATCATCTAGGTTTTGATGCATTATCTTGACTAATTAATCTTATTTGTTCAACATGGTGAGGTAGAATATTCTGTAACTATCGAACTCGACTTTGTTCCCAATGAGATTCACATCTTTGCCCTCGCTAATACTGATCATCTCATATAAGTCCACCAGCATTGTCCAACAACTTTCATATCTAGGGAAATCCCCGCATTCCAAACAGATTCGGGCATTTTCTTCGTAGACTTGTACGGTGAATCTATTTTCGATGTGTTAGACCAGGAGGTCTTGTCGAATTGATCTAAATTATTCAATTATGAAATTGTAATCAGCTTGACAGTTTTTCCACTTATCTAATAATTATGCAAGGGCTTTTTTTAAGATATGCTCAGGTCTAATCATATTAGGATCTGGCAAACCAGTTAGTCTAAAATAAGGTTTTTCTAGATCTTCACATGTCCCCTTAAAAATAAATGAAATTCCATTATACTATGATTTTCATATTTGTTTCAATAATTTGGTCTTCTTCTTCTATTCTTTTTTTTAACTATTTTTATTGTTATTTTATTTATGTAGTAGCATTGGGTTACAATTTTCCAATCTACAGAATAGCCAAATCCATGCTATAGTCAATTTTCTTATTTTTCATATGATTTTGATTGATTGATTCAACCTATTACTGAACCAATTAATCGTATAATGAGATCAAATTGTGCAAATTAGTAGATGCTGTAATTTCTATTATTAAGAACCATTACTTTAAGCTGGTCCAGTAGGTTGAGCTTGACTTGGTGCCCCAAATTTACTAGTTTAGCCTAATGACGACAATGCCATAGCTGTGCTTTGTTTAATTTGTAAGTTTGATGAAAATAAGGACTGCGTGCGTATTTAATTCTCTCTTTGAAGTGTGGGCAAAGGAAATTTAGACCAGTCTCTGATAGTATATTCATTCTTCCGTTTAGCCTCAGCAATAGTGGCTTTTAGATGTTATTCCATGATGTTCCTCTCCTCATCAGACTGGCATTTGTTAAATGCCCTTTCAACATACTACTTCACAGTAATCGATGATTACTCATTGAATACTTCTCTGGAATTGCAAAATCTAGCGCCTATTTAATTTAAGCAACAATCTTACTAACTAAATTAGGCATCTCGACGTTGAGTTTGCGATAAAGATACGAATAGACCTTGAGTTCGCTTTCCCATCTGGTGGGTTGATCCAGTTCTGAAATATTGACTGGAGGCAGAAATTGATGATCATTATTGGTTTCGATTTGAATCTTTGACGATTATTACTATGTCGATTATTGATTAAGCTGTTGTGACACAGATTATTATTAAGGCAACGGAGGATTGCCAAATTATTGTTGTGGTGGTGGTTGGAATTTATTTTATTATTAATTGAAAACCGTATTCGGTTATTGAACAAATTGAGGAGCTCTATAAAAGTTGTTTTGCATCATTGTTTCTATGTCATTAATAATGGCTTACATTGATTTCCGACTCCTTGATAATTATATTGATAATATTGATTATATTGATATTAGGCAGGAATGTTGGGTTGGTATCTGTAATTCACATTAGAAGCATAGCCATAATAATTTTGATAGCCACCTTATTACTAGGGTTGATAAGAATTTATTTGTTCAGCCCTCATAGCATCTTCGATTGTTTATCTTTTGTTATTCATTTTATCTTATATATATATATATTAATAATAATAAATCTAAATTGTGTTATGGCATCATAATCGATCCTTAGATTTTTAAAAGATTGAATAAGTAAATAAATTACTTCAATGTTTGATAATTATTCTTTCAATTCCATTTATTTTTATTATATTTATCTAATTTACAGAATGTCTTATGTTCCTAATTTTGTTCCAAGTGAATAGCCACTGTATCTCAAATTACAGATATCCTAGATTCCTTCAGCATGGGATGAACTGAAATTGAAACATTTTCTAACGAGTCAAGGATATTCTGTGTCTGATATATAGATGTTAAAAAAAGATGATCGTATTGAAATAGTCTAATAGCAAGCTAAATCCAAAGGAGCAGCAATAGTCAAATTCAATAAAATGCAAGAGGGAGAAAAAGCCACAAAACAATTGAAAGAAGTGGCTGTGGATGGAATGCAGCCTCTGGTACTGAAATGGGCTGAGGGTGAAAAAGAAAGATTAGGAGTGGCTGAGGAAACTTCTCCCAAGATACAAATTGATGGATTATAGAAGGACTGCGAAGAGGCAATGATTAAGGAGATCTTCATGAAATATGGTCAAGTCACTGACGTTTAGATCCAGAATTAAGGATAGTCTTCGATTAGTGCCATCGTGTCATACACATTTAAGGAGAGTTGCCTATTAGCAATCAAGAATAACCATAATAAGAATTAATTAGGGTAATACTCTTAATGCTATAATCAAAGTGATCGTCCTCTGGATGTAAGATTTTTGGGGTAGCCTGCGACAATTGCAAATAAGTAGTATCCAGATACTCCTGCGACTGAAGAAGGAGATCCAATTAGAGACATTGTACATTTATTATAATGGCTAGACTAAATCATATACGAGGTGGCTGGATCAGAAGAAGAAACCAATTTACATTCATTGGGAGACTGGGGAAATTGTGAGAAGGTTGGATATTCATATCATTTTATTAGTGTGAGTTTCGGTTCAATTATATATTCACCAGACGGAAGCAAGGAAATAATTACTAAAGAAAAGTATTTGAATGATTTGGCTACGTTCAATTCCAAGAAGACAGGACCTCCTGGGGCCAATCTCTTTGTTTTCCATTTACCAAATGAACATAAGGATTCTGATCTAATGGATTTGTTTTCATCTTATGGCAATGTAATTTCAGCAAGAGTTATGACTGACCCAAAAACTGGTAAAAGTAAAGGATTTGGATTTGTGAGTTTTGACAAATAAGAAAGCGCGTAAAAAGCAAAGGAAGCTATGGATGGACATTTGATAGGTAAATTCAAACAAATATATATGAAAGATAAGAAAAAGTTGTCAGTTACATTTAAGTAAGGTGATGGAACTCCATGTTAACCACTTTAATACTAATGGTTACCAAGTATTCAATAAGTGTAATTTGATCCATTTGATTTGTGATTTATCTTAGAAGTTTTATATTTTTTGTTTTAAATTTATTATTTAGTTCATATAAGTTCATTTGTTAAATTCATATTAAAAGACAATTATATTATTATAGAATTTATTAGAGATTTATGATGATAGAAGAAGATGTTATAAAGTTTATGATTAACTATACTTTTTCAATACTCTATTTTAATATTTACTAAAACAAAAGAGTTTAATAATGGCTTCAATTAAGAATTTAATAAAGGGACTATTCGATAACCTCTTCTCAAATTTAATGGAGATAAGCAATATTGTCCCAGTAAGGAATCTCCCAAAAGCGAATAACTATATGCCTGGAAGTAAATCACATCTTATTAAGCATGTTTCAGTTGAATTTTGCATTTATAATTGAAGATTGGATGATACCCATTGTCGTAGATAACTTCAGTTCTCCATTTTTCTGAGTTATTTACGTCTTCCTTGTTCCCAGCAATCCTGACTTTGATGTAAGGGTCGACAACCTCTTGCTGTCTTCTTTTCTCCTCTTCCCACACTATGTTACTGGCACTTAGTATTTGGATGAAGAGTGTCATTTAAATATCATTTTTAGACTTCAATATATAAGAACTATTGAGAAACATACCGTAATTGTATAGCATAAAGATGTCTTTGGTTTGTATATTCAGGGCTACCATCTATGCTCCTGCTGACCATGATGGAAAGGGGTCAAAATTACTGGAGTCGAATCTTAAACCTAAGGGATAGATCCTTACGAAGTACGTATTCACATAATCTTAAAATTTCCCTTAATTCTTTTTCACGACATCTTAAATCTTATCTTCAGATACACTTGAAACCACCCACACCAAATCTGGATTGACATTCAGTTTAAGCGATACAGCGAACAAAGACGTTATTTCCAATATTTCTCTGCAACTCTTCTTGACTTGTTTACTATCAAGTGTTTTGCTATATTAGTTAAGCTAGTTATCATTATCTTGTTCATCTTCGAACTGAATGAGCATGTCTTCTTTTGTTTATGTACAATACAAGGATAAGGATAAGGAATGATCACTCAATTGCAGTTTCTCTTACAAGAATTCTTCATCAGCCTTGTATTTTATCAAGACCTTCCTCTGCAATTCCTACAAAGAAGCAAATTGCTTAGCCTTATAGTCCTTGATCACAAAGAGCATGTCTCCTAAGACTGATCTCAATATGTCAGCAATTCTTCTTTGTTATTTAAGAGAACAATGCATTTCTAAAGATAAAATAGCAGGATTATCATCTTTAAAGAAGGCGAATTCTCTGACTGTTCTGATAACATCTATAAACTTGATATCATTCACTAAGGTATGACCATGTGTAACATTTGGTTCTCCATCTTATCCATCCCAACAATCTAATTCTACACATTTAAACCCCATCTTGAAGGCATCTTGGTAGGCAAAGCAACTTGATTAACCAGTTAATTGGTTGGTTTCTAGATAGGTATTGTGAGATGAATTGATTAAATATTATGTAAGAGGCTAAGATTTATCAAAATCTTTGGCTTGGAATATTGAGTTTTCTTGATTAAAAATGATGTTTTAGAAATCATAGAAATTGTAACACTATTTTTATGCTTTATAATCTTTTTGACCCTACTCAATTAAGAAGAAGGTTTCTAAGTCATGAGCACTCATCAACATCGTATTGTGGGGATCATCAAATAAACCTTCTTATTTACTGCAATATTTTTGATATAATTGAATCAATTCATGTTTCCTTGTAATCTCCATGAGCAATTTATACAGAGTAGCCTCATCCAATTGGTTATTTTTTTAATGTTTATCAAATAACTATAAGAGTTTTCTTTCTTGGATTTCAATTTACAATTCTCCAATTAGAAATTAGAATTCTTTAAAGTTGAGTCTATTATCCATATCGAGATCTGACTTAGTAATCAATTTTAGGGCATTGCTCCATATTTGATTGTAGCTATCTAACTATTTTTAGATGCGGAATGCCTCAGCTATAAGATATTGCAATCCTTCTCTAATGATGTTTTGTTATTGGTAATTATCAAAGTAGAGTTTAATGAAGATTCCTTGCGAATTGATGATTTTCAGTTTGTTCTGCTCTTCAGATGTAATGTCTGAAATTTGTGTGAGATCAAAGTAATTACTGAAAGTACCAAGTGGATCAAGCTAAGAATTTTATTATTGCATTACCATTTGAATCATCCTAGCCTCATTCGGACTCAAAAACAAAATTATCTAAGTTCGTTTGGATTTATGCATCTTTATTTTGACTAGTATACCATACACTAATTAGTTTACACCTTCATGATTAGCAACTTAATTCATAAATTTTATTTTTTAGAATTTGTATAACATTCACAGTTCCATAAATAGGTGTTGCAATCACAAACAATATGGCATATTGATAATGAACATAAATAAGAATTTTTGAAGAATAGAGTGTAATTTATAACTCTGAAGATTGAAGTTATATATGTATAATAATTAATTACTACCTATTGATAAACTTAATAGAAGGAGAGTATAAAATATATATATCTATTGATAGTAATTTATATTAAATATTAAACGATCGCATTGAATATTAATTATAATAATAATATTGCGCAAATAATAAATGTTAACAGACACTAACAGAAACAAAGTTTCAGCCTACTTTCCAGCTGCACTCACCTTAGCTGATCTTCAAAACGATTAGATAATGTCTGAGGATTCAGACGTTGATTTGAGTTAATCCAAATTGCAACGCCTTGGGATTGACATGAGTAGTCTCCATGCTCCAGAAAGCTCTGACAAAAAGGATGAATTGAGTGATGTTAAGACTGGATTGCAAGAGTTCAATAGATCCATACAATAATATACGAAGAAATTTAATGAATCACAAAGTCACTAAGATCGATACAATCTGTCCTCGAATATAGAACAATTTAAATAAAAAATCCAGGAATTATAGGTGGAATTGTAGACTGATCCTCCTACTTCTGATCCTTATAAAATATCACTACATTCTATCAGACAAACTACCGATACCAAAACACCCTAAACTTTTACAACCAATAAACAACCAAACAATTAAACATAAAGCCAATCATACTCGTCGGGAGCATAAAGTTATTAATTGCCTCATCTGCACTCTACAAACAATAAAACTGTTCAGAATACTCGTCCAGATCCTTTTGGGAATTTGTCTGAGAAGTTAGAATATCATAGAATCAAATATTATGATCAATTCATGCCAGATAGCTAAAAGTTGCTTAACAATCCACTTAAATATCTAAAATACAAATTGGATTGCTAAAACAGATTCAATATGGAGCATTGTCTTGATAGTTTAATTAATTATTGAATATTATTTTAAATACTAAATTTTATCTGCAGCAACATATACCCTTTAATATTAGGTGTGTTTCATACTATAATTATTGTTAATTGCTAATATAAAGGTTCTTTTTATTTTTCATAAATATTAATATTTATTGATAATCATGAAAAATGAATTATTTAGTAGCAAAAATCCAAAAATCTCAAACAAAATATTTGAAGGGCCTATTCGAACAGCATTTTAATCTAATGCAGGAGAAAAAGATCCTGACCCCTTGGCTATTGTAGAAGTTTAAAAGGCAGCTGTCCACTTTCTGTAAAGAGTATTGGAAAAATCAATTAAGAGATCAATAGAGAAATAGGAAGACAATTTGAAATTGAATATAGAAGACGTCATGTATTAATTTAGAGTAATGCTATTAAACATACCTTAGAATCAACCCAAGTTTTTGGATTTGTGTGCTAGAAAAATTATCTATATTAGTAGGTTGCACGACATGAGTAAAAAAAAATCATTCATGAATGAAAACACATAAGATAAAGAAGAAGGACAGGAAGAAAGGGAATACGAAGAAGATGCCAAAGAAATTGCATAATATGCTGGGCTTTTTAATTGATTTTGATAAATTAACTATAAATGAACTTTTTATTTAAAGGTTTCTATAAATTAGTTAGAATATCCTTCTTAATAGTTTTTAAATTAAATCAATATAAATATTCAGATAAAAATTGAAATCAAGGAAGAATTGGTTATACAATATTATGATAACTTAATTTTAAAGTAAGAATTAAAATAGAATTCAATATATTGAGGAGATTATGAAAGAATAATCAGTAATAAAACTAATAAATTTAATTAATTTCATTAGAATAAGGAATATATTAATATTAAGGTAGCAGATTATAAGAATATATATAAGCAATTTAATTTAACTTCTTTTATTTAAAATGAATTTGAACATAGTTATATTAATTTCATTGAAGTTAATATGAAAACCTAGTTTTAAATGATTAATCCAAATTTTGATTAATTTTTTGTATTATTTATTAAAAATAATCGATGAGTTCTCAATTTCATGGATAGGAATCGCTTAATATTTGATTAATAGTCATTTATGTTAATAGAATTATATTTAGATTGTTGTGAGTATCTGATTTTAAGTGAATAATGGGACAATGGAAAAATTATAATTGTAATAATCCAGAAATACAAATAGTGGAATTCATTTGAGATGAATGAGGAGCAGCAATTCAAAGGGAGCATTTGATGTCAGATACAGAAGAAGGAGGAGTTGTAAATTAGTTGGGGATGGCGTAGAAATGAGAAAACAAATGAGGGTTTCGTTAATAATATTGAGAAATCAAATAGAATTTAGAGCTTTATTTGTCGAGTTAAAATCACAAACCACACTTACATAAATTTTAAATGTATGGCGCAAGAAAATCAATTAGGTAATTCAAATAGAATATTTCAATTTTTAGTCGAATTCCAGGATTCCTCATCATTTTTCAATCATTATTATATATGTTTAAAATAATGCTTTGCTATATTATTCTCTTAGGATTAGAATTAGTGCTTGGATAATATTTATAGACGCCCACATTCTTCAATTTCAACCAACACATTTCAACATTTATAACCTCAAAAAATGAATCAGATCTGTAAAGTACTCACAATTGCCTGATTGTTCCATGCACTGTGGTTTCAAGACAATAAAATTGTATGGTGATAACTAAACTCACCTTTGGAGGAGATTGTTACACCAAACCAATCCAATCTAGTCTAAACTTCACTTCGGTAGAGGATGTAGTCACTTTGGAATTCGCTTATTTGGCTGTCCATCATCCTTAATCTGAAAAACCTTATACAGGAATCGTGGTAGGTTGGACCAATGATGTCGATGAATTTTATTGGGTTGGTGCTGAAGACATAACCTTGATAACCTCTGGTGTAAATTAAACAAACGAATATGCTTAATTTGTTACAATAAATAGTCTCGCTGAGAACACCTGGACGAAAGTACACTATCAATCACATATTATAGGTCAGAACTCACATAAAACCCAATTCAACAAAACCATTCAGAGTAGTCTTCGAGGCCTACTCTGATGCAACTGATTATGCAGGTCAGTTTTTGATTACCAACATTTCCATATTTGACAGAGGAATTTGTTCTCCTGGATGCAATAGTTGCTTGTCCTATTTTGAATGTACATCATGCGAAGTTGGAAGACTCTACCGAGGTGCCTGCATATCTGATTTCTGCTACTACGATGCAGGCAGCATTACAGCTAATAAAATCTCAGTAGGGTGGATATCAGAATCTAATTCTTTATATGGTATAGTTTTGAAGAACATTAAAATAAAGGAATGCCACATGGTGAAGTTCGTTATGAACAAAGCCAATGATGATTACATAGATGCATCAAATCCGTAATTGGCTCTATATCAGTATGGATTCAAAATTGTGGAAAATACCCTAACCACTGCTGGCTGTCAATATTCACTAAAATTGCCCCTCTCTTAATAAGCAGGATATTCATGTCTGTTTGAATTCTATTTGCTCTTGAACAACACATCAGTCGACTTAGTCAATTTAACATGGACATAGGAATTTTATTATCCCAATGATAGTTCTATTTTAGTTGCAAAAGATATTACCGCAGATTAAGTATCATTTGGAGTCTTGACATCTTAAATCAATCTTGGGGAAGCCTCTACAAAAGTGGAGGGCAAGGTTCTGTTATGTTAGAGTTCCAGTTGTAGGTCATTCTATGACGAACCTTAAGTATTGTATTTAAATGATCCCTTCTATATCTTGGTGATGCTTGACAACAAATACATCGATTTCGGAGCAGATTTCAAATTTGAGTTAGTGAGTGCTATGGCTCTAGGGAATGGAACATCAATCAATTTGAAATCTTAAAGTGAAAGTGAAAAAAATCAGACTGCTACTATTTATAAATTCATTGTGCCATATGCAGTGTAGAATTGTACAATTTCAATCACAGCCTAATTGGTTGAAAGAGATCTAGACGACAACTATCCAGCTGATTCCAGGAGAAGATTATTATTAAGAAGAATATTACAGACAACGAATTAGACAACTTCAAATGCTAATTCAGGATACTTGGTATCAGGCACGATTAAAGTTGAAAGTATTGAGATATTGCCTTATTGGAAGGTCTATCCAAAGGATGCTCCTTATATTATAATAGGAGTTTCTGGCGGTCTAGTTGTGATGGCAATAATCCTTTATTGTGCTTGTCTGACGTTCAGTTAGAAGGTACAATATAATGGACCAAAAGCATAAGGAATCACTAATTTGACTTTGATTAGGGAACCTGATGAATAATAAAGGATCAAAGAAATGTTTAACAATTATAAACCAATCAGTTGATAAATATTAGACAATTACAATTATTATATAAAATTTTGTGGTGTGGTTGATTATAACGAATTTATTAAATTTGTTATCTCTCTTCAATTATTTTCTTAGTACACGAAATAGTCAATATTTTGAGAGATAATAGTTCTTTTACCTCTAAAAACTCATGGGTCGATTTAATATGGCTTTTAGATGTTCATCATTGTAATTTTGCAGATCTTCGTTTTTATGAGCCGGATTCTAAATCTATTAGTCTCTCTTTTGAAGAAACATCGAATTTTAATATTGAGAGGAGGGGGAAAATGATTTTTAATTCTGTGTATTCATTCTTGTGGATTCTATGAAATTGGAAAGTACGTTATTTCGATTGTTAGTATTTTTATTAAAAATTAACTCAAATTTTTTGATACTTGTATCACTATTATTAAAGTTTGTTTATTTTCTTCTATATAGCTAAATTAATCTGGTAAGCAACAACTACACAGTTTTTGATTTCTAACAGTGAGCTAGTATGATGGATAATTCATCAACTAAGTCATCCAATAATTTCTTATTGTTATCAACTTCTTTGGCTTTCATGCTTATCTCTGCAATCCTAATTATGTACTTGTACTTATCCGAACCCTACTACGTGGTTTTTATTAGTCTCTATGCATAATTAGCAATGAATTGAATTTCTTTGTTAATTTGGTGGTAGTCAAAATTGGGTGGGTATTAATATACTTTATTCTATATATGATAGTCAATCGAAGGAATATGCTTATGGAATTTGCTTGAAGCAGAAAACTAAATTGTATCTAATTGATTAGCCATTTTTAATATTAAAAATATTCATTATCTTTGTTTGATGAATTTCTTCAATAATGGAACTGCAACTTTGGCTTCGTTCAGTTGGATATGTCCTGGAATCTTTGATGCCAATTGCAATAAAGTTGGTGGAGCATAATCTTAAGATAACATTTTAAATCAAACCTTCATTGTAAGTCATGCAGAAGCAAACAGTCTTGGTGCTTGGTCCAGCAACTGGTACATGGCCTTAAGCAAATTCACCCAAATAGTGTGATAATTCACATAAAATGTCAGCAGCATTGTCTTTATTGACTTCAATGGTGGGTGGACATCTGAGAAATAAGATGATAAATAAATCTACTTTGGTTAAGGAACTGGAGCAGGTGGTTATGGTTCAACAGGTGGTTCAACGGGTGGTTCAACGGGTGGTTCAACAGGTGGTTCAACAGGTGGTTCAACAGGTGGTTCATCAGTTTCTTCTGACTCTGATGTTTCCTCTGGAACTTCGGGAACTTCTGGCTCTTCCTCATGAGCTGGATCAGGTACAGGTTCATCAGGAATTTCTGGTTCTTCCTCATGATCTACTGGAGTTTCTTCTTCTGGTTCAACGGGTGGTTCGACAGGGGGTTCAACTGGAGTTTCTTCTTCACTTTCAGATGGAATTGGGAGTGGTTTATCTTCAGGTTCAGGTTCATAAGGGACATCATCTTCAGGTTCAGATGGGATAGATGGGAGAGGTGGTTCAGCCCATTCTTCTTCACTTGCAGGTTCAGATGGTGTTTCAGGAACGGGGGCTGGAGGAGGAGGGACTGGATCGGTTGGTTTAGGTGTGTATCCCCAATGTTCATCGTATTTCAATTCTCTGTATGAACCATCGCAAAGGTTGTAATGGAGATTGAAGATTTTACCACTGTATGATTTATAGAATTGATCTTGTCCGACATACAAGTATTTGTGAGGAGCATCAAAGTGCTTGACATTTTCAAAGTGGACTTCTCCCTTTCTAGTGAAGAATTCAACATAACCATAAGCTTTAGAGATGTGTCTGCTGAATCCGAAGTAAATGTAATGCCAATGAACTAAATCCTTTTCATATGGGATGGCTTACCAATAAGTTGGGTTACCATTTCCGTATAAGTCTGAGTAAGTATATGTGGTGAAAGCCAAGACTGAATCCTTCTTTTCACTTCCTACGAATAATGCCAAATCTCTATCTCCCAATTGCTTTGCATTTTGATTGGATGCAAGATTATTCAATGTCAATCTGAATGCTGAATACCAGGATTCTGGATTTTGAACTGGGTACCATTTGAACCAACCAGAAACTGAGTATTCTTGAGCATAAATTGGATCAGCATTCTCAACGACAGATGATGCATCAAATTAGGAATCAGCACCATGGAATTCGAAATCATGAAGATTTGAGATCTACCTTTCGCATTTCTCTTCAGGTAAGTGATTACAAGCAAATACGAAATCATTAGCTTCTGTTTCTGTTCCAATGAATACACTTTGACCAACATTAGCTTAAACCAATCTGAATTGACCTTAGAATGATGGAACATCCCCTTGTTGACCTGCCAATTAGAAATACAATTGAGATGGTTTTTCATGGCTAACATTAATTTCGTTCAATGTTGTCTTTCCATCTTCATTTACAACTGCGACTGCTTTTTCATTGCAATATGAGTAATAAACATAAACCCATTTACCTTCGATGTCACCAACTTAAACTACTGTTGTCGATAATCCTTAACTGTCATAGGATTGGAATTCCAAACCTTCTTTAGTCAAATATACGCTCAAGGCATTATCAGTAACTTCACCAGTTGTGTGTTCAGATTCAGAGACTCTTGCAACGAAATATCTTTCAGACTATCTTCCATGAACCAAGAATGTTGGATAAGCTTAAAGCCATCTAGCGTAAAATCCAAATCCATAACAACTTAAATCGTCACCTTCCAATTATTTATTGACTAATGGAGTAGCTTCATCAACAGAAGATGTATAAACAATCTCGTTTACTGAATTCAAACAAGCCTTTTCAACAGCGCTGGGTGGTTCAATGGGAGGAGCAACAATAGGTGGTTCTTCAAATTCTTCGAATTCCTCTTCGATTTCTTCAACCCATTCTTCTGTTGATTCTTCAGGGGATTCTTCGTGATTTGGATTGACGGGTGGTTCATCAGGAATCTCTCCTTCTTCTTCAGGACTCTCTTCAGGATTTGGTTCAACAGGTGGTTCAATAGGAGGTTCACCTTCTTCATGTTTTTCTTCTGGACCCTTCTCATCAGGGATTTCTGGTTTCTCTTCTTCTCCTGGTGGAGCAGGTGGTTATGGTTCATCTTCAGGTGGGACATCCTTCTCTTCTGGACCCTTCTCATCAGGAATCTCTGGTTTTTCTTCCTCTCCTGGTGGGGCAGGTGGTTGAGGTTCATCTTCAGGAGGAACATCCTTCTCTTCAGGGCCTTTCTCATCAGGGATTTCTGGTTTCTCATCTTCTCCAGGTGGTGTGGGTGGTTATGGTTCATCTTCAGGTGGAACATCCTTTTCTTCAGGACCTTTTTCATCTGGAATTTCTGGCTTTTCTTCTTCTCCAGGTGGAGTAGGTGGTTGTGGTTCAACTTCAGGGGGAACATCCTTTTCTTCGGGTCCTTTCTCTTCTGGAACTTCAGGAACTTCAGGAACTTCTGGGACAGGTTCCTCAGGTACTCCTGGTTCATCTTCACATGGTGCAGGTTATCCACAGCCTTATTGGACGACTTATAAATCCTTGATCTTTCCCTTGATTTTAATGACTGTCACAGGATTAGATTGGCATTGTTATCTGCAACTGTTAAATTATTTGAGAAGATAGATGCATAATTTTAGTAAGGTTGCTTCACATTCATCAGCAGTTTCTGGATTGCTTAGTCCTTTAAGTTTTTGTCTGAACTCTGCCAAAATAGGCTCTCCGATTTTGCTTTCTGTCTTTGGCAATTCCAATTTATTCAGCTATTTCTCTAATGATTTGAACTTTCTCTTTTGAATGAGCTCTTTGATGGCTTCTAATCTATCGATATCTCTATGCAAGGAATCCTTATGTTGAACAATATCAGCCCAAGCTGCCATTTAAGCTGAGACTCTCTCAAACTCATTCTGGGGTGTCGAACAACTCATCGATGTGGTGTCCAGAAGGGCCACATCAGATAAATCCATAGATAATAAGGATGTACCCAAATCCAATTCAGCAGATAGGGCTAGAATGTTATACAAAATTACCACTTCCCAACACTAGTATACATATGACTAATGCCGAACTTCTCATTTTTAATAAAATATTATAAAAACGGATTTCATTGTATTTAATTCACATATCACCTCAAATTCATAAATATTTCTATATATTTCTAAACTAATTTTAAGAATTATAGGACAGAAGACTCAAATCTTTCAAAATATTTAAATGAATCAAAATTAATCATCATTCTACTAGGGTATATTTAATTCTGCTTTCATCTTGGCCACACTTTCTTGAAGTTTCTTCAATTTATCATCCTATTTTTAAAGTTTTCCCTATTTCTCGTTTTCCAATGACGCAATCTATTAATTAACAATGTGAATTTTGTGTTTATTTTCCAACCATTTCTAATAGTTCTCCTAATGTTACACAGTCCTTCTTGCGAACAATTTTTCAAATGTCTCCTATATATCCTTCTGGATTGCTTTTAATTTGGTGTCAAACCCTTTTTTATCCTACAAAATGTATGATTCAAAGTCAATACCTCCAACACCAATAATTCTTATTCTTTTTCTCTGATTTAATCGAAAACATCAGAGTCATAAAACACTTTTTTAAACTCCGGCAAGGGTTGAGTTTTGAATTGATTCAGTTGTAATAAGAGATTATTCAAGTCCACAGCTTGCTCTATAAATTATTGCTCTATTTGGAGTTTCTCTTAGCTAGCTTCTTAAAGTTTATTCATTTCTTTTTGTAATTCCTAAATGATTAATTGTGTATGATATTACCTCCTGCTTTTTCCTTCTCTATTCTTCAAGTCGCTTCTATTTCAATTCTTCCACTTTCTTAGCTTTCTCATATTCTTGGACTTTAATTTAGTTTATTTGAGCCTCCATCTAAATTATTACTTTAGTAAAATCAATCTAGTGATAATAAATCAATGCTTACTATTGCCAGGATGTCACTTGTATTTGAGACCTAAATCGTATCGCCCTCTTCATCTTAATATGACAAATCAATATTTCTTAGAAAGGGATACTTTTTTTCGATCTCTTGTAACAAATCATCGTATGATTGTACACCATAATAGGTGGTTAATTCATTTTAGTATCTGACTTGGATGTCCATGTAAATGTTTAAATTATTGGTTGTTCTAAAAGAATATTTTTTAATTTAAATACTAATCTGGGATGTTATAGAATAAAGTCAACAAATAAATTTAAATAGTAACATACATGAATTAATCAATCTAAGCAATTGAAATAACCAGAATTCAATAGGATCTATTCATTGGTTTGAACTGGTTACGGATTTCTGGCAATTCCTGAATGCACTCGTACTTAAAGATCTGAAAAGGCTATCCATCTTTATGCCTAAATTTTGAATATGTCCATATAATCTTCATTCAAATCCTTGTTTAGGATTATCATACAAATCTATTTTAATTCCTAGCACAATTGAATTAGTTCTAAAACCATAACGGTAAAGCCTTAAGTATAATTGAATTTTCAATACCCTTCTCCCTATAAATCTCCTTTTGAATGTTGAACAAATATCTATCCATAATACTTTTGTATCCTAAACATTTCAAGTAAATTGATAAGTATGTAAAATACACCCCTAACCTATCTTGGCCAAAATTCCCAATAGATACTAACAATTTGAACATAGTGCTGCATAAGTTTTGTCTGTTGATCAACTCTTACTCCTAATTCAGTTACTGCATCTTTTCAAAGTGAATTAAATTGGCCATAATGATAAAGTATGTACTAAATCTAATGAAAAATTGAGAACTAAATTCTTCGACGTCAAAGTTTTTCTTCGAGGAAAGTTTAGGCAATAACTGTTATGAATCATTTTTTATATGTTTTAGGAAAGCGTATGATGTTTTCATCTTTTGCAAAACCACGTCTACATCTTTGGGATTAGGACATTTGTTCTCAACAATTGATTATCTAATATTTTTGATTTGCTGCAAGCCATCAAATAACTAGCCACAACAGTATGTGTAGATTAGCATTACATAATCTATTTCAAAGGCTTCTTGCCCATCTTGAGATATGGAATTGAAGATTTACCTTAGGGTGATTTCAATTAACAGTTGCTTACAATTGGTTCATAGGTGAACGAGGGATGGAATAGGGACTATTTGTTTAGGATGGGTTTCTAAATATTTTTGTGGATTAGTACTAAATTGTTAAGGAATAATTGTAGATATTGTGGAATGACTTAAAAATCTCCCAAGATGATTTTGTTTCTCAATTCATCGGCATCTTGTAGGACTTGGAGTTCTATTGGATACAATGCTAAGTTGATGGATTTGAGTTCAAAGAAACTTCTTTTTGTTGTAGTGGTTGTTTTAAAAAAGCAATACATTTTTATTTAATTAACTATACTGTTCTAAGTATATGAGTATATAAATCATTAAGGGGAATCAAATTTTAAGGGTTCCTTGACCGAACTTTTAACGATGTCTTCAAAAATCAGTTATCTTAGTTTCTGGATGCTTTTGTACTTCATTCTGTTTAAGGACTTTAATGGGCTGATTTATTAATTGATGGTGGGTATTGGTATGATTAATTTTTGTTGTTGATTGGATTTGATGTTGTAATTATTATTCATTTTGAAGATGTACCTGCTGGATGTGGAGGAGGAACTGATGGGAGTGAGTTTATTGATTTCTTCGGACACAGCGATGTCATTAGAGAAATTAGGGGATTGAGTGGCTATTTGAAGGTTGCTGCGATTGTTTTGAAATTTGGGTTTGATGAGTTTGAATTCCTTTGATTCTAGTTGGCTGTTGAAGTCTGCTTCTTCTGGATTCAGAAAGTAGGATTGGGCTATTGGGATTTGAGTGGAGATGTGGCATTTGTTTTCTTTGAATGACTCAATTTCATGGATCATGGCTTTGAGATCTAGTTTCCTGTATTGTTCATCGATGTGGATTTGGATTCTCTTGTTTTTGGATTAATAAAACTTGAGTTCAAATTGTTTGAGTTTCTCTTCGATTTGTTTTTTGGAGCAGTTTTGAGAGTGGTAATAGGATTCAAATTAGAAGAGAAGGATGTTCTCCAATTCCTTGTTCATACTCTCAATTTACTCAAAATTTGAATAGCAAAATCTATTTTATAATAATATATAAAATTATACTGCTTAGCCATTTAAATACATTAGAGAGCTTTTCTGAAATTGGTCTCTTTGAGCTTATTGAAAAAGTAATGATAGAATTAGGGTTCTTTAATGCCTATGTTATGATTGATCATATGTTCGAAAGTGATTCCATACTCACGAGACAATTCCGCCTATTTGAGATGAGAACCAAAATACATATTCAATGAAGAGGTCCACTATTTCTTGATGCTCCTTCAATTCCATATACGGATTAAATAGGAAGACCCTCAACTTTTCCTTGTAAGTATCCTAAGAACAAATTTTTCTTAGATCTTCGAAATAACTAAACTATTTGAGGATGGTTACCTGAAATCAAAAAATGCCTCCATTTGATGTTAATTTTAAATACAATATAAAGTGATAATGATTAATTAATTTACAAATCCCAGTTTTCCTAATTTTTACGTAATATTTCTTCATTAGACTAAAACGGACTCACAACTCAATCATTTGATGAACAATAAGAGATTTCCATAACCCCAAGTCTCAAAGGTCAATTGTCTGTGTAAATCTGAATGGCTGGAGTGTAATTGAGTTATCTCAATAGAATCAAAAGGATCAAATTTTGGAATATATCAATTGCCTTTTTTTAATTAGTAATACAGACATTGGTGAAATAAACAAGAATTCCCAATAAATACTTGGTTTCATCTGACATTCTCACTGCAATAACAACATAGATGATATCCAGTTTGCACTAATTTTTTTATTTCTCATTCGTAACTATAGAGTGTTGTTATTCAGAAGATGCTTAATCATTTGAAATAATTGAAGACTGCCAAAGTTATGTTATTTAGGATACTATAAATTTTAACTTGATTTACAGGTAAAACTATGTGAGTGGGAGTATTTGAGTATTAATATATATTAAATATTTTGCATATTCTAGAATGTGAGTAAGCCCATGGTAATACTAATCCTAATAATAATCAATAAAAAGAATCTGAACAACAAATAGCAGCCTTAGTTTTCTGGGGGTCTAGATAATTTTTAGCCAGTTCCTAATCTATTTCATCGACTCTGGACCAGAAATCTTTGGTTAATCGTAGCCAACCATTTTGACGAGCATGCATATATATTCCAGATGTGAGTTCGGAGAGAGAACATAAGTGCCAACCTTATTTGCAACTACTCAAACTCTGATGATAATTGCATCCATCGCAGCCCAAATAGAAGAGTCTGTTGTTGACTTACCCAGGGAAATTGACTAATTTGCTTATTTCCAATTCTATGTATATGTAAAATATATACATAAGAATGGTATGTTGTAGAAGGTTAGGTCGTCTAAATATAACAGAGGACCGTTGAACCAGGGATCTCCTCCCACATAGAAGGGCCCATCATTCTTTAAGGGTCTGGCTTTCAGAGACAATACATTATCATGAATGCCGTTTATGTATAAATCAATGCTTAACCCTTGCAAAACGATTGCCAAATGGTTCCATTTCCTGCCAGTGACACTCCCCTTACTGCGAAGGTTCTCCTTGTCATAGGATGTACTAACTATCACTTCGATTTGTCCTCCTCCAACATTGGCCTCATCATGAAATGGCCACAACAAAATAGTCGGAGTGTATTCAGTAGATTTCGAGGCCTTACGCAAAATGGTCGTAAATGACTGCTGGGAGGACAAGGGATATACCCACATGGAAATGGTGACTATCTCGTGATATTGTTCATGATGAGGGATGGTGGAATATTGCTCTCCACTATAATATGCTGAATTGCCAACGGCTCCTCTGCCAGGACCAAGTTCGCATGGTTGAGACATGTGATTTAGCAATTGACTGTCATCCATTTGATTTTTGTCGAATCTCCATAGACCTATGATTGAATCCAAGGGAGCGAAGGTCATGTCTGCGATTTGGTTATTCACGCATAAATGACCCTCTAATTTATAACAAAGTTCTGGTTCTTGAGAATGAATTCCTAAAACAAGAATGAAAATTAAATTTAACATATTATAAAATTTGAATTTCATGAATAGGTCTCAATCCCCTATTAACGACAGTCGCAGTAGTCATAGCGCATCTAAAAGATATGTTTCACCAAATGAAAGACAGAACACCCAGGAGAATGAACAAGTAACCACATTTTAATTACAATTCAGAATCATCGAAAATTGCCACCCACTCATCAGGTCAAATCTAAAATCATCTCTGCTGATCAATCTGATCTAGGCAGCATTTTGGGTGAAGTCAACATCAACAATACCAGCAAAATGTCCAACATGACCTAATTTGCTAATTTCATGTATGTGCCATGTCCAACTCATCCAGAATTTTTCATAACCAATCTATGTCAGGATCAAGTATGTGTTATTTCATTATCATCTCCAGAATTGCATTGAGCCTCTTTGTCCAGAATGCATCAATGAGCATCTTGAAATGCACTAATCGAAAGGCAGAGTGCCTAAATTGGAAAACATCCAAAGAGTCCGAAAAGATAACACTTATAAGATAGATGAACTCTCCAAATCATTGTAATTTAAATTGCAAGACTCCAAGAAGTACTTCTCAGAACAACCAACGATTCTGTATAATAATAATCTTGAGCAATTGAGACAAATACATGAATAGATCTCAAACATTATCGATGATTATTTTGAAACATTGTACAAAGATTTAAAGGAATAAAATTAAGATGAATACATGAAATAATTAAATCAAATAGAACAAGATATTGTGCAATAGCAACATAAACTTACTAAATTATAAGAAGATTTACACAATGATAATTATGTCAGGGCTGTAATTCAAATATGTGATGGAAAACAAGAACTATTCTCTGATAAGAGTCTTGTCTCTTTAGAGAAATTAATTCAAAATTATCAGTAATCTTAAATTAAAATTATATTTGATAAAAATAATATTGAACTGTTTTAAACCTACTGTAAAAAAATGTGTTATTTTGTCAAAAATACATAACAACCCAATACTTCAAGCAACCCCAATAAAAGTCTCAAATTTGAAGAGAAATCAAATCAATCAACAATGAAAATAACTCAGATCTCTGAAATACCACCTCCACTTGTCAATCCAATCACATTGATTTCAGAAAGTCTCTCAAATGAGGAAGCCAAATATCAGATTAACCATCTAAATCACTTTGAAGATGGCAAACCCCAAGTGCTAGTTAGATTAGAAGAAGGTGGTTATGCAGCATATATATATGACATCTAATCCCAACAATATCGAATTGAAACAATCAACAGCACAATCAAGGTTCCCTTGTATCATAGGTTATATACCACTACTACTGGTAAGCATTTGGTGATTGGGGGAGTGGATAGAGACAAGTCAAGATTCAAAGCATTCGCATCTGTTTATGAATTTAATCACACTAATTTGTAACTGACTCAGCATTCAGAAATGGTGTTGCCAAGATCAATGACATCAGTTTGTTAGGTGGGCAATTTCCTATTTGTGGTTGGTGGATCCTCGACCAATGATGAGAATACATCGATGGCCAAAGCAGAGAAATTGGACTTAAATACTAAGAGATGGCAAACAATTGAGGATCCATACTTTAAATGTAGTGGTTGTGCGTTGGTTGCAATAGATCACAATACTTTGTTCAAGATAGGAGGCAAGTGCGATATCTTTACTCCTTGCAATTCGATCGAATCCTATGACATTCAGAAGAACTCTTGGGTATGATGTGTTAATGATTGATTACTTAGACGAAGATAGAGTTCAAGTTCCTGTCCAATGGATATTTGAGGTTGCCATTTAATAGTTGTGCCATAAAGACTTCATATGATCAGATTCTGATTCTGGGTGGGTCAGTGCACGACGTCAAGAGCAATGAAACTTAGGTATGGGATTTGCATTAATAATGAGATTTTCAATTTGAAGACGAAGACTCTTTAGAAGTCGAAGGAATTACCGAATTCGATTGAGTTCAACACTCAAAGTGCCATTGTACAATCCAATAATGTTTATTTACTAACAGAGAATGAACAACCTTTGTTATTTGGTAATTAAAATGGATTTAAATATTAATGATATAAAATTATGTATAATTTTGATTTGCATCTTTATGTAAATAATGAATAAGCACCTCAATCGAGGAGAGCATTTTAGGCAAATAAGAAAGTGAAGAGCATTTCAATTCAAAGAAATTTAAATTAAATCAGTTCTGACATTAGATGCATAACTGATGAATCTCCATCTAATTTACATCCAATGCCCGTTTTGGGTGGGAGTGTGACTGAGCGCCAAATCAATTCTCTGCGATATCGTCCTTCTGTGGTGCACAGACAGATGTACTCAGACCATTAATTAGAATAAGGGTAGTAAAGAAAGATGGTAAGACAAAAGCTACCATCAATTATTTAAGGTTATTCTGTGCATGAACTGTCTCAGAATAGAATGTCAGTAGAACCTAGAATGAGTCCTCCCAAGTATGCGGAAAATAAAAAAAGTATAACCGAAGTTGAATCCAAACAAAGCTAGAATATAAATGATCTATTGAGTATCAAAAAGCTGAATGACTTATTGGGTCATAGGAAAATACGTCCTGAACAAGTGAGATAGGATTTTCCTTCGGTTCCAGAAATTCAGGACTTCTCCAAACAAATGCTAAAAATTTATAAGAAAAACAACATCAATCCTTTGAAATTGAGATCGCCTCTGCCCATGCAGACACAAAATAGGAACAGTCAATAAATTGACTTATTAATTAATTTACTGAAAAAAAGAAATTAATGATTCAGACCTTCAGTTTATGGTGATAACAATTATTGGTTTTTTAATAATTATATTTATTCGCTCTTTTACTTCATTCCAAATAGTGCAATATATATATGCTATAATTAAAATAGTAATGAATGCTCCACTCCCAGAGAAAATGATGCAGAAATTCGTATATCCCTTATATATTAAACACTCTAGAATCAGTAGATGGATGTGTATTTGAAACACGAGGAGTTGCAAGCAAAGCAGAGAAAAATCAATGAGTAGAAATTGCAGAACATTTTCGATCGCAATCTCTAAATAGAAGCCAAGGATCGAAAAATGAAGGAATAAGTACTCTTCCTACTGTAAATCAGATCCTCTCCTCACGATACTAGAATGAGTAACTGAAGATTTCGTAGGAGAAAATGAAATAACTGCAAGAACTAGAGAAGCAGAAAAAGGAGAGGAAGGCAGCCTAATCTGAACTATGGCAAATGGATTAGAAACAACACGAGAAGGAAATCAAACAAAGGATACTCGAAATATAGACCAAGCTCAAATTTGAGGAGTTTAAAAAGAAGACCGATGACTTGATGAATCAACTGGATTATAATCTAAGAAGAGTCAACGTTCTTTACATTGAGAAATAGGAACAGAAGTAGAAATATCTGAATGATTATATGAGCTAAAAATAGTTGACTTTAAATTCATCAATGCACATCAATGAGTCTCATAATCAAAATGTCTATTCCAACTACTAAATGCAGATGAAGAGGATTCAAGAAGTAATACATGATATATTTAGATTTGTGAACAAAAGTTGAAGGATTACGAAATCAAGCTTAATAGGATTTATAAGCAGAAATATGAAAAGATGGATTAGATCTACCAGAAGGCTCAACAATCTTAGGAACATTTGGAATAGATCAAGGAAAGGCAGAATCAGATATTTTAGAAGAGAATAAAGAAGATAAAAGAGAAGATAGATTATTTTTAAGATAAGATAAATATAATTGAGAAGAAGAGACTATCAAATTTATAACTCACTTATAATAAGGAACACCAGCATCATCAACAAATGAATTAAATTAGAGCGAGATCTGAGAATTTATTTAGGAATAGGTCACTAAACTTGTTGAATAAACAGGTTTTGAAAGAATAAACTTTTTAATTGGTGCAAAGTCAGAACTAATTGGATCTGGAGTAGAAACTCTCGAGATTGAATTAGAAATGGCTTATACAGCAATCGTAAGTGGTTAGGGCTGATAAACTTAAATTGTCCTATCTTCAACAATTGGAACTAAAAATAAGTCAGAGAGATTAAAGATTGTAGGATTAGATGTATGATTTTGAAGTGATTTAGCTAAAACAAATTAGAAATTTAAAGGAGAAGGTTGAAAGTTATTGAAGACATGGAAAAGTAGAAAAGGGATATGTTGTTGAAATTAGAATCTGATAAAGTACATCCATTAAACACTTCTGAGTTGAAGTATTTCAATAGTACTCCTAAGGAATAATCTAAATTATTTATAACCTGATTAAAATGAATTGAGCATTAATTATATTTATATAATGTATTTGACAGCAGATTCAGCTTTATAGTTACTGTAAGAGAAAAGGAATAAATTCCAAGTAGAAATTCGCCGGAAACGAACTGAAAACACATTCTAATAGAAACGCGCAATTTTTGTGCAAAATAAGGTTTGGGTGTTGTGAGTGATTTCAAGGACCTTGAATTGCTAGCATAGTATGCACTGGAGTATTACAATCGGGGAGACCTGTAGGAATCTGAGAATTACTTGATAAGATTAAATGAATATGCTGACTCATAATATAGCGCCAATCTTAAATCCATTAACACCATCACTTTTCTAGGTGAAATTGCAACGAATTGCGATCCTCACTTATTAGGTCTAGTTCTCAGCATCTACTAAAAGATCTATCTACCAGAATGTTTAAATCCATATTTACTATCTCAAATTTAGAGATTTGAAAATAGCGAGCTCGTTAAGTAATTTGTTGTGCTCTTACACAAAATTGTAAAAAACAACCCAATAAATCACTTGGTAGAATAATGTGACTTCGTCTCTTATTTGGTAGAAATCTCACTTCTATTAGATAATTTCGAAGAATGGTTCAAAATAGTTGAAGTGCTCGGAACATACATAAATTAACCATCCTATTACGTACTATCAATCTAATTGCTTAGTTTAAGAAGTTGGTGGTGACATGCATTAAATTCATAGAACAAGACACAGATCTGGCCACATTTCAGATCATGTTAACAATGATATCCTGTGAAAAAGACAACAAGAATTCTATCAATTACCTACTCGCGAATGCAGGATTCGTCGATCTGATCATGGATCGATTGGAGAGGAACATGATGCTCTCCATTTCCATCATTACCAAAATAGTGGAAGAGTCAGATGAGGGAACAATCCTATTCATTCAACATGGACTATTGAAGACTCTCAGCAACTTATACTTCGAGATGAGAGAGAATCAAACAGCCTTCATATACATAACAGCCAATATTTGTTTCCTTAAAAATGATTATGTCATAACTGAAGTAGTTACATCAGAAATCTTCAATACCATTCTAGCATTGGATGAGTAGGAACTGGACAAAAATGATTTCATTTATATTAGTCAAATGCTAAAACAATTAATTAGAAAATACTCCAACGAGTAACTGTATCATTACTTACTAACCAAAACCGACTACGTGTATATGTTAGGTCACATGATGAAACAATTCGAGTTGCCAGAAGTGATACATAATACGATCTCTTGTGTATTGCATATGGCTAATTCGCAATCTGATGAGTTGACTAAATTGTTTAGATATGTAATATATTTATTAATAAAACAAATAGAAAATAAGTGGCAAACCAATTGAATCAGTGCTCACCAACATTCAATACTTATTTTAGGATATTAATATCATAGAAAAGGTTTATGATTTTTTGAATATTAAATATGATTGACTTATTATTTTTATTATTATTATTAGAATAAAATTATTTATAAATTATCACATTATTCTGCAACAATTGTCTTCTTCTCGATCTTACTTCTCTTTACTGGATTTCTTCTTTTTCTTACTACTACTTGAAGTTTCAGGTTCACTATTCACATTAATGGTATTATTATCATTAAAATAAGGATTGTACTATTATATAGTCGGCTTATCATCAGCCAAGATATATTGTTGATAATTTTGGATTTCTGCTTTTTGAATTTGAGATTTCTACTATTGTTATTTTTCCTGATCCTTTTGTTTCTTTGATTCGATGTTCAAATGTAACTTTTCGATCTCCAACATAACCTTTTGGCACTCAATGTCATTGTATTGAATCTCTTGCTCGATTGAATGTAATTGATGCTTTTTCTTTTGAGAATCCGCTTTTTTTTCATTGAGTCGTTCATTCAGTTATTGCATTTCTTTTTTTATAGATTGAATGGTTGATTTCAACTTTAGATTTTCATCTTGGAAAACCTTGATTTCATTATCTAATTTTTAAGTCTTAAAGATAAGTTCATTCTGTATTTATTTGTATTCTCCCTAATTTTTAACACCCTGCTATTAGATCTCTGAAATCTGATTCTGCAAGTTCCTGATATCCTACAGCAACTCTTTGGATTAGGAATCCAATAACAGAGCTTATTGGGCCAATTAATCTCTCTTCTGGAGGTAGGCAGTTTCAACACTGAGTCGAATGTATTTGTCCTCACAAATTTCACATAATCGCCTAAATTTTGTACTATTATTTGGATCCCTTCTTTTCTTTTTACTGTGTTCCTTGCATACCACATTCCCACAGAATTTACATTGCTTCATCTTGTGGATGAGTGTGCCACTCTTATGACAGATGCAACACTCATTTTTACCTGATTTGAGTTCCTTTAATTTCTCGCTGCTGAGAGTGGATTTAAAGATTGCTACATCAATATACCGAATAGTTACAATCATTTTGGTTGACAAGATCCAGTTCATTGGATTTCCGAAGAAACTGGTTCTTTTCTCTATCCTTCTCCATCTGATCGATCGAAAAATTTGATGGAGCTTCAACTTCCTCAATAGATTCCAACTAATTCGTCTATTTGTTGTTTTGAATGGAGTTATTGTATTTCTGGAAACTGTCCTGATATTAACCATAATCGACTTGCGTATTGGCTCTTTCTCGACTATCTCTCATATAATAATAGTATATTTATATAATAATTTAGATTCTTTCTACAAAACATGTTTGATTAATGCATTATTTATTCTTGTGGAATGAAATGACTAAAATAAATGATTATTGTGTGACAATACCAATTATCATTATTATGTCCACACAAATTAATCTATTTATTCACATCGTATGTAATTGGGATCACTTTGTATGAAATATGAAACCATTGGCGATTCCACCCTCACTTCTATGATGTATAAATTACTAATAATAAAATAAATATAAAAATGCAGGATTTTAAAGATATGAAAGTTATTGCTTGTGGGCAATATTCACAAGTAAACTATAACAATAAATGAAAGGTATTTTCTGCTAAATTAAGAAAAGAAAACAAACTATATGCAATCAAAAAGTACATCAAAAAAACTCTTTCAAGATAGCGTATTTCACCCAATGTTGCTAAGGAGATAGAAATCATGAATGTCTTGGGAGATAATCAATATACCACTCGATTGATTGATCACTTTGAAGACAAAGAAGTAATTCTATCTCATCTATACGAAGTCCATCTATCTGGTCACCGAATATTTCAACAATGGCAATATGCAATAAAAAATATTGAAGGACAAAAAGCTCTCAGAATAAGAAACCCTCTTCTACGCCAAATAAATGATAGACATTTTAGAGCATCTGCACAAAAAAAATGTGGTACATAGAAATTTCAAACTTGAAAATATACTCATCAGAAAAAGTACTTTTGTCTATCTATCATTAAGATGAAAAAAAGCAAATCACAATTAAATTATGTGACTTTGGTTTTAGTACTTACATCCAACACACAGAGGGCATTTTCAATGGGAATGATCACTTCGGACCTGAATAATTTAATCTACAAACTTAGACTGAAGCCCTAGACATTTGGAGTTTTGGTGTGGTTCTGTATCAAATGCTCACAGGCAAATTCCCATTTGAGCCAAGGCCAGAACAATTAAAAGGAAAGAAGAAGTAAGATGTATTGTAACACAATATTGTTAATGGAGTATTTTAATCTAAGAATTTGAGTGAAGGAGTGTAGGATTTATTGGTCTAGATATTCCAGGTGAATCCATCAAAAAGAATAACCATCTCTTAGGTTAAGGAGCATTGGTGGATATAGGGGATCCAAAGACCTAATGATAAAATTAATATCATTTCAATTTTAGAAGATGAACCAGAAACATATGAAGAAAAAGAATAAGAATAATAATAGCCAGTATAATGTATAGACTTGGAGGAGTAGATCACTCAAGTTAGATTATCAGTTAAGAAGAAGATCTTGGATAATGTGAAGACCACTAATGAGGCTTTGGATCTTAAAATCTTCAAGAAAATCAATAAGACCGAGGTTTGTGAAAGTGAAGTAGCTAATCTGACTTAGATGTTGAATACTGTTCAATAATAACTAGCCTAAATTAACAGTCAAAATATGGATCTAATGAGTGAATTGAAATTGAGATCTAGTGGAACTGTGCATCTAAGTGATGAGAGAGAAAGCGTCGTTTCTTATCTAAATTATGACAGTAAGTCTCGTTAAGATTTCTGTAAAATACAAATGTAATAAATCCCAAGAGTTGAAGGAGAGCAATTCTGTCTAAAGTAGACTATTCAATAATAGATGGAATAATTACAGCAAATCAAAGAGAATAAAGAATCTGTTGAGAAATATAAAGAAGAAGTTGGCAATAATAATAATTATATCAGCGAACTCATGTAGACGAGATTACTCCTGAAAAAACAAATTCAGGATTTGGAAGAAAAAAGAAGTTTTATGAAATTGGAGGAAGGCATTATAGCTATCTAATAAGAAATTGAAAAGAAACTCACTTAATTATCAACTGATTTCAAAGATAGAATTACCATATTGGAAATATTTAATAGTACTTTTACAGAGTCCAAATTAGAGGAAAACAGATAATAATCCCAATAACACAAAAGCATCCAAAAAAAGTATGACCTATCGTAATTACAAAATGAAGAGTTTCCAGAAAAAAAGTAATAGAAAATTGATCTGCTCAAGTAACAAATTTAAGAAACCAGAGATAGATAGAATTAAATCATTAATCAAATTAGTGAGAATTCCACTCTCTTAAATTAAAAAGATGAGGAAGCAATCAAGCAGAAACTGTATCTTTAACTTGCCAAAAAGGAAGAGATGAATATTAAATTAGAGCGTCTCTCATAAAAAATTGATATTCTATCTGCTGAAAATGAGAAATAAGAAAAATAATTATAATAGAAGGATCAATAGAAAATAGAAATTGAAAAATCAAATCAAAAATCCAATATAGTTTTGTGATGAATTATTATATTATTCAAACAAATTATTCACATCTAACTTTAATTTTATATTAAAAAATAAGTAAATAAATTAACTAAGAATTTATATCCTTTTACCATTAATTAAAATTAATGAGCAACTCATAAATCCAATCAGATTCCGAAGAATTCATTGAACAATAAGAAAAGGGAGATGTCAATTTTTATTCTGGATTGTTTGATCCATGTGAAGTAGTTCACCAGAAACCCCAAGAAACCTAAACCATTAAGGACAAGGTAATACAACAAACTAAACAAACCTTTAGTAAGCAATCAACCTTAAATTAAAAAATTAAATCAAAATTAAATAAAGTTGCCTTAAAAATCAGAAAGCAAAACGAGCAATTTAATGAAGAGCCAGAACAAGTAGAAGAGGATGATCCATAGGATCTCTAATAGGAATAATAATTGGACTCAAAAATATTTGCAATTGACACAGAGTTCCATCAACTAAAATTAAATAAGGCATTAGTCAAAGCTTGTCATGATTAAGGTTATACTCATCCCACCAATGTTTAAGCTAAAATAATCCCAATAATTATGAACGGTAAAGATGTCTTGGCTAGTTCATGCACTGGATCTGGCAAAACAGCAGCATTCCTATTACCTATCATGCAGCGTTTTGGCAATTTGAAAAATTTACAATACTCCAAAGCCTTGATAATATTGCCTACTAGGGAACTTGCACTTTAATGCTTTGAGATGTTTGAAAAATTAAATAAGTATGCTAATTGCACAGCAGCTCTTGTCATTGGGGCCGTTCCAATCTAATAATAGGAGGCTGAGTTGAGGAAATATCCTGACATCATAATTGCAACTCCAGGTAGAACTGTTGATTTATTAACAAATTCATCAAGTCTTGAAATTCAGAAGTATTATATCTGTTCATATATTGATAGTATTGAAATCTTAGTATTCGATGAAGCAGATAGATTAATGGAAATGGGATTCGAAAAGGAAATCAGGTAAATACTTTAAGCCACATCCAAAGATAGACAGACTGTTTTGATCAGCGCTACTCTCAATGCTACTGTTAAATAACTATCTTTGTTGGCTTTAAACAATCCAATAAAAGTTAATGTTGACTTTGTGGGTGGCTTAGCCTATGGATTAAAGTAGTATTTGTTGAGAATAAGGTCCAATTAAGACAGCGACAGAGAAGCGACGTATCTAATTTAATATTAGAGTATAGACTCATTACTTTATTGAAAACCAAGTTCAAAGAAAAAACCATCATCTTTGTTAAAACCAAACATGACTGTCATAGGCTAGCAATAGTCCTAGGATTCTTAGATATGAGCAGTTGTGAATTACATGGGAATCTATCTTAACAACAAAGAATCTAAGCCTACGAAGATTTTAAAGTATGATTTGTATTGATTTTAGGAAGGAAAATTTTAATTTTTATTAGCAACAGACTTAGCTGCAAGAGGATTGGATCTGACAGATGTCAAAGCTGTGATTAATTATGAGATTCCATATGAAGTTACCAGGTACATTCACAGAGTCGGTAGAACAGCTAGGATAGGTGCATAAGGTATATCAGTAACTATTTGCTTGGAGAATGAAGTTGTTAAATTTAAAAAAATGATACGATAATCTAAATAATAGTTATTCAAAATGATTGCAGATACCAATAAGGTTAAATAAATACGCCGTCAGATATAGCAGTTGGAACCTTAAATCAGAAAGGTAATTAAAGAGGAGGTTGCTGAAATGGAAGTCCGAAAAACTGAGATGATGACTCAGAAAGGTGAAATTCAAGTGGAAGAATCTGAAGATGCTGATAATATTTAAGAACCAAAAAAAGGAAAACTGCAAATGAAGAATAAGAAAAGAGCTAAGAAATCCAATAATTGATTTTGTTTATATTAATTTTAATACAAAAATTAATTAATTATGAAAAGACATAATTCGGATGACTAATTACAAATCGAATTAATACAAGACAATGATCAATTAACTTTAATCTCAGAAGTAGATGATGAAAACAAATCTGCTTATTTTCTTAAAAATGCAATCTATTACACACAAAAATTATTATAATTATTATTGAAAGTTGTAAAAAATAAGTAAAAGGCTTTAAATAAAGAAATTCAAAATGCATTATCTAAATAATAATAACACTTAAAATAATACTTATCGAAATTCAGACCTATCACTAATTAAATTTTGAGTAAAGAGGATTTAGTTTAGAATTATGAAAAAGTGAAGACAGAGTTCAAAGCATAATGCTGTAAAGCATTTTCCATATACTCCACGTAGGATGAATAACTAGCAATCAATTCTGTTGATTAGCAATTAGAAGAAACTGAATAAATGACTACCTGGAGCATAAATGAAAATAAAACTATTAGCAATGAGAATACAGAAAATTCAATTGATAATTCATTTAAAATATATTCAGATCTAGAATAAAATTAAATCTAAATATAATTTCCTAAAAGAATATCATAGGAATATCAAAAGGATTTAGTGAAGAAATTAGATGAAATAGCAAAGCACCACCAATATTAATGTATATAATTGAAATGAGTTTAAATTTCATTCATTCTTATTCATTTTAATTTATAAGTTCATATATTCTAAAACTATCTATAACCATTTTTAAGCATTCAATATTTTCTTTTGATTTCAATTTTTCTAACTTTAGCAAATCTTTTATGTATCTAAAATAATTCAATCTTATTTCATATAAAATAATATTTATAAAAATGATTCCTATTTTTTCATCAAAACATAATGTATTAGTTAATTTCTTCGGATAAGTTATACCAAAGACAGTTGAATCGGAGAGAAGGAGAATTAACTCCATTCCAAGCAAGAAGACACTATAAATGAACAACATCCTACATTTCTTGAAGCTTATGCTATTATAAGAGATTCCTAAAGTTGCAAAATCAACAAGAAATCAAATCAATCGACACCTGAACTTTACAACTATTTAACTAATTGCCAGGATTAAGGTAACAATTGGAAGGATATTGAGTTTCGTATAAAAATGACTGGGTAATTTTGTATTTTAATAAATTATTATAATCATTCAATATCAGCTAATAAATCTTCTTCTTCATGTTATAATTGATCTACCATTTACTAATGTTTGTTATCTTCTTTGTTCAAGAACTAATAATTAATTAAATATATATACATCTTATGCTTCCTCAGCAGTGACAGTTGATTTCTAATTCTCGATATTGCTGATCAAAGTGATACCTTATTGAACAATCTGGGCCCAAAATATCGATTGATTGTACTTGTCCTTGAGTACAAAGAGGAACTTGTTGAAAACTGGAGCTTCATCTTCTGAAATACAAGCTTTTCTCATTTCTTTTAAGCATTCCAACGCTTTGGGGAAGAAACTGCCTTTTACTGATTAATCAACTAATCCAATTATAACCTTCTGGATTTGTTGAAGAGCAGAATCAACCAAATCGACTCTCTTTTCGGTGATCATTTTCTTAAAATCTGAGATTGGATCCACAGAACCAATTTCTTAAATGATATCATCGTTGAATCCCAATTTCTATTTGGCAAACATATTGACCATCTCTTCCTCTTCTCTATTGATTTCAACCACTTCCTCCTCTATTTATTGTTACACTTGTTGTTATTATGTAGTTTATTCATCGAATAATTGCTTCCAAAATACTTTTTTATCTTATGGTTTCTTGATTTCATTAACTTTGAATTTAAAAGCATTCTTCACTCTCTATATAGCATCCTATGCATAATTGTATACTCGTTATTCAGGATGCAAGTATTCTAGAATCAAAGGAGAGATTGGAGGAATGACATCAGTTCTTGTAATGGCTTTATGCATGACCACTTATTGGAAGTATTGTCTAGTTGGATTTGCAACGTATTTCATTTTAAGTAATTCTTCTGGTTCTCCAGATTCATTTGGAAGTGCTTCTAGATCCATTTTATCAATCAAGGAGGCTACAGCTATTTATTGATGAGGAGTTGACTTTCTTAAAGCAGCAAATTGGAAGTGTCTGATATCTTCTGAAGTGGGTAAAGCTATCATCCAAAAACACTAATAGCTCTTTGATTTATGAGGCAATAACACCACCATTTTGGGAGAACTCTTCTCTCTGCCAACAAATCTCGCAATAGCAACTTTCTTGGTGGCAATTAAGGCTATGATCAAGGAAGATAAAGATTTCTTTGCTTTTTCACAATCAATAGCTACAACCATGTCAACACTAGACATAAAATAATGTCTAGGAATTTATGACTTATCAACAAATCCCAATAATTGAAATGATCTAGGACATTAATACTTCATTTTATCTTCCATTATACTATCCACGGGAATTAGACTTCTGCCATATAGGTAACCCTTAATGATATTCTCTCTTTCAATTGGTGTCATGTTTGGATCTTCTGGATTGTAATGAATAGTGTCATTTCTGACTACATTTCTGGTGGGTTCGCTGCTGAATTCTCCAGTAGCAGAATGCTTTTTTAAACTTGGCAATTTCTCTTCTGTGCATCTTTTGTAAACCAATACAGAGATGGATGTCTCATCGTTTATTTGAAAATCTCCTCTGAATGAGGCTCTTGCTTGCATTTGTTTGGTGTGAAATTGTGAATACAATTCAAATGCGATATTAGCTGGGAATATTCTCATATGATTCCTTAGTTCTTGAACCATGTAATAAACTAAACGTGAGTTGATTGATTGCTCTTAACTTTCATAAACAGCATTAAGCATTCGATCATTTAGAGTTTCTTGATTCTCAGGTTTGGTAGGATCATCCAATTCAGCATCATATTCATTCATGAAATCCAGTGCTATGAAATTGATCTTCACATCGACTTTTTCAATCATCTTAATTAGCTTTGCAATCTTTTTCTCATTATATTCTGTCTAACCAAATCCTGCTGTGAGGACAAATATCTTTTTATCCATCTTCTTGGTCTTCACATACTCATCTAAAGTGCTAACTGATTTATCCAAAGCATCAAAAATATCTCCGCCTATAATTTTAGGTTTATCATGATCTGGTAGTTCAGTCAGATTTCTATAAAATTCTAGATCTGGAGATGATAATGTTTATATGTAAAAAGTATTCCCATCCTCAGCATCTTCTGTCCCAAACAAAACTAATCCAACTTCATGATTTTTGTAATTAAAAATCTTTTATTAAATCATCATCCCTATGCAATCAACAGCTAATTCTAATCTAGTGATTTTCTTTCCTTGAGCCTACTTGTATGGTTCATACATTGAGGCTCCTACATCTAGTAAAACTAAAGTTGCTTCTTTTCCTGCCATCTAAGAAATATATCAGATTTTTATATTAATATTAATTAATTAATCAATTGACCTATTATCTTAAATACACTTTATTATAAATAAATCACAATTCTGAATCTCAAATAATCTAACCATTTATGATAAATACTTACATTTAAATTCTTTTTGTAAATTAGGCTCACATATTATTAATCTTTGATAATAAAGGTTTTAAAAAATAATTAGTTTATATCTATAAAAAACTAAATTATATTTGGATTTTCTATTTTAATAACAGAAAAGAATTCATCTATCTTCATTATAATAATAATACAACATAGATAGTAATTTTGGGGTTTATAAATTTATTATATCAGATTTGTTATTATCTGATATAATACTTTTATCATCATCCCTTGTTTCATATTGTATATTTAAATTCTATTTATATAAATATCACTATTTATCTTTTCTTATTAGGTTAGAAATATGCAAGGCCATTCCAAGTGTGATACCAATTGTTATTACACTCACTACATTTTTATATGGCAAGTATCCAACTGGAATTTAATATGTTAGGTGTTCCTTATATGTCGATATTTGAGCTTCTTCATAGTTGCCATTAAAAAATGATTTAATTAAAGGATCACCTGATTACGATTCCAAGTACACTCTAGGAATATTTGGTACATAAGATGTCTTATAGTGTGTGTCTGAAGCCAAATGATATCGAAAATGATATGGCATGAGATATGTAATTTCTAAAGCACCTTTGTGTTGACTCAAAATTATGTGCTACGTGGAAAGCTCATTGGGTCTTTCTATATCTACAATTGTCATCAATTTAGCCTCATAAGGTAACTTATCCAATTCATCCTTGTCCACATAAGTGAAAGTATCTAATTCATCTACAATGACTACATTCTAACTAGGCTATTTGTCAAAAATAATTTTAGTTTCAATAAATTAATGCAACCCAGCTCCAATCAACTTTCGTTCATAATGATACTTAGGTCCACTTGACTCATTTTTATATTTTATTTATATCTGCTATTACTATGTATTTGAATTGATTTGTAATTAATAAGTCCAATCTTGGCTTTCTAAAATAAGTGGTATAATTACATTTGAATTCACCAGCATCCTGTTTCTCCGATTTTAAGATTGTGAGAATTCTATTCTTAGCATTATTGTTTGATATTTCAAATAATTCAGGAAAATAATCATAAATAGTGTATTACTTGCATCTCCAGTTTTCATGATGAAACAGAGCTGATTTCGACTCCATTTAATTGAAAATTTCATTTGTGATATACTAAAGTAATAATTTCTGATTTAATTAGGTAAATGTTTTTGGATTAGGATAATTGAATTCATTTTTCTTAAGTCCATTGTTATATTAATCTGATAACAAGCAATACCTAATTCGAATTGACTTTGTATCTACTTTAATTGTCAATTGTTCATTTATGCTTGATGGCAATTATCCAATTATAATTTGCGATGAAACAAAAGAAAATAATGCTAAAATAAACATAATAAATTAAATATTTAATTCAGCTAAAGAAAGCACACAAAAGATAGTCATACAGTTAATAAAAAATGAATAACATACCAGATTATAATTTCTAATATATCAATTGAAAATATATTATAATAAGTCTTATAATGTTTATACATTATTGTTTTAATTCCACAACATTTTTAATTTCAAAAATATTTTAAGAAAACACTATGAATTCAATCAGATTGGATATAAACTTTTATATAAATTTCTAACAGTAATAATTTTATATGCTTAAAAAGAATCTCTTGTAAAAATAAATTTGTTATGTTATTAATAATAATTCAAAATTCAATTTTCTTTTTAGAAGGAAGATATTTTTGTAAAATAGCTTAAGTAATAAACCCTAACAAGGCGGCTATTACAACAACAGCTATCATGATCCAATTATAACCTTTGAATCTAAAAATATAAATAAAATATAGTTACGCATTATCATTGACATTAATCAATTTAGCCCATTTTCCTCCTTTTGGAAAGATTGCAGAAACAAAGAATAGAACAAAACCCAATATTGTCCATAAGAGTAATAGATAGTTTCTATAATATCTTTATTTGAAAGGATTGGAAATGTACAAGTTGATTGCAAATGTCATAAAGAAGAACATCAAACTCATAAACATTACTGATTAAATATCTCCAGATTTCTTTAATTCTTCAATTGGTTATGGAATACAATTTTCAATTGGCTCATCCATTTCACAAGTATGAACATCTCTGACTGCTACTGAAATGAAATAATTGGCAATTAATCTAAATTTAATTAATATATTATAATACCCTGCTACTCCCCAAACTAAATTATTATAAATTTAAATTTGATTATAAATAGCAAATTAATCATCTAATGGATTATATTTGGCTAATGTATCACATGGACCAGATAAACATAAAAATATTAATAAGGGAATATTTGATATAATGCTTGTATAAGTAAATTGAAAATCTGCAAAAGTTTCAGCTTCTAAAAAAGTAAAGAGTACAGCTACAAATTTCAATGTATTAACACTGATTTAATATTAAAACACTTCAATAATAGTCATAGTAGCTGCTTTGCCTTATAACAGTACTTTAACAACACAATCTAATGAAGTAGATTTACTACTGAAAGGAGCAGTATAAGAGGCATCAGCTTCACTAAATGAAATTCCAACTTAAGCTTATGAGATTGCTGACTAAAATGAATTAAATAAATATAATTACACAATCATTAGCTCCATCTCCACACATTAATACTTATCTTCCAAAACTTTGAATTATTTGAATTATTAATTTCTTTTACTCAGGTTTTTAACGAGCAAATACCTTAGCTTTTTTAATAATGGAGATAGCCAATTATCCAAAAGATCCGTCGTCAATATCAATTTGATTAATTTCAGTAAATATCTTTTCCTTACTTTAAGATTTGCCAACAGTATTTGCTGAATTCTTAGGTTCTAATTAAAAATTGCTTTTGTTTGTCACAAATTCTAAAAATTTGCCAGTTAAAGCTAATTCTTATTGAGTACTTATAAATTATTCTAATTCTTAAATACTATTTGGTTATTATTCCTTAATTATTTATTGATTATTATTGCATTAAAGTATAATTTCTTAATTTTATTAGTTATAATCTAAAAATGTAATTTCATTATCTTAATTAATAATTCCAGCTAATTTTGCACATTAAATGGTTGTCAAAGGATTATCCCCTGATATAACTTTAATATCTAATCCTGATTCTTTTAAAGTTGTAATAATTTCATTTGTATCTGATTTTAATGGATTCTCCATTACTAAAAGACCAACAAAGTTTAATTATGATTCTAATTGTTCTCTCAATTAATCAATTTAATTTGATTATAATTCTTTATATGCCAATCCTAAGACTCTATAACCTTTAATAGCATTCAAATTGAATTCTTCAATCAAATCATCTCTTTTCTTAATTGAAATTGCATTAATCGATTCAGGTGAACCCTTAGCATATAAATAATATTTAGATCCATCAGTTACAATAACACTCATCATTGATTTTGAAGAACTAAAGTCAAAGATTTTATGAATTGTATATGTTTTTCCATTTCCATCAATTGTTAATGGATTATTATTAAAGTTACATTGCCAACCTACAAAATTAAGCATTTCAATTTCTAATGGATCTCCTAATAATTAACCATTTATTTTAATTAAGTGATGGCAACAACCCATAATAGCATCTAAAATAGGTTTTTCTTCCTCTGGAAATGCTTTAATTGCTTTAAATCCTAAAGTAGTGAGAGTTCCAGTTTTATCAAAACAACAAGTATCAATTCTACCAGCTGATTCCACTTTATCAGCATTATTTCCAATGACTCCTTTAGCTTCAAGTCTAACCAAACTTGCAGTCTTACAAATTTAGAAGAATATGGGCATTGATGGTGGAATTGACCAAACAATATTATCCAAAAATCTTAATACTAAAAGACTTGATTTAAATTCCATAGGAATGTATTCAATTAATAGGAATCCATAGACAACTGCAATAATAAAAGCTATTTCAAGAATGAATTTAGCAGCTTAAATATAAAATCTCATTGAAGGAGGTTCGGGAAATAGTACATTTCTAAAATATTAACCTCTAAGAGATGTAAAACCAGTTCTAAGTACAATGGCAATATTTTATTAGGCATTGTTGACTTATATTAATTTAGTTCCTTCAAATAAACAATGTTAAGTCATTTTTTCAAGTTCAAATGTAGAGTTTTGATTAGGTAATGCTGTTTTAGGAATAGGAATGCCTTCACCAGTTAATGTAGCTTCATTAACAATAACATCACCTTAAATGATGGCACAATCACAATTTAATGTTTGATTATCTTTAAGAATGAGTAAATCACCAGGTACAAGATCAGCTCCATTTATAAGTTTAATTTAATCATTTTCTTTAATTGACACTTCTTAATGTATATTAGCCAATTATTATAATCTTCTTCTTGATCTAACATACAAAAAGTAATTCAAATAGACTGTTAAAACTGTGAAAATCAAGATCAGAACTGGTTGAAGTACTGTTTTCTCTGCAAACCATATTGCAACAGCAAAATATTATAAAATATTGAATGGACCTGTAAATGCATGCAATGAATATATGAATATCGATTCTATTGGAATCTTAAGTTAACATGTTCCAAAATATTTAATTTTATGTTCCCTGGTTTGCTTTGAACTTAAAGTAATAATATCGGTCAAAGTCTTACCTTTTATTTCAAATTCAATTGGTTAATAAAATTAAGTTCCACTATTAAATGAATACTTTAGCATTCTATATATTTTAAAAGAGAGTACTTAAACACGAAATAGGGTTTATCAAACATAATTTATTTTTTACAAACAAATTCTTCTCCTGAAGTAGCTACTATTCGATAATGAGTTGCAATAGATTCATCAGAGCAATCAATGAACAAAAATAATTAATAAAGCTTTTTGAAGTATTTCAAAGCCAAAGCAAATAGAAATGCTGTTGAAATAGATAAGAGAATCTAGTTAACAATGTATTGATACTGCCAAGAAGATTCTTACTTTGCTTATTCTGATTGGCTGAATTTAGGATAGGGGGTGTTGCCCTTCAACAAATGAGTTTGAGACTGGAAATGGCATTGAAATGTACGATTGACCAAATAATTAGGTTTTGATTTTGATCACATATTCCCTTATAAATAGGCTTATAAATCAATGATATCATTACATTACATGACGAAATTACAACATTGATGCAAAAAATGATAATTGTAAATTTTTAATTACATTTATTTTTTATTTGGCAAATTTTGAATTGTCAAAGGATGAGACAGTATTCCATAAATGGAGTAAAGTAAAATGGCATAGAGATTTCAAGAAAATTTGAGCATTAAAATATAGTAGTTTTATTATATTTTCTTTTGAAAAGCAATAGTTATTTGTAAAAATGGGAATTAGCAAAGTCTGTTTAATTAAATAAAGATAGAGGAAGACAGATTTTCAAATAATATTAGAATGAATATTAAAAATGTTTAAATTTAATTAACAATTATTTTAAGAAAATGAGGAATTCCATTTAATTATTTTTAGTTGCTTAAAATTTTTATACAATTTTCTTAAATAAATATATCTAAATGATAATTCAGATAATCTTAACTCTGTTCCTATTGATGTTATACCTTTTAGTGGTAAAACCTCTTGTTCCTATGATTAAATTAAAAATGTAGTTTGGTGATGCTTGTTTGATGAAATTTCATCTATTTGGAGGGGAATTATGGGAAGCACTAAAAGAGATGAAGACAAGCAAAGACTTATTTAAAAGACATAGAGACTTATATATGAAACATCCATATAAAATATTTGTAACAAATTTTCTTTGGAAAGTAAGAATAANCACTGTGAAAATCAAGATCAGAACTGGTTGAAGTACTGTTTTCTCTGCAAACCATATTGCAACAGCAAAATATTATAAAATATTGAATGGACCTGTAAATGCATGCAATGAATATATGAATATCGATTCTATTGGAATCTTAAGTTAACATGTTCCAAAATATTAAATTTTAAGGTCTCTTGAAAGTGTATTTCTTGATTATACCATTTCAGAGATGACTTTTTCTTTTGCATCAAATTCAATGGGTTCGTAACTTTTCAATAATTCATTAAATCTGTATTTAAGCATTCTTGAATAGTTAGTTTATATACCTGAAGATGAAATAGGGTTTATTGTCGATAAATTTTTTGGCACAAACAAATTATTCACCTTAAACTGTTTCTATTTAGTAATGAGTTGCGACTGATTCTTCTTGACATTGAGTAAAGAGAAAGGTGTTGTAAAATTTTCTGGAATATCTCAGAGCTAAGGAGAAAACAAAAGCGGAACAAATAGAGAACACAACCTAACTATCTTTATTCTATAATTACAGCCAAAAAAAGCCGAAGTTTGCTTAGTTGAACAGGCGTAACTTGAAAAAGAATATGCTGGCCTTCAATATCTGAGTTTTTCACAGGATAGGACATTAAGATTGAATAATAAAAATGATTGATTTGAAGATCAATCAAATCAAGATATTTAAATGGGATTGTATTAATTACACACATTTAATATGTCACTTTTGAAGAAGGTAATAGTTAGAAATATTTTTTGCATCAGATTTAACATAATTATTATAAAACGCTTGTAAAAAAATAACAATATGTATCTAAAGGGATCGCAGTAACAATAGATATCAACTTTTTATATTTCATCATGATTGTTTTTAAACTTCAGACAAAATCTGATACATGCTTTCACAAAAAATGCTCTTTATTATAATAATTATACTTATTAGATATCCAACCGTTCAAAAGTTAGAAGTGATAAAATTATCCAAAAGTAACTTTTTAAGTGGATTATATGCCCTTTTTTCCTCTGCAAGTATTTATTGCAGTTGGAATTCCTGGTTGTTAGATACATCCATGATACAAACTAAAATATTAGCGGTTGTATATAAAAAAATAGGAAGTTGAAATTGATTTTTGACTGCAAATCCATCTTATTAAGAAATTAAGGTTATTGAGTTGTAAAATACCTTGCTTACAATGTATGGTCTTGTGTTTTCAGTAAATTTATATAAAATTAATTCGTACTATATAATTCTTGAATAAATCTCTAAAAGAAGAATAGAAAGATAAATTTACTAAAAGAAGAATTAATGATGAAATCGAGTTATTTATTTTGCATCTGGATTTGGAAAGTAAAGTTAATGAAAATGGACTTAAATTTTTAGGAACTTTTAATTGATAATAAATAAATAAAAACAAATGAGTTAAATGATAAAAAAAGTAACCTATACAAGAAATAATTTGTTGCCAACACCATTGTTACACTACACATATTCAGCAATATTAATGTAATTTTCGCTTTTATGGCTTTTTGCTCTTGCATTATGTTGGCGAAAGTCAGCTTTTCAATTTAGATGAGTTTATTTTAGATGTATAATAATTCATTTAAGTATTTTCTTAACAATGTCAATGTAAAGGAATTTTCCCTCATTTTTAGGATCAATAAATTTCATATACTCATCTGCTTCATCTTCTGTAAATCGATATCCCATTGTCATCAATAATTCTTTAAAGTATTCACTCTAAATATACCCTGTGTTTTCTAAATCAACTGATTTAAATGCTATTTTTATTTTATAAGAGTAGTACCCTCTATCAATTATTCTTCTCTATCTTGCTCCCTCTTCTTCTTGCTCACAAGAATGAACAAAGCATCTGATCTGATACCTTGACCTTCTGAATCTTCTAACTCTTTATACAATTCACTCAATTCTTATTCATCGTATACATAACCAATTGAAGTCAAGAGTTCTTATAATTCAGTAAAATTAATTCTTTCATCACTATCTCTATCAAACAATTAAAAATTTTCTCTGTATTTCTTATCTTCTGCATCAGAAAACAGTCTATATCGATAATAAATAACACTTTTTAAAATTGTCATCTGAATATAAATGGCTTTTAAGTTCTTCAATTACAGTTCTAGGGTCTATTTTAGGTAATCCATCATTCAATGACACTTTCTCCTTTTATCTAACTTGAGATAAGTTAGTTTATGTTTAATTCATTAAATTAAATATAAATATTTAATTATTCTTATTTTAACATACTATAACTATTCTTATAAATTTTATTTAATATTAGGATTAAAATTTAGATAAAATTATTCTTTATGATCGAGAAAGAATTGAATGATATCATGAAAATGGCAGCCATTTTCTTTCCAAGTGATATCATACAAATCTAAGTATATAAATATACAGACTTCTATGTTTGCTATAAGAATCTACTAAATTTAGTGCTCTACTCTTATAGGTTCAAAAAACAAATAAGTCTGGCGAAATTAACTTAAGAAGTATAATTATTTTTCATTCTTGTTATGTTACTTCTAATGATTTTTTAAATATGACTATTGATTTTTAATGTTTATCAACTAATAGTTATATTCATTTACAATAATGTTGTTAAACATATAATATTTTGTTTGCTTAAATCCAACATTGATTAAAATAGTATTAAATATGATAAATACAATCATCTGAGTGAACAACAACTTCTTACTTTTATTGATATATATTTAGAATAGTTTGGAAATTCCTTTTTTGGCAGCTAATTTCAGGTTCTTTTTGAAGCAACCCTTAAAATGGTTGAATCTGTATTTTTTTTAGCAATTCCAAAAAGCGGTTTGAGGAAAAGCCGAAGGCTCCTCAATAATACTTTCTTAAGTATGTTATTTATATATCAATATTCTCTTATACTATATTCGAAATGCCTTCTTCCTCCATTTATTACACATTTGGTCGTCCGTTTTCCCAACATTGCAAATTCTATTTTTAAGCATTATATATTGTCATCTACTCTGACCTTTTATAATATTTATTTCAGAAACCTATCCTCCGTCAACCCCAACTTTATATCCTACTCCAATAGTCTATAGTTCCTAAACTATTAAGTTACTTTAAACAATATTGGATTTAAATTTATCTTTTATTCTTTGTGTATGGAAAATATAAGTATAACTTTAACTATGTCGTTTAACTAGAGCAACAACTGATAAAAAATGAAAAGTTATTTATTTAGGTGATAAATAACATTGTAGTTAGAAACTTAATTAGAAAATACTCATATATTGAATGATGAGAATTTAATAATAATTAAATGTAAACAAATTAAAATACCTCAACTAATTTGTTGCTGTAAAATAAAAAAGAATTGTTTCATATATAGCTTAGAAAGGAGAAGAGAGAGGAGATCTTCAAATCGAAAAGAATCATCTAAAAACAAAATGAAACACCTGAACACATCTAATTGAATCCCGAGGTACGAAATATAATTGAATTTAGTAATTAGATTAGTACATCACAGAGTTGATGAAAGAGTGTATTGATATCTACCGAAACAGATTGCCAGATGATTTTGATAAGATGCTGAACAATTTGAAGAGATTGAGGAAATTACAGAACTTGGATCAACGAGGGGAGGCATTCTCCCTTAGTTTGTTTAAGAATGATTTTATAGAGTATAAAGATTAGTGTGATGTAGATATATTCTTGTTCTATTGAATGAGCAATTCGATCATGCTTCTCAATTATAAGTGGAAGGAGCTACAATTTTAGCTAATTTTTTTGGTATGATGGATAAAAATTCACGATTATACTTTTCCTCATACTTGCCAATGTTGAATGTGTTGAGTGATGTGATAACTAAGAATTTTGGGAGATTGCTAATTTCAAAGAATGCTTCCTTAGTTGATTCAGTATGATTGAACTTAAATATTAGTGTTTGTATGCTTTAGGGAATGCATTTTACGATTAACAAATATTGGTTCAAAAGTTCAAATAGCATTTTGGTTTGAAGCATNTTTTTTAAATATGACTATTGATTTTTAATGTTTATCAACTAATAGTTATATTCATTTACAATAATGTTGTTAAACATATAATATTTTGTTTGCTTAAATCCAACATTGATTAAAATAGTATTAAATATGATAAATACAATCATCTGAGTGAACAACAACTTCTTACTTTTATTGATATATATTTAGAATAGTTTGGAAATTCCTTTTTTGGCAGCTAATTTCAGGTTCTTTTTGAAGCAACCCTTAAAATGGTTGAATCTGTATTTTTTTTAGCAATTCCAAAAAGCGGTTTGAGGAAAAGCCGAAGGCTCCTCAATAATACTTTCTTAAGTATGTTATTTATATATCAATATTCTCTTATACTATATTCGAAATGCCTTCTTCCTCCATTTATTACACATTTGGTCGTCCGTTTTCCCAACATTGCAAATTCTATTTTTAAGCATTATATATTGTCATCTACTCTGACCTTTTATAATATTTATTTCAGAAACCTATCCTCCGTCAACCCCAACTTTATATCCTACTCCAATAGTCTATAGTTCCTAAACTATTAAGTTACTTTAAACAATATTGGATTTAAATTTATCTTTTATTCTTTGTGTATGGAAAATATAAGTATAACTTTAACTATGTCGTTTAACTAGAGCAACAACTGATAAAAAATGAAAAGTTATTTATTTAGGTGATAAATAACATTGTAGTTAGAAACTTAATTAGAAAATACTCATATATTGAATGATGAGAATTTAATAATAATTAAATGTAAACAAATTAAAATACCTCAACTAATTTGTTGCTGTAAAATAAAAAAGAATTGTTTCATATATAGCTTAGAAAGGAGAAGAGAGAGGAGATCTTCAAATCGAAAAGAATCATCTAAAAACAAAATGAAACACCTGAACACATCTAATTGAATCCCGAGGTACGAAATATAATTGAATTTAGTAATTAGATTAGTACATCACAGAGTTGATGAAAGAGTGTATTGATATCTACCGAAACAGATTGCCAGATGATTTTGATAAGATGCTGAACAATTTGAAGAGATTGAGGAAATTACAGAACTTGGATCAACGAGGGGAGGCATTCTCCCTTAGTTTGTTTAAGAATGATTTTATAGAGTATAAAGATTAGTGTGATGTAGATATATTCTTGTTCTATTGAATGAGCAATTCGATCATGCTTCTCAATTATAAGTGGAAGGAGCTACAATTTTAGCTAATTTTTTTGGTATGATGGATAAAAATTCACGATTATACTTTTCCTCATACTTGCCAATGTTGAATGTGTTGAGTGATGTGATAACTAAGAATTTTGGGAGATTGCTAATTTCAAAGAATGCTTCCTTAGTTGATTCAGTATGATTGAACTTAAATATTAGTGTTTGTATGCTTTAGGGAATGCATTTTACGATTAACAAATATTGGTTCAAAAGTTCAAATAGCATTTTGGTTTGAAGCATTTACTGTAAGTGTCAATGCATCTGAACACAGTTGTTTGGGTATTGGATACTCTGACAGGGAATAGAGAATTTTTGAACAAGGAGGAATTGGAATTGTCTTTGTAAATTCTCGATAAATAATTACAATCAAATGACGTTGAAAACTTCATTCATAGTTTAAGTGCCTTGAGGAACATCAGCCAATACCAAATAGATGCAATACCGATGATAATTGGACTGACTTCCTTTTCGAAAATCGTTGAGATAGTGTCCCAAAAATAGGATTTGGTGCATCTACATTCTACTTCCTTGGAGATAATCTTTGCATTGAGTACCATGAACGATTACGAATAAGTTAAGAGGTTGGACAACAAATACAATTTAATGGAAGTCTATGTTACATACTTGTCTTCTTATGAGAAGGAATATAGATTGAAATCAATGATATCGTTAACCAATTTGTGCAATCTAAACGAGATCTTTGCAATTCAGTTGTCTAAGATGCCTTATGTGATAGAGAAGATCATATCAATAACCATCTAGACAGAGCAATAGCAGATTCTGAATGGAGTCAACTTGATCTACAGTATGTTGCAATACGAGAAGATCGAAATGAATCAAAACTTTATCAATAACAAGATCTTAAGCTTGATTTCACGCATTTTAGAGTATCTTAACAATGACATTCTAATTTCCACCTTGAAATCTTTGTGGATCTTGTTGCAATCCATCGAATATTACACAGCATCACTTTAGATCCCAGGAGATGATAAGATTAAATCGCAAGTTTACATGATGAATCAATTAAATGTGCACAACATACAAGACAAATTGCTGACTCTATACCAAAATGTAAACAATCAAGAAGTGAGAGATTGGATCGATGAATGTGTGAATATTTTGGAGAAGACCCAGAATGAGATTGAAAATTATTGATATAATTGAGATTAATTTAATTAATAAAGAATGGTTTATTCAATAGGTTAAGCCAAAAGATCTGATCCTGCACTCAAAACAATAGCACCTGCTCCCAACGCCTATCTTCCAAAATTAGTTTCCAAGCTCCAAGCACCTCAATGGACGTAAGCCCAACTTATTACAGTAGTATCGGAGGGGCAGCTCAAAGGGCTGGTCGATCTACATCAATAGGACCTGGACCAGGACAATATGGCTATCAATCTAAACTAATAGAAGGACCAAAATACACAATGAGTGGAAAACACGAAACTAAGTAAGCTTCGATGTCACCTGGACCAGGAAACTATAATGATGAAAGCTTCAGCTCTGTTTACAAAAAGTAGCCCATGTACACTTTGGGTCTCAAACATCACACTTCTCAAAAGGATTTGATCCCTGGGCCTGGACAATATGATCTGAACAGTTCCTATATCTCCAGCAATTCAATTAAATTTCCTACCTAACCTAGATTGACATCTTTAGAAGGCGGAATGTCTCCTGGACCTGGATGTAACTTAGAATATTATTTTTAGAATACAACATTGACAAAGCAGCAAAGTTATTATTAGAGAAGTCTTAACCTTCATGGGTAATAGGGACATCATAGAGATCTCCAGATATGAGGAAGCAAGATCTGTAGCCAGGACCTGGGGCTTATCATTTAAAGAGTCTGCTCAACCTTTCCAAAAACTTCACAATCAAATAGAAACTACAGAACAAGGATTATAGCTCCTATTAGCCAGGTCCTGGGGCATATGATTAGGACATATCAAACATCAAATCTCATTATCCTTCTTATAAGATAGGCTCTGAATTAAGGAATACATAAAATGCAATGGACAAACTGGTTCCTGGACCTGGGCAATATTATAGAGAGTAAATGATTGATTTGATTATGTGTTTAGAAGATTGGATAGTCTAAGCTCGTTGTAGAAGTCAGCTCCGTCTTTCAAAATGCCGTAAGCTCTGAGGAAGGATCTCAATGACTCGGTTACGATAACTCCTGGACCTGGATAGTATTCGATGCCCAAGAATTAGAATACACAGATGGTCTCGATGAAGGGATCGAAGTACAATCCCAATAATTCTTCATTCATTCCAGGACCAGGCTAATACAACCCAGATGATTCTGTATGCAAACATAAGGATGGTTCAGTGAGAATAGTGCCAGAACACAAAACAAAATAACTATTAACGCAATATTTCCCAGGACCTGGACAATATTCGGTTAAATCATCTCTCGAAGGTCCTTAATGGGGATTCTCTAAAGACATTCGTCAAGGCTTAATCAAGAAGGACGTCATTCCTGGTCCAGGGGCCTACAATATCCCTCCAAAATTTAATGATGTTCCGAAGTATCTATTGCCTAAACAATTTTGATACATTAAAATATTATTCAAATTATAAAAATGGAAAAAGAATTGGCTCACAAATTGGATGTTATTCTCAAGAAACTAAGTGACGATGTTTTAAAGATAGAACAGGACAAATTACAACACGTATTTCATTCAGTCCACACCATATCTTGGATTGTGATTTAATCGATAGTACCTTACATAAGAGAGGAGTTCAGAGGCTAAACTATTAAAGTGTTTCAATTGATCACCCAATTGATTAAGTGTCTCAAAGATAATGATTTTGATGAAGTGACCAAAAAACTGTTCTAATAAAGAGCTTAAAGAAGAAGATCTCTCAGGTTGATCAATTGTTCGTTGTGTGATCATTATCGTAAAATGCCCTCTAAGTAAGACCCTAAATAAGCACACTACAAGAAATACTTGGATTAATTGAAAAGAGATGGAGTTGAATTGAATTCAAAAATGGAACATGCAGTATTGGAAAGGAAGATTAGAAAATTATCAGATGATGACGAACAATTTGTCTATAAGACATCAAAAGCATGTTAAGTTGAATTAGATGAATTGTTATTACAAAACTCAAATAGCAATGAAAATGAGAATCAAAGAATAAGTAAATCAGATACTTTTGATGCAGAAACACAAACTGAAAGTGTTCCATCAAAATTCTCACTTTAAGCTACATCAGAATTGAGAAACCATTTTGTAAATTACTATTACTTACATTCCTAATATGATAGTGTAAAGTAGATTATAGATGAAGGAATTAAGGCATGTTAAAAATAAACTGAGATATTTTAGGATATAAACTAAGACACGCCTGCATTAAAAGTCAAATACTTTGCATAATAGTCTTTGTAACATGTGTCTTAAGTGTTACAACAAAAAGTAGCTCAGATTGAAGCAACGAAGGAATTTAAATCGAAAGAGTTGAAGGAGAATCTTCCTCCTTTAGGTGATATCATTAAGTAAGTGCAATTGTAAGAACATAAGAGAAAGGCAATAGAGGCAGGTATTATAGAATATGATCCTGAATTTGATCCAGAATTATTATAGAATAAGAGAATAGAATTTAGAGTTAAAGAGATTAATGGTTAATAAGTGATAGAGGAGGTGGTAGTAGATGTAGAGAGTGGAGAAGTAATCAAAAGCAGAGCCAGATAAAGTGATCCTCAATAAGAAATAATGTTGGAACAAGAAGAATTAATTAAGTAAATTAAATCAAAGGAACAAACTATAGATGAAAATGAATGGATTGTGGCTAAGTATGGAAATTAGAAGGTTAAGGTAATTTAGAAATCAGATGATGTGACCTAATATGAAGTTAATACAGCATAGGCGAAGAAAATTGTTAGAGTGAAATCTGTTGATGGCAATAAGCAATTAGAAGAGGAATGGATTGCTCAATAGGCAGACGGAAAACATTAGTATAAAGTATATTAGTAGAATGGATAATTGCTATATGAAGACAAGGGAGAATAGGTAGGCATTAGATTGTCAGCAAAGAGATTAGATCATAAGGAATCAATAATTGAGGAGAGAACAACTGAAAATGGTAGTGTGATGAGAATATTGGAGAAATAAAAATATGGTTAGGATACGATAAAGATTATAAAAAGAAACAGTCAGCATGAAGTCGTGGAATCAATTACCAAGTAGGTTTTGAAGGATGATAATGGCGAAATGTATTAACACGAGGAAGAAGTAAAATAAGGAGGAATCAAAATTATGAGAAAAATATATGTGAATGGAGATGATTAGAGTAAGAAAATAGACGAAGTCACTATTCATCCGAATGGAAGGAGATCTAGTATTGTATTGAAACAATACAAGGATAAAACTGAAGCTGTGTTTAATGATGAATTTGGAGATGAAATTCAAGTGACCAAATATACATATATTAATGAAAAGGGATAATAAGTTGAATGTCAAAGAAAAATGAATATGAGAACTAAGGAAGTCTAAATGCAAAAGACTTTTAAAAATGAAGATGGCAAATAAACTATTGAAACTGTCATCACTTTGGATGGTTTAGAAATTGGCAAACAAATTATCATTTAAATTGGACCTAATGAAAGAATTGAAAGAATTACCAAGAATGGAAAGACTATTGAGTAGAAGGTGTTAGTTGATGAACATGGCTAAGAGTCTATCCATATGGTTGATCATGAGAATAACATGAAAATTCAGACAACCAATTTCACCAAGAATTCTGTTGAATATCAACAGTAAACAATTAATCTATCTAATGGTGCTAAGAGACATATCCATTAAAGGACATATTTTGATGAAAATAATGAGAAGATAATCGAAGAAGATCGAGTTGATGAATTTGGTTAAAGAATACTAATTAAAAAGAGGATAAATGCGTTAGGAGAAGAGATTATTTAAGAATTTGAAGTTACAGAAAATGATGGATTAAATCCTGAATTAAAATAAATTAGATAATCATAAAAGAGATTACCACGTGCTGAATTATAATCTGTTGTAGTCATCGATATTGGAATTTAGACTGAAGGTTAAATGCCATTATTCACACAAACTTAAGAGTAATTTTAATAGAAGAAATAGAACTCTCAAATTATTATCGATAAACCTGATTTCAATGAATTAGACAAAGAAGCATTTAAAAAACTCTAACAAGGAAAAGGCAAGAATGATCCATAATTTTAAGAGGCTGTGAATTAAATCAAGAAGTTCTTTAATAAAGGAGATGGAGAGGAATTAAAATAAGAGGAGTTCAATGAATACTTATCAAAGTTGAGATAGAATCATTAAAGATAATGTGGTGAATAGTGTTCACACTTACTAAGATTTTATGCAAAATTAGGTTTCTTGATCTAAAAGTCAGCTTTGAATAGACAAGTTTACAAATTATAAAAAGTCTAATTGTAAGCTAAAGAATCACTATGACTTGAATCAATTATATTAATATGTATTAACAATAATTAACTAAGCTATTTGTAAAATATGATGCACCCATTCCATAGGACAATATCCTTTTTAAAACTTCATTTTTCAAGATGAGTAATCACAAAGAAGTCACTTTGCTTTTATGTAGCAATGATTTCATCTATAAAGTCAGCAACAATAATGTCAAAGTGTACATACTTAAACTCAATTATGAGGTGAGATTCTCAGTAAAAGCTGAATAAACTTCAAAACAAATACATAAACAAATGAAAGGAGATGAATTCCATACACAAATATACAAACTTACTCTTGAAAGGGATGATTGTAATTCGGTTGAATTCTACAACTTCAACTTTTAAACTATGTATTGGTTTGATTACCTCAGAAACAAGCTACACATGCTGGATTATCAAACGCATTATGAGATTAGTAAGCTAATTGGTAAAGGATCATTTGCATCTGTCTATGAAGCAAAAGGGAAGAATGATCAATAATCTTATGCTGCAAAAGCATTTTACAAAAAACAAGTGTTCCAGGATCCAAAGGGAAGAGATTAAGTTGAAAATGAAATCAATGTCATGCGCAAACTCAATCATCCAAATCTTATCAATTTGCATGAAGTCTTTGAAAATAAAGCTCAAATCTATTTAATATTGGACTTGGCAAGAGGAGGCACACTTGAATATGCTTTGAAAGTACTGAATGCCCCAGTTCCATACTTAAGTGCAAAAGTGATATTTCGATAAATACTTGAAGGTGTACAATATATTCATGATTAGGGCATAATACATAGAGATTTGAAACCAGATAATATACTTTTTAGAGATTTCATCCCTCTTAAGAGGTATGGTCTCATAAATGTGGGTAATAATATCATGATCAGTGACTTTGGCATCTCCACTCCAAAACAATAAAGAATGGCTATATATTAATATTGTGGCACTCCAGGTTACATGGCCCCAGAAGTATTTCTGGCAGAAAATGATAATAATGCTACATATGATGAAAAATGCGACGTCTTCTCCTTAGGTTGCATACTTTATTATCTTCTTATTGGCCATCCCCTCTTTGCTTAACCAGTAAAGCAGACAAATATGGAAATGAAAATTGATTTTGCTCAATTAGAAAAAGACCTCAATTAGAGTCATTCATTAACTGTACTTTTGTAAAGGATGCTATCCCAGAATCCATAAGATAGACCATCCTGCAGGGAAATCCTTGAATCCAAAATAATGGAGGTGGAGTATGGAGAGGATGGCATTCCTGTATTCAAAGATTTCCAAAGACCCAAAAGTAGTCCACCAAAAAGAATGTAGCCATTGCATCCTGAAATTGATAGATCGTAAATATACTATAATAATAATTTTAGTAAGAGATAGAGTATGTTAAATTCAAAGATAATTAAACTGATGCCAATCTTAGAAGAGAAATAAGAAATACGAATTTAAGGAAAGGATAAAACTACGATCATTATAAAATAAAGAAATTCTCATTTTGATGAAGAGAGAACACCAGCATAAAGAGTTGCTGCAGCTCGTAGATCCTCTGCTTATGTTCCCTCAAGCAATCATAATAGCAGAAAATGATCATATGCAACTATAATTTGTTTTTCATAAATATTATTACATGTTAAAATATAATGAATAGGTGTGCTGCATTTTCCTATCATTCTTAGTGGACCTCTTTATCATATCTAAGACGATCTCCAATTTCACGTAAACCACATATTTCTATAAAACGATTCCTTTTTGATTTTGAATGGAGCATCTTTTAGATTAAATACAAAAAAAGAAAATTTTAAATTGGAAATTAATTATCAAATATTAAAGGTTATGTTTCTAAAGGTTTTAAAATTCTCATGATTTAACACTGTCCAATAAAAAGCAATATAAATATTTAATGAAACTATTTACTTGAAAACGAAAATTGTGAGTATATTTAGATGCTATTTTTGAATTTAAATTTAAGAAAAAAGATCGAATTCTAAAATTAATTCTATTCCATCACTTAAGATAGATTCATAGTGTTCAAAAAGCTCTAGAGAGTTTATTTTATAAGATCTCCATTCAATTATTAGTGATAGAAAAAATAATATAAAATTGTATTATTTTCTTAATAGAAAAACAAATTATTTTAATAAACTTTTATTCATACAGCCCTATTTCACCTTTACAACATATGTAATAAGACTTAAACTGAGCTTTAGCTTATTATTTACAACCTTAATTGTACCAAAACTAAATACCGTTTAATTTTTATTGGAGACCTCAACATTTACTAAATATAAATTTTATTGTTAATAATCCTCCAAAAGGATAAAATAATTATAATACTTTATAGAAACCTTTGAAATTTCTCATCCAAAGCCCTTTTTTTCAATATTTGAACAAGATATTTTTGATAATAATTATATTTCTTGTAAAATTTGCTAAAAATGAATAACATTGAAGATTTTGATTTTTACACTCAATATAAAGAAGATGTAAAGAACGTAAGTGTTGGGTAACGATTTTTATTAGATAGATGCTTAATGGAAGGCCAAATAAAACTCTATCGCATAGTTAGGGTGGAGATTTTGATTACCTTAAGTTCTACTAAAAAACCCTTTAAGATTTGCTAGATTAAATTATTCAAAACCACTAAATATCTGTTTCCATTGGCATATATTGGAAATTTTCAATATGTGCCAATCAATTGCAAATTAATAAATTTAGAGGAATTATAAACTCAGCTCATTGACCATTATTAATAACAATAGCAACCAATTGATGAAGTACAATTAATCTTGAACTCTTGTCGATGATTATATGATTTATATGTGTGAAAGCGAATAAAGATTTAATTATGTATAAAGATGTATCTTTCTAATTCTTAGTATGATTTAATTATACACAAAATAAATTATAATCATAGATATTTGTTTTATAAAATCTGTGCCTAATTAATTTATTGATCGAGAGCAGAAGAAGATCATTTTTATATTTTATTAGATAACATATTGCATATATGTATATAATATGTTATTCTAAGCTTATTAACAATGTTTGATTATGAAATCTTAAATAAATTTTAAAACAGGGGAAACCACCCTGTAGTATTATATTATAATTATTCGTAGATCAGTCTATTCTATGGGTCTTTGAAAGCTGGAGAATCACTTTATTTTTAAAATGTGATAGCTATAGGGAGAAGATGACGTTTTGACAGCACCTTCAAATCCATTTACTCTTGATCAATCAAATAGGGATGTAATGTTGACAAATGATTTAAACTTCTTTGTGTATTACTTTAATATCAAAGTTAGCTGCAATGCTAATGTTTAATGTTTTATACATAAATACCAAAATATTTCCTTTCTTTAGTTTGCCAACTTGACGTTTAGGGATATTAGTAAGCATGATATTTGACATTAAATTCATACTTTTATTTTTGATTTCGACATTTAAGGATTCTTAGATTAGCATTAGTTTTCCTCTTTATGTCCAATTTGAAAATTTGATAACGTTGTTGATGTAGAATTTATCTCAAATGTCATAAAATACCAATAATATATAAATATTTTGTTTATAATTATGGAATGAATATTTAGCTCAAATATATAAATGATATATTTTTATTTATAGTCATAGCAACGAGAAATTAGATGATAATTCTACTTTATCCTTGTTTGCATTTTTTAAATCAAATTTTTTATGCTTTATATAATTATATTTGCTTGTGAGCTTTAATTTTAATTAAAATTACAAAATTTATTAAGGTTATATTAAGAATTGTATATATTATATGGATAAGTTCATTCTCTAGATATTACAATTTATTATGATACTTACCAGTCTAGAATAATGAATTTTTTTTACTTATTTTCACTTACTTTGTCAAGCATGAAGATACCAGAACTCTATTCGAAAATATTATCATTGAATTTAACACACAATGCAATATCTTGACCCAATTCTTCAATCTTAAAAATCATTTCAAAAAGCTGAATATATTTTCTTTATTTTATAAGAAGCAAGGCTTTCAAAACTTTGATTTATTTATTTTGTAAATTAGCTTCTCTAATGATCGATTTAATCAATCGAAAAAGTTAAGGATTTACGAATTATGGAAAAGTTTTCAGTCGCGTTAAATTTGAACTTGATAAATGAATTTCAATACTTTTCTAGTATCCATGATTAAGTGTTTTACTTCTAAAATAAATGATTTCTCTTTCAAATGAGTTACATTATTTTATCATTCTATTTAAGAAAATAAGATAAACGCAGTCCAATTCTTATTTATTTGCATTTTCTAAAAGTCAAACTAATTTCTTTTATTTGAAATAGTTTGAATTTAGTCCTATTATTCTTAAGTGTGAAATAATAATATTTATAATTGTCGCCAGTGATTTGAGTCCAAGTCATATTTAAGAAGATAGTAACTTCAATCTTCATTGTTTCTAAGTTATGCTATATAAGAATAATGCTACATAACTAAATTCATTATATTTAGAAATTATAACTACTTTAAATTAAAGAACAATTTACATTCAATAAGGAATTAAATAATAAAAATAATTATTCTAGTAGCATAGAAAATAAACAATAGATAATTATGATATTTAAACGAATAATATAATTTTTTAATATAATTATTCATCTTTTCTATAATTTAACACAATTTCCTGGTTATAATTAATATAGAAATCTGGCTGTCCATCTTGATTCCACATCATGGTTAATTTGGATCGAAAACTTTCTAAGAATCTATGATAAAATAATCTTTGCTTCCATCTAAGCCATGTGTTGTCCAATACAATTTCTAGGTCCTGATGAGAATGGCAGATATACAAATTAATGATTTTCCTTTATTGGTTCCTGTTCTAACCATCTTTTATAGTCAAATTTTTCAGGATTTGGAAAATGTTTAGACTATTATTATGGGAATTAATAATCAATTGTCACACTCCACCCTATATTTTAATGAAATAGAATACCTTTCTATATTGTAAGGTCCTTTACTCTATGAGTTTCATTGCAGAATCTCATTAATAATCTTATAGCTGGATTCTTAAATCTCAATACTTCATTAATAAATGCAGATAATTTATGTAATTATTTGATCTTATCATCCAGAATGCTTTCGTTTTTACAAACTGAAAGTACTTCCTCCCTTATTTCTTCCTGTATTTCTGGGTATTAAGCCAAAAAATATAGACAATGATAACTTAAGACAGCTGTAGTATCTGTACCAGCAAAGAACAAAGTGATAAACTACTATATAATTTCATCAATTGTTATTTTTTAAGTGCCTTATTGCTTTTATTTTAAATACTCCTTAATAAGGACATCTAAAAAGTCAGTCTCTCTTTACTTAATATCATCTTCATTTTCATCCATTTTTAATTCTATTTCTACAATTCTCTTTTAAATCAACTTTTCAATAGCAAGCCTCATTTCCGAAATTCTTTAGAGCAGCTCTTTCTCTTTCTTAGTCGGAAAGAAACCCCAACTTTTAGTACCCAAAAAGAATCTTTTAACGAAGATATATTTTGATTTAAACCTGGCTTCCCCCAATTCATTTAATAGATCTGCTATTTCTATTTGAATTTTCTTGTTATTTATTTGTACTCCATCTGCTGATTTTCCAAAAAAGCTTCTTATTACTACTTATCCTGTAATTAATTCTAAAAATTCTAAGATGTTATCTCCTTGAATTGAATCAATTTTTTCCAGGCAAACTTCATTTATCATAGGTAAGCGACTTTTAAGTTAATCATAATCGAATGATTCACTTAAAAGTAACCTTTGAGCCTTCCATTTTTCTCCCATCTAACAAATCAAACCATTTTAAATGACATTGCTAATTAAATAATTTAATAAATACTCATGATTGATATTATTAAATTTACTATAATATTAATGATTATGTAACATTAATTTATAATATTCTGGATCGGCTACATTTATTCTTACTTTCCAAAGAAAATTTGTTACAAATATTTTATATGGATGTTTCATATATAAGTCTCTATGTCTTTTAAATAAGTCTTTGCTTGTCTTCATCTCTTTTAGTGCTTCCCATAATTCCCCTCCAAATAGATGAAATTTCATCAAACAAGCATCACCAAACTACATTTTTAATTTAATCATAGGAACAAGAGGTTTTACCACTAAAAGGTATAACATCAATAGGAACAGAGTTAAGATTATCTGAATTATCATTTAGATATATTTATTTAAGAAAATTGTATAAAAATTTTAAGCAACTAAAAATAATTAAATGGAATTCCTCATTTTCTTAAAATAATTGTTAATTAAATTTAAACATTTTTAATATTCATTCTAATATTATTTGAAAATCTGTCTTCCTCTATCTTTATTTAATTAAACAGACTTTGCTAATTCCCATTTTTACAAATAACTATTGCTTTTCAAAAGAAAATATAATAAAACTACTATATTTTAATGCTCAAATTTTCTTGAAATCTCTATGCCATTTTACTTTACTCCATTTATGGAATACTGTCTCATCCTTTGACAATTCAAAATTTGCCAAATAAAAAATAAATGTAATTAAAAATTTACAATTATCATTTTTTGCATCAATGTTGTAATTTCGTCATGTAATGTAATGATATCATTGATTTATAAGCCTATTTATAAGGGAATATGTGATCAAAATCAAAACCTAATTATTTGGTCAATCGTACATTTCAATGCCATTTCCAGTCTCAAACTCATTTGTTGAAGGGCAACACCCCCTATCCTAAATTCAGCCAATCAGAATAAGCAAAGTAAGAATCTTCTTGGCAGTATCAATACATTGTTAACTAGATTCTCTTATCTATTTCAACAGCATTTCTATTTGCTTTGGCTTTGAAATACTTCAAAAAGCTTTATTAATTATTTTTGTTCATTGATTGCTCTGATGAATCTATTGCAACTCATTATCGAATAGTAGCTACTTCAGGAGAAGAATTTGTTTGTAAAAAATAAATTATGTTTGATAAACCCTATTTCGTGTTTAAGTACTCTCTTTTAAAATATATAGAATGCTAAAGTATTCATTTAATAGTGGAACTTAATTTTATTAACCAATTGAATTTGAAATAAAAGGTAAGACTTTGACCGATATTATTACTTTAAGTTCAAAGCAAACCAGGGAACATAAAATTAAATATTTTGGAACATGTTAACTTAAGATTCCAATAGAATCGATATTCATATATTCATTGCATGCATTTACAGGTCCATTCAATATTTTATAATATTTTGCTGTTGCAATATGGTTTGCAGAGAAAACAGTACTTCAACCAGTTCTGATCTTGATTTTCACAGTTTTAACAGTCTATTTGAATTACTTTTTGTATGTTAGATCAAGAAGAAGATTATAATAATTGGCTAATATACATTAAGAAGTGTCAATTAAAGAAAATGATTAAATTAAACTTATAAATGGAGCTGATCTTGTACCTGGTGATTTACTCATTCTTAAAGATAATCAAACATTAAATTGTGATTGTGCCATCATTTAAGGTGATGTTATTGTTAATGAAGCTACATTAACTGGTGAAGGCATTCCTATTCCTAAAACAGCATTACCTAATCAAAACTCTACATTTGAACTTGAAAAAATGACTTAACATTGTTTATTTGAAGGAACTAAATTAATATAAGTCAACAATGCCTAATAAAATATTGCCATTGTACTTAGAACTGGTTTTACATCTCTTAGAGGTTAATATTTTAGAAATGTACTATTTCCCGAACCTCCTTCAATGAGATTTTATATTTAAGCNGAAAATCTGTCTTCCTCTATCTTTATTTAATTAAACAGACTTTGCTAATTCCCATTTTTACAAATAACTATTGCTTTTCAAAAGAAAATATAATAAAACTACTATATTTTAATGCTCAAATTTTCTTGAAATCTCTATGCCATTTTACTTTACTCCATTTATGGAATACTGTCTCATCCTTTGACAATTCAAAATTTGCCAAATAAAAAATAAATGTAATTAAAAATTTACAATTATCATTTTTTGCATCAATGTTGTAATTTCGTCATGTAATGTAATGATATCATTGATTTATAAGCCTATTTATAAGGGAATATGTGATCAAAATCAAAACCTAATTATTTGGTCAATCGTACATTTCAATGCCATTTCCAGTCTCAAACTCATTTGTTGAAGGGCAACACCCCCTATCCTAAATTCAGCCAATCAGAATAAGCAAAGTAAGAATCTTCTTGGCAGTATCAATACATTGTTAACTAGATTCTCTTATCTATTTCAACAGCATTTCTATTTGCTTTGGCTTTGAAATACTTCAAAAAGCTTTATTAATTATTTTTGTTCATTGATTGCTCTGATGAATCTATTGCAACTCATTATCGAATAGTAGCTACTTCAGGAGAAGAATTTGTTTGTAAAAAATAAATTATGTTTGATAAACCCTATTTCGTGTTTAAGTACTCTCTTTTAAAATATATAGAATGCTAAAGTATTCATTTAATAGTGGAACTTAATTTTATTAACCAATTGAATTTGAAATAAAAGGTAAGACTTTGACCGATATTATTACTTTAAGTTCAAAGCAAACCAGGGAACATAAAATTAAATATTTTGGAACATGTTAACTTAAGATTCCAATAGAATCGATATTCATATATTCATTGCATGCATTTACAGGTCCATTCAATATTTTATAATATTTTGCTGTTGCAATATGGTTTGCAGAGAAAACAGTACTTCAACCAGTTCTGATCTTGATTTTCACAGTTTTAACAGTCTATTTGAATTACTTTTTGTATGTTAGATCAAGAAGAAGATTATAATAATTGGCTAATATACATTAAGAAGTGTCAATTAAAGAAAATGATTAAATTAAACTTATAAATGGAGCTGATCTTGTACCTGGTGATTTACTCATTCTTAAAGATAATCAAACATTAAATTGTGATTGTGCCATCATTTAAGGTGATGTTATTGTTAATGAAGCTACATTAACTGGTGAAGGCATTCCTATTCCTAAAACAGCATTACCTAATCAAAACTCTACATTTGAACTTGAAAAAATGACTTAACATTGTTTATTTGAAGGAACTAAATTAATATAAGTCAACAATGCCTAATAAAATATTGCCATTGTACTTAGAACTGGTTTTACATCTCTTAGAGGTTAATATTTTAGAAATGTACTATTTCCCGAACCTCCTTCAATGAGATTTTATATTTAAGCAGCTAAATTCATAATTGAAATAGCATTTATTACTTCAATTATATATGGATTCCTATTGATTTTATACATTCCGATGGAATTTAAATCAAGTCTTTTAGTATTAAGGTTTTTGGATAATATTGTTTGGTCAATACCACCTTCAATGCCCATATTCTTCTAAATTTGTAAGACTGCAAGTTTGGTTAGACTTGAGGCTAAAGGAGTCATTGGAAATAATGCTGATAAAGTGGAATCAGCTGGTAGAATTGATACTTGTTGTTTTGATAAAACTGGAACTCTTACTACTTTAGGATTTAAAGCAATTAAAGCATTTCCAGAAGAAGAAAAACCTATTTTAGATGCTATTATGGGTTGTTGTCATCACTTAATTAAAATAAATGGCTAATTATTAGGTGATCCATTAGAAATTGAAATGCTTAATTTTGTAGGTTGGCAATGTAATTTTAATAACAATCCATTAACAATTGATGGAAATGGAAAAACATATACAATTCATAAGATATTTGACTTTAGTTCTTCAAAATCAATGATGAGTGTTATTGTAACTGATGGATCTAAATACTATTTATATGCTAAGGGTTCACCTGAATCAATTAATGCAATTTCAATTAAGAAAAGAGATGATTTGATTGAAGAATTCAATTTGAATGCTATTAAAGGTTATAGAGTCTTAGGATTGGCATATAAAGAATTATAATCAAATTAAATTGATTAATTGAGAGAACAATTAGAATCATAATTAAACTTTGTTGGTCTTTTAGTAATGGAGAATCCATTAAAATCAGATACAAATGAAATTATTACAACTTTAAAAGAATCAGGATTAGATATTAAGGTTATATCAGGGGATAACCCTTTGACAACCATTTAATGTGCAAAATTAGCTGGAATTATTAATTAAGATAATGAAATTACATTTTTAGATTATAACTAATAAAATTAAGAAATTATACTTTAATGCAATAATAATCAATAAATAATTAAGGAATAATAACCAAATAGTATTTAGGAATTAGAATAATTTATAAGTACTCAAAACGATTTAGCTTTAACTGGCAAATTTTTGGAATTTATGACAAATAAAGGCAATTTTTTCCTAGAACCTAAGAATTCATCAAGCACTTTGGGTAAGTCTTAAAGTAAGGAAAAGATATTTACTGAAATTAATCAAATTGATACTGATGATGGACCTCTTGGATAAATAGAAATTGCTATTATTAAAAAAGCTAAGGTATTTGCTCGTTAAAAACCTGAGTAAAAGAAATTAATAATTCAAATAATTCAAAGTTTTGGAAGATAAGTATTAATGTGTGGAGATGGAGCTAATGATTGTGTAATTATATATATTAATTCATTTTAGTCAGCAATCTCATAAGCTTAAGTTGGAATTTCATTTAGTGAAGCTGATGCCTCTTATACTGCTCCTTTCAGTAGTAAATCTACTTCATTAGATTGTGTTGTTAAAGTACTGTTATAAGGCAAAGCAGCTACTATGACTATTATTGAAGTGTTTTAATATTAAATCAGTGTTAATACATTGAAATTTGTAGCTGTACTCTTTACTTTTTTAGAAGCTGAAACCTTTGCAGATTTTCAATTTACTTATACAAGCATTATATCAAATATTCCCTTATTAATATTTTTATGTTTATCTGGTCCATGTGATACATTAGCCAAATATAATCCATTAGATGATTAATTTGCTATTTATAATCAAATTTAAATTTATAATAATTTAGTTTGGGGAGTAGCAGGGTATTATAATAAATTAATTAAATTTAGATTAATTGCCAATTATTTCATTTCAGTAGCAGTCAGAGATGTTCATACTTGTGAAATGGATGAGCCAATTGAAAATTGTATTCCATAACCAATTGAAGAATTAAAGAAATCTGGAGATATTTAATCAGTAATGTTTATGAGTTTGATGTTCTTCTTTATGACATTTGCAATCAACTTGTACATTTCCAATCCTTTCAAATAAAGATATTATAGAAACTATCTATTACTCTTATGGACAATATTGGGTTTTGTTCTATTCTTTGTTTCTGCAATCTTTCCAAAAGGAGGAAAATGGGCTAAATTGATTAATGTCAATGATAATGCGTAACTATATTTNATTTCAATTAAGAAAAGAGATGATTTGATTGAAGAATTCAATTTGAATGCTATTAAAGGTTATAGAGTCTTAGGATTGGCATATAAAGAATTATAATCAAATTAAATTGATTAATTGAGAGAACAATTAGAATCATAATTAAACTTTGTTGGTCTTTTAGTAATGGAGAATCCATTAAAATCAGATACAAATGAAATTATTACAACTTTAAAAGAATCAGGATTAGATATTAAAGTTATATCAGGGGATAACCCTTTGACAACCATTTAATGTGCAAAATTAGCTGGAATTATTAATTAAGATAATGAAATTACATTTTTAGATTATAACTAATAAAATTAAGAAATTATACTTTAATGCAATAATAATCAATAAATAATTAAGGAATAATAACCAAATAGTATTTAGGAATTAGAATAATTTATAAGTACTCAAAACGATTTAGCTTTAACTGGCAAATTTTTGGAATTTATGACAAATAAAGGCAATTTTTTCCTAGAACCTAAGAATTCATCAAGCACTTTGGGTAAGTCTTAAAGTAAGGAAAAGATATTTACTGAAATTAATCAAATTGATACTGATGATGGACCTCTTGGATAAATAGAAATTGCTATTATTAAAAAAGCTAAGGTATTTGCTCGTTAAAAACCTGAGTAAAAGAAATTAATAATTCAAATAATTCAAAGTTTTGGAAGATAAGTATTAATGTGTGGAGATGGAGCTAATGATTGTGTAATTATATTTATTTAATTCATTTTAGTCAGCAATCTCATAAGCTTAAGTTGGAATTTCATTTAGTGAAGCTGATGCCTCTTATACTGCTCCTTTCAGTAGTAAATCTACTTCATTAGATTGTGTTGTTAAAGTACTGTTATAAGGCAAAGCAGCTACTATGACTATTATTGAAGTGTTTTAATATTAAATCAGTGTTAATACATTGAAATTTGTAGCTGTACTCTTTACTTTTTTAGAAGCTGAAACTTTTGCAGATTTTCAATTTACTTATACAAGCATTATATCAAATATTCCCTTATTAATATTTTTATGTTTATCTGGTCCATGTGATACATTAGCCAAATATAATCCATTAGATGATTAATTTGCTATTTATAATCAAATTTAAATTTATAATAATTTAGTTTGGGGAGTAGCAGGGTATTATAATAAATTAATTAAATTTAGATTAATTGCCAATTATTTCATTTCAGTAGCAGTCAGAGATGTTCATACTTGTGAAATGGATGAGCCAATTGAAAATTGTATTCCACAACCAATTGAAGAATTAAAGAAATCTGGAGATATTTAATCAGTAATGTTTATGAGTTTGATGTTCTTCTTTATGACATTTGCAATCAACTTGTACATTTCCAATCCTTTCAAATAAAGATATTATAGAAACTATCTATTACTCTTATGGACAATATTGGGTTTTGTTCTATTCTTTGTTTCTGCAATCTTTCCAAAAGGAGGAAAATGGGCTAAATTGATTAATGTCAATGATAATGCGTAACTATATTTATTTATATTTTTAGATTCAAAGGTTATAATTGGATCATGATAGCTGTTGTTGTAATAGCTGCCTTATTAGGATTCTTTACTTAAGCTATTTTACAAAAATATCTTCCTTCTAAAAAGAAAATTGAATTTTGAATCATTATTAAATAACATAACAAATTTAAAATTAGAATTTTTAATTTTATTAATTCATTCTTGCGCTGCCTAAATATAGTTATAATTGTCTATAATTTTAACTGAAGAGCATTCCTATTGGTTTTTGCAACTCAATCTCAAACAAGGATATAAATCTTTAGATGTGTCTATTGCAACAGACTTAATAGAATATAAATAATATATGTACATATTCATTTAAATTATCCAAATTTTTCCAAATGATCTTTTTTTATATAGTGTTGACTTCAACAAGAATTTTAGAACCTTTATCAAATACAAATGTTGTGTTGGTACCTTGTGATTTGGAGCTTTCAAAACAGTTTCCTGAATTGACCATTAGATATGAACTAAAATGATATATAAAAAGATACCCATGTCCTTCTTTTAATTATTAAATCTTAGTGTTGATGTCTTTATGACATACTCCTATGGCAGTTCTTAATCCAACCGAAAGTATTTCAAATGTAAAAGTAACTCTCTTCTATTTAGGTATTACAGGATCACAAATTACAAACTGATAACCTAAAGATGGTTTTATGACTTATTTTCCTTTATCGAAAACATTGATATTATCCATAGTATTAGGAAAGACAATATTAAGAGGTTCTACTATTTGACTTTGATATCTACAAAATTCTTATTTAACTAATGAATAGTGGAATGAAATAATGTACTTTAATAGTTCTAAATTTCGAAGAATTTAGCCATCATAGGTTAAAAGTCATTACATATGTTTCCCAACATAGGTAGTAATTCTTTCTCTATTTTTTTGATAGAAATGAATTGATCAATAACAGGGTTAAATCTTTAATGAGATAGGTTATAGAAATCTGATTATAGGAAGGAGAATAATTATTTATAAAATTTTGAAATTGATTCTATTTGGCTTTTTGCTTATTCCAGGCGCATTGTTAGTGAATCAAGAGTTAAATTAGCTTATTACATTTTGATGCCAAATTAATTTAATGAGCATAAGTCTTATATATGATTGAAGTGCAAGGGTTCGATGCACTCTTTACAATAGGCTCTTTGAGAGCAACAGTCTTCGTTAAGACAGACTCCAACAATTTAGGAGTTATTATGATTGGAGTATAAACACTATAATTAGATATCCATTTGTCTATTCATGTAGTAAAATAAATTAAAAATGAAATATAAAAATTTAATAATTATGAAAAACTCAATCAAATTATATATTTTCTGGTTAACCTCTATTAACCGTGAACACTGAATTGATCATGGTCTACTACGGAACTCTATTGCTATCCTCTACTTAATTTGCTAATTATTATTATCCAAGTTCGCGTTTGGCTTAATTCTTCTAATGACGTTTGTAGACATAAAATAGGCATCCTATGAACAATATGGAAGCGACTATAATGACAATAATGTCATATATAGGTATTCCTTGATTAGATTGGTTCATGGAAGCTGCAATATCACCAAGTGATTGTAAACAGACTCCTTTTGTTAAGTAATAATCTGCATCACACTCTAAACATTAGGTCTATGATTGACAAACCAGACAGTTATCTGAACATATGGGAACACATTCATTTTCATCATTTAATTCAAATCCTGAATCACAAGCAACAGCAAATTCGCATTGATTATCAGCAGTGGATTGATAGCCTTATTCACATTTGTCACAAACATATGGCTTTGAGCAAGATTAGCAATTGATAGGACAATCAATCTCGCATTAATCATTTACGGGGTAATATCCTGGATTGCAGGTAATACATGTGCTATTTCTTTCGCAATATAGACATTATGATGAGCATACTGTTGTTTATGGATCAATTAAGATGGTTGATAATTTGAATTATTGACTAAAGATAGTGTTTACAGTTGGATCCTCTAGACTTTCAGCTATCCATGTAATCACTAATTCATCATTATTATTATTATTATTATTATTATTTTTTAAGAGTTGAATGCTGGGATTTTATGGATGATTTCCTTTTCTGTCGACTTTGATTTATAATGATATCATTTTTCCAGAATTATCAAACACTTAGAAATAGACATCTTGAGACTTGAATGTTTTATCTACACTTCTCCAAGTAATGACAAATCCATTGCTGATTTTCAGGAGATCTGGTTATTGTTCTCCATATTATTATGATGTCAACAATTAGGGTTCATTCAACTTCTTATCCAAACTCAAAATCTAATATTACAAGACAAATAATGGAGGTGACACATTTGTGCTCTTTGATTCAAATACATATATCATACTACCATCATCTAAGTTTGATGATTTTATGGTTTGATAAGGTTATGAAATTTGGATTGGATCACCAAGTTACAAACCATCTTGAGACATCTAAGCTAAATAAGTATATCCTTGACTTGTATAAGTGATAAACACTTCTCCATTTTCAGATGCTGAAATCAAGGGAACTGTAGTGTAATCAGCATTCAATAAAGTTGACAATTCACCAATTGGTTTCAATTCAGAACTATAAGATTGAATAAACATGGTTGCTGTTTATTACAAACTCTAAGCCTATTAATTAAACCAACCAATAACAAATTGATTATTTTTTGTAGGTTTAATTATGCAAGGAGCTGCCATGCTAGTTAAATTTTATCTTGGCTGTTCTTTTATAGTAATTTCTTCAGACATCTAGGTAGTATTACTATCGAATTTTCTGAATTTAAGTTTCATCTTATCACCTTGAGTCTGATCAACCCACAAGACAACTAATTCATTCTTTATAGCAGCCAAATCAGCAAACAATCTAACATCAAAACTATTTGACTATTATAGCAATCTTCTAGTTCCCAAAAGATCCTGTTCATTTACTTTGGTGGGTCTGCCTACTGGTTTTCCATTGCTTCTATATAATTAGATGTAAATTCCTTCAGTGGTTCCAGTCTCATACCACATAAGCACATAATCTTTAGACTCAAACACTGCCTTTAAGGGTTTTTCCTTGGTTGTCTAATAAATGTAAATGGTGATATCCACACACAATCTATCTTTATCACTCCAATAATAGGACTCTTTGCATTAAGTACATTTATCTTCCCCACATATTTCACAATTTACATCACAAGCATATCTACATTTGAATTGATCTACTATCTCATAACCCAAAGGACATTTGAAACAAATTTGGGCTTCATCACAAAGTTCACATCCAGCTTAGCAAACGTTTTTAACACAAAGATGATTAACTAATTTGTATCCTTCATCACAAGTATTACATTATCCAGGTAAAGAGCATTATTTGCAATTGGATGGACAAGGCATAACACATTTGTGTGTTATAGGATCATAAATATAATCTTGGTGACAACCCTAAATTTCACAAGAATATTCATTATAACAAACATCGCAACCTGTTGGACAAATAGGGGAAGGATCAATAGGACCAGGTAGGCGTCCTACAGGACCAATCTTTACCAATTGATATTGATATTCAAATGTTGTATCTGAATAGGAAATCCAAATCACATAAATATCTTCACCAGTAATTTGTGTACCTGTGTAGAATATGACATTATTTTATAATCTGTTCAATTTTTGGATTGCGCTTAATGTTGGTCCTCCATTTTCAGAAAACTAATTGCAATTTAGAATACTAGACACAACTGATTCCTAATTCCAAATAACATAGAAGGATGTAGTTGTTACTACAATGAATGGACTTTATAAAACATCATTAGATGTGACAACAATCGTCTCAGTACTAATAGGCTAAAAGTCTAAACCTAGATTCATGTATTTAATTGAATTGGAAGAACTTTATGGTTATTGACTTTTAGATCTCCAAGCAACAACGAAATTTTAATTTGTTAATTACTAAATGACGATTGAACTGTAATCAATATCTCCATTGAAAATATCCCATGTATTACCTTGAACAAGGTAATCTAAATTTGAGTTAAATTTCCACCAAAATATTATCATTGTGTACTGGGTTATTACAATTTCATTATTGATGTAATGAATCTAATTTTTTTAAAGTTAGTTATAAGTATCCATCAATTTCTTTGGAGGAACTCTAGTAAACAACTGTTTATCTATTATATGTCCGTAAAGTTCAAATTATCCAATGATAGATTGAATAGACTAGAATATATAATAACTTCCATTTAAAGCAAAGAGATACACTTTTCTATTGGTATGTTCACTGAAATCAAAATCAAAGGTGTCAATAGTTTCTGATCCCTAATATTCTAAGTTTGAATTTAATCTTAATTATTTTAAGTGCACTTATTTGACACTGTAAGAATGTTCTGTCCAATAAATTACTATCTCTTAGTCTACTACTAGTATATCAGAGTTATAAACATTTGCCCATTCTCCATCAATTTCTATTTTATTCTAATAAGGTAATTAAGCCTTATTGCTATCATTGATTAAAATTAAGCTGATATCTAAATAATATTTTGAGTCAACTAAGATTAACGATGATCCATAAATTAAAACTGAAGTTTCTCCAAACTTCTGAATAGATTTAAAGCTTGGATTTACTTTACTTGGATATTCAGGCATAGGAACTGGGTATGGAAGAGGATCTGGAGTAATGTAAATGCAATGACCAACCACATCCAATTCAAATCCTGGTAAACATATGTCACAAATATTGGATGTATTACAATACTAACAGTTTTAAGGACATCTAGGTTTACATTCCTTATCAACAAGATCATAATCAAGTAAGCATTTGATGCATGTAGTTGATTCTTAACATTTTTCACATTTGTCTGGACAAATAGGAACACCTGGGTTAGTTTAATTACCATCTTAATTATATCTCATTAGATATATTCCTTATTCTGAATCAACGTTTGATTTCTAATTCTTTCCTTACCAAACGACTACATATTGGTTATTGTTCAGTCGTGAAAGTTAAGGTAATTATGCAAATGTAGTTATTAAGTTTACCTCTTTGACTGAAGATACTGGAACTAAAGCATTATCTAAGATCACCATTCTTAATTTTCTTGATTTGAATACTGGATCAAATCTATCAGTATTTTGCCATACAACAGCTATTTTATCTCCATCAAGGGTAATAACATCTGGATTATCAGCAATAGTATTAGAAGCCCAATCATCTATTTTATAACTGCTTAAGTAATTAAATTAAGTATCATAGATGCTCACTCTCACATTTTCAGCTTCAATAAACGACACTACGTATTCTCCTTTAGAGTTAGTGGTGATACCTGAAGCACTATTGCAGGAATTAGCAAATTCGATATATTTTTCATATTAAAACTATCCTTCCAAATTAAAAATAAATGGTTGTAAATGACAAGAATATTTTATTAAAACTACAAAGTTGAGGCCATTTGATGCTATCGCGATTTCCCTAACTTAATCTGGTCTACTCCATACAAATGTATTTAGTGACACTCCATTTGAATCAACCAAAGTAACATAGAAATTTGAATTCCAATCAACAAAATTAATCCAACAAACTGCAAATTTATTTTAAGGTAATGCCTACACAACGAAAGGAGTGTCGTATTATTAAATGTACTATACTTTTATTTTATCAATGATTACAGGATCACCAATTCTTACTAAATTCTTATCAAATCTCTAATAATAGAGAGTTGCATCTGATAAAATATCACCATCTGCCCATACTATGATTACATTCTAATTATCAAGAATTGTGATATCAGGATAGTATTGCTCATTAAGAACAATCTCATTAACTCTGATTTCATCTCCTATTCTTTCAATTAAAGAATTGAATTTTTATGCATAAACTCCATAACCATCTCCATCTTGATTATCAGCTTACCAAACTACAACAAAGCTTCCATCACTGAATGAAGCCACTCTTGGATTAATCTAATTATCTGATCTCTTTATGGGAATTGGAACTTCAATGGTTGGATTATCTGGTATAAAGCATTCTCCTTAATCATTGAGATAAGCACCATCTTAACATATAATACAAGTCTAAGGATGTTAGCAACTATCACATAAATTTGGACATATGACTTTGCATTCCTTTTTGTTTACATTTTCATAATGATCATTACAAATGTCACAAGTATTATCATTTGGACATTGCTGACAATTTGGTAAACATGCAAATCTCTAGAAAAAGTCTAATTGGAAATTCTAATTTTATCTCACAATCTAAAT